GGCTTGGCGCGCCTCGGTCTGTGTCTACCTCGCGCACCCGCGCAACTCTCCTTCATAGTCTTCCGTACTGCAATTCTATCAATCATACACCTATTGCTCCTGTTAGGTTCGTGATAGATATATAGGCTACTGCCTCTATAAGGCTATTATATTAAGAGTTACGCGCCGAGGCAATAACGAGGTCTCCACGGGATACTATATACTCGCGTATATAAGTTGCTATAGTACTATACTATCGCTATATAATATCGATATACGTTCTTAATCGATATTATATCGACGGCAGTTATTATAATTTCAGCACTTTTATATTCTAAATCGACTGCGTACGGCGATATTAAGATTACGCCAACTATAACGTCTCGGATAGCAAATTTTTAGATTCGATACGATTATAGTACTAATTTACTAGGCTTAGCTATCGCTTATATTATAAAACTATCGTTGTGGCGGCTGTAAACATTATATATTTCAACTGCGTGTAGAAATGCGATCGTATCGCTGTGGACGATCGTATCGCTGTGGTGCACTCGGTGGGGGGAACAACCGACGAGTGCTGACGGAGTGCACGGTTAGGATGATTCTCTTATCGTCTACGTTGTAAACACGGTCAAGTACGCGTCAAGTTGAGTTTGTGTCTATCACTGGCAGAGACCGAGGCGCTGTTCTGTATCTCCTCTCATCTCATCCCGTGTCCTTATCGTCTCATCCCATTTTCCTGCCACTGCATCAACCCCTCCATCTCGCCTGGTCCATCATCTGCTTATCGTGGCGTGCGCGACGCCGCAGCCCGTGACTCACCCACTGACCAATCTTGATGCTGTTCCTTGCCTTGTGCCTTGATCAGGATCCAGGGCCACTGGCACTACGCACCGTCAGGCTGCTCTCGTCTGCGCCCCTCGATCGTCTCACCCGCGTCCTCCACATTGGCACTCCCAGAGGATATGGGCACTTGTTGTGACTAGTAGTACCCTCACCCTGATCCTGTCGTTGGTGGCGGGTGCCGTTGTTGCGTCCGAGTCCTCACCACTGCATCTCATCTGCCACCTCCGCGCGTGTGACTCCTCCCAGTCACTCATCAATCGTCGTATCCGTCAGCGATCCAATATCCTGTCGACTACCTACAATACTACTAGTAGTAGTCCTTCCTTCTCTCTTTGTTTCTCTTCTTCGACGGCCACTCTTCGGTTTGGTCTCCTTCTCTTTGTCTCACTCAGCCCACCTACCCGTACCACCTACCAAGGCAACTGACCTTTCTTTGTCCACCGTCCTCGACATCTCTCCTACTGAGTACATCATACCTCCTAGTCTGAACGCGTCATTCCTCGCTCTCCGGACCGAAAGTGTCCCTCGACTCTGCTTACTACTTGTATTTCTTCGGCATCCATCCTTGTAACTCTACTACACAATGTCGGCCTACAGCACCAACGACCTCCGCAGCCCAGCGAAACCATACCAGCGAGAGAAGAACCAGCACAGCAAGTGGGCGAGAGGGGTAAAGACGGTATATAGCCGTTACCCAGACGTGCCTCAGCACGAACGAGAAACTATCATCCCTGGCCGGCCTGCACCCCGAGATCTTGATCGACGATTGGGCCGTGCTGGAGCTCGAGAGCGACACAGCATGCAGAACAAACTCAGTGGCCAAGCGGCCACTCTTGCACGCAAAGTCTTTCGCAACGAGGTGGTCGAAGCCATCGACGGACCTCTGGCACTTGTCTCGGACACATCTGAGGAAGAAGATGTTTTGGACGCCTCTACTGCTCCTCTTCCGGCCGAGGCAGACTTTATGTACAGCTACGATGCCCCAAGCGGTCCTCGCAACGGCACTGACATCTTGAGCCACGCCATCAACCAAGCCGTTCAACGATTCGAGAACAGCGAAACCGAGAAACTGGTCAACAAAGAATACGACGTTGTTGATGGCAAAGACATGGTCGACCTGTCGACCGGTGATGATGAGGACGAGCATGACTTTGAGATGATTGAACACTCTCAGTTGAACTAATCAGTCTTATTACACTACAATCGACGAGACTGTCTGGCCACCGCAGTTCGGCCCAACCGACATTAATCGTTGTATTGCCTATACCCAGTAATCCACTTCTACCATGCAGCTGCATGCGTCATTGCCATCAGTTTATATCTTTTTTCGTTTAGCAAGATACCCAAGGAGTCATTAGGGAAGCGGACCACCGACGGGGTGTGGATCATGGGCACACTAGACTGACGCTTTCTGAGGACATGAATGACCTTGGAGGGCACCTGGGAGCTTTGGCTCCTGTCGCTTGACTTTGTTGGCGTTTATGGACAGATGTGTGCCGAGAGCTACAGCATTTGTTTTTAGGTAGCATACCGTAATTGCACGATATTAGTATCACAGAGCATCAACATCGGGTGGCCGGATTCAGGCGAAGACAGAGTCCTCATTCTTCGAAGCGTACAAAGAGTCGCGCTCAGGACATGTGACGCGTTGGAGGCGCTGCACTGGCGCCTGTCAACAATGACGATATCAAGGTCCATTAGTCAACCCGTACTCGGTTAGCGTGAGATGGTCGGCGGTTAGCAGGACAGACCGGAGTTAACAGCCAGAACCGCTGTGCAAACACGACAAACTACTCAGGCTGTAGTGTACAGGACGAACCTCGAATTTCATAATGTTGTAGTGGTTATCGAGCATCTTCACCAACACTGGCAGAGCCTCTAACCCTATCTTGACCCTCAGGCCGTCTCCTCGACTGTCTCTGGTAACGCCACGACATCTGCTCTCGTGCTTGTACCTCGTGCTCGACAGATCGATTTATCCTCCACAGTATAATCGTCGCGCGCCCAAAAAAGAAAAGAGGTCAAGACTATTACTACTGCGCACCCACACAAGCCCGCACAGCGAGTGGAACAGGGCAGGACAGAGCAGAGCACTTCAATGGGACTGCAGTGCCAGTCTCCGCAACCACCATGCCAAACTCCAATCTAGCCGCCTACCTGGCCAAAAATTACCTAACAGCCTCGACGACATCAACGCCGCCAGACTCGGACTTTGCCGACTCGACACGACCCAAGAAGAAGCGGAGGAAGAACAAAGAAACAGCAAGCGGTGGTGGGGGCCTGATCATCGCCGACGACGACGAGGATCTATCGTTACGCAAGGGACCACAAGACCAAAATGACGATAATGAGATCCCGATATTTGAAACGAATGTCAAATCAGCCGAGTTTAGAAAGAAGAAAGGTGGAAGTGGATGGAAAGTAGTGTCTGAACCAACAACCACCACCACCTCTGGAAACAACCACACAAACAACAATGGCGATGGCGCTGGCGATGCTGCCGCAGCGGCAGAAGCAGATCGCATCCTCGCACAGGCAGAAAAGGAAGCCCGTCGGCGCCGCCGGGAAATCGAAGACGAAGATGCGCCTGCGATTGTCGAAACCGACTCTACGCCGGTCATGGCGTCCGGTGTTCGCGCAGGTCTACAAACGGCCGAAGACACGGCTGCTCTGATTGCGCGGGAACAGAAAGAGTCCAAAAAGAAGTCGAAAAGCAAGGAAGACAAGCCACAAGAAGAAGAAACAATCTATCGAGATGCCACGGGCCGTCGGATTGATATTTCTATGAAACGCGCCGAGGCGCGGGCGGCCGAACTTGAACGAATAAAAGCGGAGAAAAAAGCCCGCGAAGATGCTATGGGTGAAGTGCAACGGAGGGAGAAAGAGGCTCGGAAACAACAGCTTGACGAGGCCAAGTTTATGACGTTGGCTCGCGGCGCTGATGACGAGGAAATGAATGATATGTTGCGTAGGCAGAAACGGTGGGATGATCCGATGGCTGGGTATATTGCGCAGCAAGAGGAAGATAACGGCGAAAGGGAGTTGGTGAAGTCGAAAACGAAAGCAAGGGGGAAGGAGAAGTCTGGTGGTGGTGGTGGAATAGTAAAGACGAGGAAACGAGTTTATGCGGGCCATGCCCCTCCAAACAGGTACGGTATTCTACCTGGTTGGCGATGGGACGGGGTCGATCGCAGCACGGGCTTTGAGAAGGAATGGTTTCAGGCTAGGTCGAGGAGTGCCAGGGTTGAAGAGTTGAAGTATCAGTGGCAGATGGATGAATAGGAAGGATACTAGGGATCTAGCTAGGTACGTGCTGTACATACAGTACTAGTACTGCTAGTCAGTACCTACTGGATGATGCAGGATGAGAACCAAAACGACGTAGTTGGCAATAATTTGAACACTGGCAATATATTCTACCTACCCAATAATGACAACTCGAATGACTGCGAGGTGTTCCATTCAAGAGGCTCGACGGAGTCGAAGGTACTGGGCACGCACAGTACCTACTGTCCTGTACTGCCCATTCTACCGGTCTACCAAGTTCCTGGTTGGTAGATACCTCCTAGACTGCCGTGCTACATACCTACAGTAGATGTACTATAGTAGATACTGTACTGTACTGTCCTGTCCTGTACATTGATCAAAAGCTCCTTGGACCTAAGTAGGTATCGATTCATCAGACACCAGACTACCTACCTTAGGTACCTATATCAAGACCGTGACAAACTTGAAGAAGAGCCAAGCCGTGGCACAAATTTCACCTCCCAGTCACCACCACCACTACTGCCCTCAGTATCTCTGTCGTTGTATCCATCTCCAAAAACAACCCTAAACCTCCCCACCATCTCGGCACAAGGCCAACCATCCGGTCCGCGATTGACATGGACGGTCTCGAGATGATGCATGAAACTGCTGACGTTGCCAAAGATTGGCGTCGAAGACGGCGTCGCAGACGTCGTCGAGCCGCCTCCACCGCCACCACCACCACCTAGTACGCCTTCACCCTCTCGGTTGTTCAAGTTGTTCTCCAACCATCCACGACTCCTCCCCTCGGCACAGCAAAAGATGCATCCGAAACTGCCAAAGATGTCATTTGGACTTCTTCCACCGCCGCCACCACCAGAGGTTGTTGCTGTTGTTGTTGTCAAGACCGTCGATGCCTGCGGCACCGGCATAGCCACAGCCTTCACAGCAACATGACACCGAGCCAAAAACGCCCATTTATATCTCACCCCGCCGCCTTCCGACACGCGGATTTTCGGATCGAATATTCGTTCGACCTTTGGTTTTTGTTTCGATTTCTGTTTGGATTTCTTCGTTTCACCAGTCCCTGTACCGGCTCGGGTTTCACCACTCGCCGTTCCGCTCACTGCGTTCGCGGTTCGCACTGGTGCCGGTCCCTCAAAGTTACATTTTTCACACTTCCAATATGTAATCATACCAGAAAGACCCGATGGTCGATTGGCGAGTCCGAAAGCTTTGCGCTCCATGCCGGCTTGGAGACGGAATGCGCCTTTGCAGAAACCTAGTAGGTCTTTGTCTGTGGGGAGAGTTAGGGGGATATGGATCTGTGTGGGTATGGATATGGGTGTAGACATGGGCGTGGTTGTGGACAGACATCGAGAGTTTGAGTTTGATATAGTTGAAATTGGTGCTGTAGATGTAGACTCAAGAAGATTGTTCAGGTTCCCAGTGGTGTTGATGTCTGTGGCCGGACTCAACAAGGATGATGATGGTGGTGGATCAGGTCGTTGTGCTGGTGGTAGAGGACGAGGCGTAGTAGTGAATGTTGTTGTAGATGTCGACGTGGAGGTAGGTCTGGAATGAGATTTAGAATCAGACATTGTGGTGTTGTTTGACTTTTTCTGCTGCTGTGTCTGGTGCTGTTGCTGTTGCTTCTCGATTTTTGGTGTTGACGAGTGCGGCATAAATCTATACTGTTGGCGTGGCGGTTGAGCTTGTGTCGGTGGCTGAGGTAGAGGTACAGAAGGAGGTTCTCGTGGTTGCCTTTCCGCAGCACGTACAGAAAGTGGAAGAGGATGACTGTGACTTTGAAATTCATCATGTGAACTAATTGCAGCCGCATGTGTTCCGACAGGAGCAGAGTGTTGTCGAGCTCCGCGTCCAAGAACATGACCCAAGCGAACCGGACGAAGTCCAGCCCTACCAGTTTGATCGTCAACTCGAGTCTCTGGATTGCGCAGAGCATTTAGCGAGTCAGATCTCGGCTGTTGCTGCGGCCGGGGCGGTCGACTTGTTTCCTGTAGCTGTCGAACACGCTCACCCTCCCGGGCGTCGGCATGTTGGATAGTTACAGTAACATTATGAGCTCGCTGCACATAGGGCAACGGCGACGCACCAGCAGCAGAAGAGAACATTGGTCGCTGCTGTTGCTGCGATGGCCTAGAAACTTGTTTCTCCGGTGTCAACGGCTGCTGCGGTTGGTACATGTCATATATTGTACTGTGGCTGTACTGTCTCCCATCGGTTCGGTAGGCGGCTGCATCTGAAACCACCGGAGACTCAACCTGTTGATGTTGATCGTATCCATGTTGCTGCTGTTGTTGGTGTACGTGTTCACCGTAATCATCTGGACCGTATCGGTCACGCGAGTTTCGAGTTCGAGGTTGGTTTGTATGCGAAATGTCGGGAGAAGAGGAGTGGTATGTGTGGCCACTTCCGGCGGTGGAAGAAGACGACGAGTACCGATGGTGAACCGTCTTTTCATTTCGGTCAGGTTCGGTTTCTTTCCTGCATGGGTGCGGTCGTCCGCCAGGCTGAGGAAACAACAGCAAAATATTGTCATCGGGCGCCAATGCTTGCGACGACCTCCGCCGTAGACTTACTGTGTCCGAGTCGTCTGAGAGCACGGGTAGTGCCAGAGTGCGCTGATTTCCCTGGTGGTGGCCGCCAACTGGGAGGGGGAGGGCTTCAGTGACACGAGACTCAAAAGGAAGTGCCAACGACGCCCACAAGTTAGACTGTTTCTCTGCACTGGACTTCTCATCACCACCCATTCCTCTCTCCTTCCCATAAGACCTCCCCAAACCGTCGGCGACAGTCAACCCGAAATTATCCAACTTCTCTGGATCCGGAGTCCTCGGACCCATGAAGACAGCGGATGCCGACGACTGTGTGCTCCGACTACTGGAATACCCCAGCGACGGAGACATAGGCGGCATAAGACGTCCCGCACTGGCAGGGGACGAATAGGAAGAAGAAGACATAGACATAGACGGAGGGTAATATGCCTGTGCTTTGGCAGCATCAGATAGTCGTTGAGACAATTGCCCCAAACACACAGCAGCATTGACACGACTGTCGTCGGAGGCGGTCAACAAGACCTGAAAGTCCAGATCTATTCCATCCATGTATACACTTCGCAAAGTGTTGATGAGGGTCAATTGGAGATTGATCAGGACATCTTTCATCTGCTCTCTGGCCTGGATGTCGCCGCAGGCGTATTGTTCTCCAAACCGTTTCAGATCATGTTCGTAATGGCCGCGTACGATGACCGGTCCGAGGGCAAGAGAGTCCAATAGTTCTCGGGTGGATTCGGCGGGAAGATGGTCTGCCTTTGTCCTTCCATCTTCACCTTCGCTTTGAGTGTCTCTGTCTCTCTGCTCGCGAATGCGCTGGACTAGTTTAGAAGAGTCTTCGAACGCGCCGATCACTATGCAGTCGGTCAGAGAAATAACAAACTTCTAGGATCATAACGTACCAGCACGGACGAGAGAGGATATGTCCATTTTAGCCTGTTCGGGCTCTTGACAAGACCACAATCTGTATGGCGCCTCGATTGATCTTGGTCAACTCGGGGAACGTCGGTCTGGTCATGGTCTGGTTAAACGTTGTTTATGCTGATCCGAGTCCAGCAGGAATCCTGAAAGTAATAAAAGCCCACCACCACCAGAGAAATATCCTACAGCAAACAGCTGTAGTGAGTAAAAATAAAAACAAATATCAAAAACGATCCGATCCCGAGCAGAACGGGTCACACGCGTAACAAGACGGAAATGGACGACGGGGAGGGGCTTGGGCTGTCTTCCATGCTATGCATGCTCTGTCTGCCTTTCTCAGCCAACACGGAGCGGAGGGAAACAAGAAGCATCAAAGCCATTTGACAATTCAAGTCATTGAGCCATTCGTTGACAAGCTCGCATGTGAGCTCACACACACAGCCTGAACTCGAGTCAACCTCGCCATCGAACGAGAGGTTGAAAAGGCGGTTTTCGGCCCGTGGGGAGCCTGATTGCATGCATTGCTTGTCTGCCAGGGATCAGCCGTCGCATCGGCCCTCACCTCCGAGGCATGCGGCATGGGCATGCATGGGGAGAGGACACGACACGACAGGGCAGAGCGAAGCTGCAGGGATTGGATTGCACATGGCCTGCCATGGGACAGTAGTAGTACAGCAGAGAAGAAGAGTACTATTTTACTAGCACACCGAGCGGACGCAACTCAAATCGGGGCGCTGCGAGGGCGACTCATTGGCGGGTTGGACGCTCGTAACTGTAACAGCGACGGCTACGCAAGAGGCCGGACGGCAATGCAGACTTCAAAGTTGTCGTTGACCTGTTTCTGCCGTGTGGTTGGTTAAACAATCACAATTGACGCTTGATCAAGAGGCAGCGAAGCAGACTTCTGACCCTCGACAACTGGGCGAACTCGACTGATCAACACAGATATTTCACGAATAGTCTTGTTTGACTGGCTATTTTCCACCTTGTCCATCAACACGGTCAATCCCGCTTCATCGGCAGCCCTTTTAGGGGCGCTTCAACTACCAACCAGTTGGTCTCAATTACTCTCTGCTCCCTACAAACACCCGAAACCCAGACGGACAGACAGACACTCGACCTCCGCCCATCGGGAATTTCCCTCCTCTTCCCCGGGTCCTTCTTCTCCCTTTTATTCTTCAGGCTGCCAGAGTAAACCCCAGCCTGAGGTCTCGATCGTGGACGACACCTCAATCAGGGGACATGCCTGCTTGCCCCAACCGCCACTGTCACCAGGCGCCCACCGTCAAAACCGCACACCTATCCAACAAGTCGATGGCTGCAGCTAACTATGGCCCAGGCTGAACATCGTTGTAGCCTCATGCGCAGAAACAGAACAGTCCAAATATATGCATAATTGTGGTAAAGGAGATATGAATATTGCCGCTATCCATCATCTCAAAAAGAGGACTACTACTACAGTCCTCTAGAGAGAACTATCTTTTATATAAACAAAGGAAAAACATATCTACCTGACTTCAAACAGCCCGGGAATATTGGCCGGACAACGCCATTCTCGCCAACCAGACACGACCAAGATACAAGGACGCTCGATCAATCAATGGCGATCCCATATTATGCCACACTAGACAATCGCCGGGCACCTGCCTCCCCGGCATTCTCATATTTATCCCAGTCTTCCAGAATCTTAGCCAGCCGAGGCGAGTTGGTGAGCTGATAGACTTCCTGGAAGTATTCCTTGGTGATCTCAAACGGCTTGGCCGTAACATTAGGAATGTACTTGCCGATCAACTTGGCCGGGTCGATGCTGGTCTTGTTGATCTTCTTCAACAAGAATGACCGGAAAGGCTTGACGCCAGATCGCAAGAATGTGCTGTGGAAGGGCACGTCGATGCCCTTCAGAGGGATCACGGCAAAGCCTCGCTCCAGCTCGATCGGTTGCGGTTTGGCCTCGGTCTTCTTCCGGCATTCACCAATGATCTCCACCAGATGTGCCTTGACATCTTCCAACGACATTTGCTGCATCAATGCTTGGATGTCAATCTTTTGCAATTTGAGCACATTGAGCACGTTGGTCAAGCAGTCCAATGCCCGGAGGTCGCCGGCGCAGACGTATTGCATGTTGGCCACGTTGTAGTTGACAATCTCAATCAACCATCCGGTGGTTTCCGCAATGTTCTCCACGACGTATTGTAACGCTTGCTCGTTGAACGTCTTGGAGATACGACTGGGGTTGACGGCGCACATGGAATAGTTGCTGCGGCCTTGTTCGTCACGCTCCACCGCCACTTGCATGGTCAAGCCACGGTAAAAGACCACCGACACCAAACTCTCAATGGGCATCACCTCGGCAATCGAGGCCAACGCAGAATACTCGCCGAGAGAGTGGCCGGCGAAGCTGCTGTCACGCTGGATCAGACCCTTGGATCGCATATCCTCAAAACTGGCCTTCTCCATCAACGTCAAGGCTGGCTGGGTGAATTGAGTGGCAGAGAGCAGACCCGTGGGCAAGCGGTAAGTGTATGAAGTGGTGTTCTCATTGATCTCCTTGAAGATCTTTTCCGACTTGACAGATCCATCTGCATTGACCGTCTCGAAGGTCATGGCCATGTAGTTTTGACGAATGGCCTTGCCACGAGGTCCGCCAAAGTGGATTGTGAGTTCCTTCGGGTTGTTCTTGACAATGTTGATGATGGAGAGACCATAATTGTCCAAGAAGTGCCGATCGGCACGGTCCCAGACTTCCTTCGCCACAGCACTGCGGGCGTAGAGATCCATACCCATGCCTTGTTCCTGAGAACCCTGGCCAGTGAAAACGTACGACGACACTGGTTGCTCCACCTCGGCTTCAGCCAAGAGGACCTTGTCGCCAGTCTCTTTGTTGCTGGTTTCGATCTTGATGATCTTGCGGCCTGCAATCATACCAACGTGTTCGAGTTTCACTTCCAAATCATCGTTGGGAAGCACCATGCCCACCAGAGAAACATGATAGCTTCGAACACGACCAATGTTGTTCTCGGCCGCCCACGTCTCGACTAGACTTCGAACCGCGGCACTAGAGTACATGCCGTGGGTGATGGTACCGGGGAGGTTGGCATAGCTGGCGAAGATACGCGAAACGTGGATCGGGTTGTAGTCGCCAGAGACTCGTGCATACGTCTCGTTGGATGCGGGTGCCTTCAGAGACAGGGGTGTCTTTCCGCTCAAGGGAATGGGGTTCTCGAAGTTGACGGGCTGTTCAATGGACGAGCCGTGTCGCTGCAGATAATCCACAACTGGATTGCCGTGGGACACACCGGCATCATACTCGACCGATGCCACCTGGATGACTTCTTTAGTGGGAAGTTCCAAGAGAACTTGACCCACCGTCTCGACACGCTCGAAAATGGTCTTGTTCTTGAATCGAACCAAGCTCGACAATCGGAAAGTCAAGGTTTGGCCCAGTAGGTCAATGTCCGGCTCGTCAAGGTGGAACCACTCCTTGGATCGCAGGACGGACACATCCTTGCTGGTCGCGAGCGTGACCTGCATGGGCGTCTCCTCTCTGCGCTGGAACGTGTTCTCATAATCGGTATAATTACCGCGATACAGGAACTGACTGGTAACTTCCATGACAGGTTGACCATCCCTGGTGATTGTGCCACAAACCTCAACCATTTTGCCAGATTCTTGGTTGATGACGGCATTGATGCGAGCAGTGGTATGCAGCTCATCACCGGCTTTCAATGGTTCCGCCCCAGGAAGCATGCGGAAGCCGTTAGACAGATGGACAAGTTTGAGCAAGTCTCCGTCAATCGATCTGGGGAAGATAGGTTTGGTAATGGCCTTCCAGCCAACCACGATAGCAAAGTCCATAGGTGCAAAGACTTCCTTGCCAGGACGATCGACAAAAGCCTCAGCAGTGTTGCCCACCGCATGAACGAAATCGGCAATGTCCTGGGTATTAACAGTCGCTTTCCCACCGTCGAAAGTGTTGGTGGTCGGAATATCAAAGGGCACATCCTTCTCGCCGAACCAGATTCGATAGTAGAACTCCTTGATTCGGTCGTTGCGTCCTTCCATCACTTCGTGGATGGGGGCGTAGCCAGTCTCCGGGTGGTAGATAAACCGTAATGGCAGTGCAACCGCTTCACCCTCTGCAGTTCGCTCCTCCCACATGTTCATAAGAATCTCATTTTTCCCGACCAGGCCAATGTCAAGGGTCTTGACCATCTGGCCTGCTTGGTTGGGCTCCTTGACCACGATAGTCGTCTTGGAAGGATCCTTAGGATGGGCGATCTCGACAGTCATTCCACGAGTTGGAGCCAAAATCCGTTTGACAGGGTTGTTTTGATATCTCGCGCCTTGCACGAAGACATCCGTGGTGAAAAAGGCGTGTCGCCACGAGTAGGTCTTGCCGGCGAGGAGCTGAGTCCAAGCATCAACATCTGGAAGAGTGGCCGTAGGAGAATTGGACAGTCGGTAGGTGATACGAGAGCCGTCAGGGATCACGGTAACGCCGTCGAGCTCGACCACGCTTTCAGGGGACGTGATAATCTTGCCACCAAAGTACTCCACGACCGGAACAGCAGATTCACGGCCACCGTAGATATCTTGGATAAGGCCCTTGATGTGAGCATTATGGATGCCATCCAAGATGTCTTTGACAGGTTCGTCAATCTTGGTGGAGTATCTAGCAGCCATTGGGCCCTGCAGAATACAAGTTCGCCCAACGTCCTGGCCTACTACAGCGTCCAAATCTTCGGCCTGCCACAGCGAATCCTTCTTGAACCAGAATTCAAAGTTTTCATCCAGCGAAGGAACGAAAGGCACTGGCTTCTGACCACGGCGCTGGCAGAGAAGCAGGAAATGCTGGACATCTTGGGCGCTGATGAGTTGGCTTTCAGCCTCAGGGTAGGCAGCCAGGACCTTTTCCACCACTGGGAAAGGATCGTCCAGTTCGGCGTAGCTTTGGATAAGAGATGGCTTGCCGGAGCCGACAGTGAACCGCTCTTCGACTCGGCGGATGAAGTCCACGGTGAGGTTGCGAAGACTGACATCGATCCACCGTGATTGATGTTTGACGTACATGAGCTCGACCATTCGGCGAACCACTTCGGCATAGGTCATATCTTCGAGATCAACCGTTTCACCGGCCGAGTTCTTCCCGAACCAGACCTTTTGGAAGTCATCATTGAGCTTCTTGATGATGTACTCACGCTGCTTCTTGAGCTCTGCAACACGCTTCTTCTTATCCAAGCTGAAGATCTTTTGATCCATCTCAGCCCAGAATTTGACACCACGAGTGGCCAGTTTGTGGATTGGCTCGCCCATCTCAGATCGAACGGTGATGACGCCGCCAGCAGGTCCTTTGTACGTCTTCTCCCATTCACTGTCGTCAACGCCCGGGGCTTCGACGATGGCTTTCTTGGCGTTGTACGAGGTGTGAGCTTCCTTCGCAGTCATCATTCGGCTGCCAAACAGGAAGCCGTCGAATGGCATCGAAGGATATCCGAATTTCCGGGACCAAACACCGGTAAGGTAGGGATAAGTGTCTTCGGCGCCACCAAAGCCGCTGCCTGCCACCAGAATAATGTTCTGGCATTTGCGAATTCGGCCGTACATCTGCAAAATCGGTTGATGGAAATCCTCAAAGGAGTGATGACCACCACCACGACCGCCTGTCCATTGGAGGATGACCGGGAAAGTTGGGTTGGCCCTTGCGATGTTGATAACTTGCTGTATGGCGTCCATAGAGCCTGGCTTGAAGGAAATGTGTTTGATGCCTAGAGTGTCGATATACTCTTGGGCGACTTCGATGGAAGGCACACCGGCACCAATGGTCAAACCCTCGATGGGGACACCGTCGGCACGGAGTTGTGCCAGCAAAGGGATCTGCCAGCCCATCGCACGGGGGTTGACGTAGATCAGATTGACTGTGATGCCTCGTCCAGGAGGAATGGCCTTTTCGATTTTGGTCAAGGCTTCAGTCATGCTTTTGGCATTATAGTAACCACCACCGGCTAATTCGATATGGTAGCCTGCATTCATGGTGGCAGCAACGAAATCCCACGGCACTGTAGTGGGAGTCATGCCCGCAACCATTAACGGAGGGACGCCCAGCAAGCGAGACATCTTGGTATCCACATAAGTCTGGCCAACGGATGTCTTGACCAATTTGGGGCCATGTTCTTTGACCCAGTTGGTCGCGTACTTGACTGCATGTTCCTCGTCTCGGTCGAAAAGCTCTGGCTTGTACCCGACTTCGGCATTGGTGCCATCCATGGCACCCGCCAGAATAACACGGACGCCAGTACCATCTTTGTTTCGATTGGTGAGAACGCCCAAACCGGAAATACCACCAGGACCGAAGTCGACGATGTGGGTGGCTCCTTCGAAAACTGTGGCCTGTTCCCAATGAACAGGATCTTGAGTGATCATACGCACGAGAGATGGAACAATATCCTTGTCGTGTTGCGCGCGGAGGTCTTCACCGGTATTCGTATCGAAAACGGGGATTGTCAACCGAGAAGCTGGGATCTTGATATCACGGAGATCTTCCTTGATATTTTTGAACGCTTCGCTCAGGAGCGGGCTGTGGAATGGAGCCGTGATCGGCAAAAACCGATTGACGAAGCGTACTTTGCGCTCTGTGTACGGGATTCGGTTCTGGTCCAATCCAGTGGGTGCTTTGACCTTACGGAGTCGCAGGTTAAGACCATGGAGAGAGATGGGTGCCCCAGTGACAACAAAGTTCCGGGCGCTGTTGATCAAGGAAATGGCAATGTGCCGGTCCGTGGGCAAGTGCTCGTTTGTAGCATCAATATGCTCTTGGAGCTGCTTTAGAGAAAGGTCGCGCACAGACAGCATGGGTGTCGGCACGCCTTCTCCAGCCTCGAGCGAATCTTGTAAAATAGATGGCGCAATGCTTGTACGAGGGTAAGCCTGTTGACTCCTCATACCAATCCAGAAAAGCATTGTGATGGCATCTCTGGCGACCCTGGCGAAGCTTTCCCATGATGTTGCAGTAGCAATGGCGGCTGCGGTGACCACTCCTTGCGAATGGCCAGTGGTTCCATTGAAGTGTTCATTCACCTCGCCAGGAGTTTTACCGAGAACTTTACAAGTGACCTGGTAGTGGGCGAGCTGGACCAGACCGATCAATGGCAAGCTGACGGGCGCTGAAACCAGATAATCGGTGTCTGGTTGAGTCTCTCGATCTTCCAACCAGCGGAGGATATCGAGACCCTTGGAATAGAACTTGTCTGCCTTCGGGTCTCTGGCTAGGCTCTGCAGGAGCTCTGCTGAAGACTCGATCAAATCTTTGGTAAACCAGGGATATGTATTATAAACCTCCCGGAGCTCATCAAAATATTCTTCGATATTCCCTTGACCGCCAAAAACTGTGTAGATGCTAGCCTCTTCGTCGTCTGCGGCTCGGAAAAGGGCCGAATCATGGGGTTTGATGGGTCTCGCGACTGCTGCGCGACCTGCATAGTAGCACTTAACCACCTCCAGCTTCTTTGCCGTAATCCCGGGAAGACTGGCAGCTAGAGCATGGACATCGTTGGCATGCATAAAAGATCGCTCAAATTCGTTCAAGACAACCTTGAGCACTTCAACAAAGCCAGACGCTTCCTCGTCATCATCGACTTCAGCAGCAATGAAGCCAATGAAACGAGCAACAAGCTCTGCCTTTGACGAAGGCTCGTCATCTTGAGCTAATTCGTCTGTAGGTTCTGGTAACGAAGCTTTGAAAGCATCTTGTAGCTGCGAGGCGTGGAAATGTAGGGCGGTCGGGATCAAGAAGGAGTATTCGAGGGAGCCATGAGTGAGGCTCAAAGGCCGTAGGTTTTGCGAGGACCGGGGAGTATGAGTGCCAGTAGCACCGCCGGAATACATGTTTGCGAGTGCCGGCCGAGAGAGATGACTGAGGTGAGGAACTCGCAGGGAGGATTAAAGTGAGCAAGCTAATGCCACCCAAGATGTAGAAAAATGAATGAAGAAGCTCTTGCAACGTAGAGCTCTTTGCTATACAGAACAGAGGCACTGGGTCACTTCGACCACAGGTGTGAAGAGTGAGAAAGGAATTGACTGCGAAAGAGTCGGAGGTGAAGGACGAAGCGATAGAGCGACGAGTTAATCAGAGATATCAGCCTCTGGGTCAACGGAAGCTGAGAGGAACTCTAGATGCACCAACTTGTCTGTGGTCGGGCTGGACAAGACCATACAATACCAGTGTGGCAGTTGAGATGGTGGTATAGCAAGTTACCGAGAATAATGCGCCCCAGGCTGCGCCGCGAGATGGTTGAGGACGGCGACGAGGTTTTTCCGGCTCCGCAAAAGCAGGCACAGCCGCCAATCGCCGAGCTCGGATTGACGGCGGGGGGCAAGCTAAATTCTGGTGGGCAGCCGCTGCTGCAGGGACAGGGCCCAGAGGCGTCACCGTTTCTCCCAACCGCAAAGAAAAAAATGGCCAGTCTGTCCTTCATCAACATTCAATAATGAATGAATACTAATCAAAACGTTGCAAGTTGGTGGTTCTAGGCAGCAGTGATCAAGTAGCGATATTCAGCGTATCTCTCTCGTGTCTCGTATGTTAGCTGTTTGTATGTGGCTCGATTGAGCAGTTCAACTTGGCCATGGCCCGTCCCCGGGTGGTAGCTGACAGCCCTGCATTGCGTAGGAGGTACTTGGGAGGGAGCTTCGGGGGTTCTCACCCGGCGCCTCCACGGCCGCTACTGGTGCTACTGGGGCGGTCGTAACACCTAAAGCCCATCGACCCCTGCTGAAAATTTTGGCGGGGCGGCGCTGGGAGGGCCAGACGAGGCTCTCCACTTCTTTTCTCAACCTTCATTATTGATTGCTTGATTGATTGAGCTCTCCAACCGATCAACGACTGGGGAAAGAAGACGATACTTCACTGCCAGTGGCCATCGAGGCCATAACATCTACTGTGAACAGTGCTAGTCGTGCCTATCCGCAATCGCCGCGCTACGCTGACTGGACCCTGTAGCAAAGTCCTCGCCTAGTCTTCCCACGCTTGAGCTCGAGCCTCACCCACTCCTACCGCAGCTTAAGCCAGCTGCCTGGTTTGTTGCAGGCGAACTGACGGCGGCGCTGGTGAATTTTCCCCGACTACTACCAGTACAATCCCAACCAACTCCTTCGAGAATCCATCCATCATCCACCGATCTTCCAGACTCAACCCTCTTGTCCGAAGCCGTGGTCAAGAGCAGTGGTGGCCTGGTTACCCATAACTTTTGCATCTGAAATTCACTCACCACTTGATCAATTGGTGCTCTTCCAGTCCTCCTCTCTCCAAAGCATCCTCTCCTCCAATTCTCCCGGCCTTCAACAACTACAGTACATCTACGGTTGTCGGCCAGCACAGTTCTTTCTTTCGTGCTTTCTGTGTGGCCTGTTGTCTTCCGCCCTGCTCTGATTTACTTCATCCAGCACCGGGCAGAAGATTTGTATCCTCCCTAATACCCAAGCCCGCCATTTCTTGGGGCTCTACAACAACCACAGACACTCCCTACGACGACCGCATCCCGCCACAATGCGTCCCGAAGTCGAGCAAGAGCTCGCCCACACGCTCCTCGTCGAGCTTCTGGCATATCAATTTGCCTCGCCTGTGAGGTGGATTGAGACTCAAGATGTTATCCTCGAGAAGAACCGAACAGAGCGGATTGTTGAAATTGGTCCTGCGGACACGCTCGGAGGCATGGCCAAGAGAACCCTGGCCTCCAAATACGAAGCATACGACGCAGCCACTTCTGTGCAGAGACAAGTCTTAGCCTACAACAAAGATTTGAAGGAAATATACTATGATGTTGATCCTGTCGAAGAAGAACCTGCGCCAGCCGCTGCCGCCCCGTCATCCTCCGCTCCCGTACAAGCAGCTCCCACGCCAGCTGCTGCTGCACCTGCTGCAGCTCCTCCTCCACCAGCGGCCGGCGCCGGCCCAGCAGCAGCTGTTCCTGATGCGCCTGTCGGTGCTGTCGACATCCTGCGAGCACTTGTCGCACAGAAACTCAAGAAACCGCTAGCGGACATCCCGCTGAGCAAGGCCATCAAGGATCTGGTGGGCGGAAAGTCAACACTGCAAAATGAAATCCTGGGTGACCTGGGGAAAGAGTTCGGTAACACACCAGAGAAGCCTGAAGACACTCCCCTTGACGAATTGGGCGCTTCGATGCAATCAACTTTCAATGGGCAACTGGGCAAACAATCACAGTCTTTAATTGCTCGCTTAGTGTCCTCCAAAATGCCTGGAGGCTTCAATATCACAGCTGTGCGAAAATTCCTGGAGACCAGCTTTGGTCTTGGTCCTGGAAGGCAAGATGGCGTTCTTCTACTCGCTCTTACCATGGAACCTCCATCTCGTTTGGGCTCCGAGACTGACGCCAAAGCCTACCTTACCGACGTTGCCCAGAAATACGCCGCAACCGCAGGGATCAGCCTGTCATCCGCCTCATCTGGTGGTCCAGCTGCCGGTGGTGCAGGCGCTGGTATGATGATGGACCCTGCGGCCATTGATGCTTTGACGAAAGACCAGAGAGCTCTCTTCAAGCAACAACTTGAATTGTTTGCTCGGTACTTGAAGATGGACCTTCGTTCCGGCGACAAAGCGTTCCTTGGCTCTCAAGAAACTAACAAAGCTCTCCAAGCTCAACTTGATTTGTGGAATACTGAGCACGGCGAGGTCTATGCCTCCGGAATCGAACCTTCTTTCAGCGCTTTGAAGGCCAGAGTCTATGATTCGTCGTGGAACTGGGCTCGTCAAGATGCTCTGAGCATGTACTACGACATCATTTTTGGCCGCCTCAAGGTTGTGGACCGAGAAATTGTCAGTCAGTGCATCCGTATCATGAACCGATCGAACCCAACCCTGATCGAGTACATGCAATACCACATTGACAACTGCCCCACTGACCGCGGCGAGACTTACCAGCTAGCGAAAGAGCTGGGCCAGCAGCTCATCGAGAATTGCAAAGACGTCCTCAATGAAGCCCCTGTCTATAAGGACGTCTCCCTTCCCACAGGCCCACAAACCACAATTGACGCCCGTGGCAACCTTGACTACAAAGAGGTGCCGCGACAGAGTGCTCGCAAGCTTGAGCATTACGTTCGTGAAATGGCGGAGGGTGGCAAGATCACCGAATACAGCAACCGCACCAAGGTTCAAAATGATCTCCGTCAAGTGTACAAGCTGATCCGGAAGCAACACAAGCTTTCCAAGACGGCCCAGCTGCAGTTCAACAGCCTGTACAAGGATGTTATTCGTGCCCTTGCCATGAACGAGTCTCAAATCATGCCACAAGAGAACGGTGACGTGAAGAAACCAGGCCGAAATGGCTCTTTCTCTCGAGCAACGGTAAATGGCACGATCAAGCAGGGCAAGACCGAGACCATTCCATTCCTTCACCTCAAAAAGAAGGACCAGCACGGGTGGGAGTACAGCAAGAAGCTTACCGGCGTCTACTTGGAATGTCTGGAAAACGCCGCTAAGTCTGGCCTCAGCTTTCAGGGTAAGATGGCTCTCATGACCGGCGCAGGCGCTGGATCTATCGGAGCCGAAGTCCTTCAAGGACTCATCAGCGGTGGTGCCAAAGTTGTGGTTACCACCAGCCGCTATTCCCGCGAAGTCACCGAGTACTACCAATCTATGTATGCTCGCTACGGCGGTCGTGGTTCCCAGCTCGTGGTTGTGCCTTTCAATCAAGGTAGCAAGCAGGACGTCGAAGCTCTTGTTGACTACATCTACGATACCAAGAAGGGTTTGGGCTGGGACCTCGACTTCATTATTCCGTTTGCCGCCATTCCCGAAAACGGTCGCGAAATTGACAGCATTGACTCCAAGTCAGAGCTTGCGCACCGTATCATGTTAACCAACCTGATCCGCCTTCTGGGCTGCGTCAAGACGAAGAAGTTTGAGAACGGCTTCAACACTCGACCGGCCCAAGTTATGCTGCCTCTCTCGCCAAACCACGGTACCTTCGGCAACGATGGTCTCTACTCCGAGTCCAAGCTGGCTTTGGAGACCCTCTTCAACCGTTGGCATTCCGAGAGCTGGGGCGACTACCTCACAATCTGCGGAGCTGTCATTGGCTGGACTCGCGGAACTGGTCTGATGAGCGGTAACAACATCGTCGCTGAAGGTGTGGAGAAATATGGTGTTCGGACATTCTCCCAACAGGAAATGGCTTTCAACCTTCTTGGGCTCATGTCTCCGGCCATCATTGACTTGTGCCAAACCGAACCGGTCTTCGCCGACCTCAACGGCGGTCTGCAATTCCTGCCAGATTTGAAGGATCTTATGACCAAGCTGCGCGCTGAGATAATGGAGACCAGCGCCATCCGCCAAGCGGTCACTAAGGAAACCGCGATCGAAAACAAGGTCGTCAATGGTGAAGACAGCGAAGCCCTGTACAAGAAAGTCACGATTGAGCCAAGAGCAAACCTCAAATATCCTTTCCCTGAGCTGCCAAAGTGGAAAGAAGAGATTGAGCCACTCAACGCCAAACTCAAGGATATGGTTGATCTTGACAAGGTTGTGGTAGTCACCGGGTTCTCCGAGATTGGTCCATGGGGTAATTCCCGTACTCGGTGGGAGATGGAAGCCTACGGCGAGTTCTCGCTGGAAGGCTGTGTGGAGATGGCCTGGATGATGGGTCTTATCAAGAATCACAACGGGCCTCTGAAAGGCAAATCCTACTCGGGTTGGGTCGACGCAAAGACCAATGAACCGGTTGACGACAAGGATGTGAAAGCCAAATATGAGAAGCACATCCTTGAGCATTCCGGTATCCGTCTGATCGAGCCTGAGTTGTTCAATGGATACGATCCCAAGAGGAAGCAGCTTCTCCAAGAAGTTCAAGTCGAGGAGGATCTGGACCAGTTCGAAGCTTCCAAGGAAAATGCTGAAGAGTTCAAGCGACAACATGGCGACAAGGTCGAGATCTTCGAGCTTGAATCAGGCGAGTACAGCGTGCGCTTGAAGAAGGGTGCTACTCTCCTCATCCCCAAGGCTCTCAGATTCGACCGCCTTGTCGCTGGCCAGATTCCTACCGGTTGGTCTGCGAAGACCTACGGTGTTCCGGACGATATCATCTCGCAGGTCGACCAGGTTACGCTCTTCGTCCTCGTGTGCACAGCTGAGGCTCTTCTTTCTGCTGGTATCACTGATCCATATGAGTTCTACAAGTATGTCCACCTCTCAGAAGTGGGTAACTGCGTAGGCTCCGGTATTGGTGGTACGACCGCTCTTCGTGGTATGTACAAGGATCGGTTCATGGACAAGCCGGTGCAAAAGGACATTTTACAAGAGTCGTTCATCAACACCATGGCCGCCTGGGTCAACATGCTGCTTCTGTCGTCGACTGGTCCCATCAAGACCCCGGTCGGTGCTTGCGCGACTGCCGTCGAATCTATTGACATTGGCTACGAGACCATTGTCGAAGGAAAGGCGCGGGTCTGTTTCGTGGGTGGTTTTGATGACTTCCAGGAGGAAGGTTCATACGAATTCGCCAACATGAAAGCTACCAGCAACGCCGAGGACGAGTTCGCCCACGGCCGTACTCCGCGAGAGATGTCTCGACCTACCACTACAACCCGAAACGGTTTCATGGAGTCTCAGGGCTGCGGTATGCAAGTGATCATGTCAGCCCGTCTGGCCCTGGACATGGGAACTCCTATCTACGGTATTCTCGGTCTCACCACTACTGCCACCGACAAGATCGGCCGGTCGGTGCCTGCTCCTGGCCAAGGTGTGTTGACGACGGCCCGCGAGAACCCTGGGAAATACCCGTCACCACTGCTGGACATCAACTACCGGAGAAGGCAGCTGGATCTTCGGAGACGAGCCATCAAGGATTGGCAAGAGTCTGAGCTGTTGTATCTCCATGAAGAGGTGGCTGCCATGAAAGCGCAAGCCGGCTTCGGCTTTAATGAGACCGAGTACATCGAGGAGCGTGCCGCACATATTGAACGTGAAGCTATCCGACAAGAAAAGGAAGCTCAGTTCAGCCTGGGCAACAACTTCTGGAAGCAAGATTCTCGGATTGCTCCTCTGCGTGGTGCTCTGGCCACATGGGGTTTGACAATTGATGATCTCGATGTCGCATCGTTCCACGGTACCTCTACTGTCGCCAACGACAAGAACGAGTCCGACGTTATCTGCCAACAGATGCGACACTTGGGTCGCAAGAAGGGTAACGCTCTGCTCGGTATCTTCCAGAAGTACCTGACCGGTCATCCAAAGGGTGCCGCCGGGGCGTGGATGTTCAACGGCTGTTTGCAAGTCTTGAACAGCGGCCTTGTCCCTGGTAACCGAAATGCCGACAACGTGGATCAAGTGATGGAGAAGTTTGACTACATTGTCTACCCGAACAAGACGTTGCAAACTGATGGCATCAAAGCCTTCTCTGTGACCTCTTTTGGCTTCGGTCAGAAAGGTGCGCAAGCGATTGGCATTCATCCCAAGTACCTCTACGCCACCTTGGATGAGGCCGAATTCAACAGATACAAGGCCAAAGTGGAAGCGCGGCAAAAGAAGGCCTACAGATACTTCCACAACGGCATGATCAACAACAGTATCTTTGTTGCCAAATCCAAAGCACCATATCCCGATGAGATGATGCAAAAGGTGTTCTTGAACCCTGAGCAGCGCGTTACCGCTGACAAGAAGACCGGCGAACTCGTCTTCCCGCCTACACCGACTAAGAAGCCGACTTCAGGTCCGCAGTCTCTGGAGACCAAGGTTTTGCTCGAGTCTCTGACAAAGGCAAGTGCGGCTGAAGGGTCGAAAGTTGGCGTTGATGTTGAGGACATCCGAGCCATCAACATTGACAGTGAGACTTTTATTGAGCGGAACTTCACCGCCAAGGAGCGTGAATACTGCAACAAGGCACCTTCTCCACAGGCCTCATATGCCGGCCGATGGAGTGCCAAGGAAGCGGTGTTCAAGTCTCTAGGAGTGCCCAGTAAGGGTGCCGGAGCACCACTGCGAGAGATTGAGATTCTAAACGATGAGAACGGTGCCCCCAAAGTTATCCTACATGGGGCTGCTCTCGAGGCCGCTAAATCCGTGGGCGTCAAGAATGTCAATGTCAGCATCAGCCACAGTGACAGCCAGGCCATTGCCGTTGCCGTGTCGACTGTGGAGAAGTGAGAAAGATATGAACATCCTTGAAGGATTTGAAGCGGTGTTTGTCTACGGGTTGTGAAAGCCTGTGTTGAAAGGCAATGGGGAGATAATACCACGACCGTACAGAGCGATTGGCTTTGTGAGATTTCTTTTTCTGTAGAGTTGGCAACAACAGGGATGGGCATGATGGCGCTCGTCGGTTTGTCCGATTGCCGCTGTAATTAGTTTATAGTTTCCTCTTCGGTTCTCGATTTTGCAACAACTGGAGGTGGTGCTCTTGGCATTATTGGTCTTTTTCTGCATGTACAGAGAAGAACAGGCCGAGGGGCAAGAACCTTCATCGTGGATACATTGTGCACAGAAATGCCCAAATGGAATGGAAATAGAACTTTTCTTCATCTCTTTTACTGCTTGCTGGTACTACATGTTATTAAGGTGCCCGTTCCAGGCACTTCCCCAGTGTACATGAGTAGGTAGACATCCGTCTTCGATGCTATTGATGTTTCAACAAAAAATGGCAATAGGAACAAAGGTGGTAAATGTGGTAAACGTGGTACACACATGACAATGTTCTGTCATGATCCGACTTTGTGGTGTGTCGAGGGCAATCTAAATACCTTAAAGGTAAGTGAAGGCTTTCTATGTATGTCGAAAATATAGAATGTTCTGTGGGCAAAATAAAGTAGATAGATATACTGCAGGTAGATATCATCAACGGATTATTTTATGTGGGATGTTGATCACCAGAATCGCTAGCGAGACACCCGCCAGTGCCTGTCCACCTCTCTTTCCAACAAAGAAGTTCGAACAGCTAGCTAGTCCGCTACGAAATTGCCATTCTCACCCATGATCTGGTGGATCGGACTCTCATTGTCGACCCTCGCGGAGGAAACATAATGCAACAACTCCTTCGTGCAAGCGGCAGCAGTGGCAGCGGCATATTTATGCCAAGTGTCACCGCGATGAGAGTCGGCATAATCACAAATCCCCTTGATGACCAGCCCCGGAAAATTGTGCATGAGACCCGCGGCTTCCATTTCGACACACAGGGCGCCGTATTTGGAGCGCAGAAAGTCACGGACACCGGGGTCCTTGACGACCTGGTCGCCCGAGGCAATCAAGCCATAGTGGACTTGAGGAGTGGTGGTGCCTCGCTGGGGACGGGGGACCTCGCCGGCGGGGTTGCACGCGAGGCAATTCGGTTGGTTTTTGGGGTGAACGGAGTCAGGGCGGAAAAACCGGTCAGAGGCAGAGCCCGGGTAAGCAAAGTCGTTTTTGAGGTTAGGGTGTCGATTGATCATGTCGTTGAGAAAGGCATTCATCTGTCGGCTGCCGTGGAGTTGGTGTTCGGTCTTCTGGGCCGTCAGGGCGGTCAGCAGCACGTTCGAGGGCGCGTTGACGGACCCTTTACGCTCGAAGTGGCCGCCGTGGAAGTTTTTGCCCCGGTTGAATTGGATCACGCCGCCCGTCGTGCCGGCCGGTTGACTGACTACGACATCACCCAGGCGGATGTCGAAGATCGGCAGGTTGGGGATGCCGCCGCCAATGCCTACCAGCAACATAAATCGTAGGTCGTGGAATGCCCGTGTCATGTCCTTGACCACGCTCGCCGCCGACACGGGCCCGTCGATCCCTGCGGGAAGTCCCGCTATCACCACGTTGTGGTCGTGGATCCGTCCCACCGCGTACGTGTTGGCGTCCTGGCCGTGGCCCCGGATCATGCCGTGGTCTTCATCGAGCATCGCCCGCGCTGCAAGCATGTCTGTGTGAAGCGCGCATATCCAGCCCACTCGATATGCTTCCAGTGATGCCGGTGGAGGCATGTTGAATGCGGATTCAAAGCTTGGACTGACTGGATATCGCCAGTATGGATATGGCCCGTAGAGCAGCTGATTGTGAGTACAATAATGAACTAATGCCGGGCGGCAGTGTCCGTGTTGTCGTAGTCGTTGTCGTCGCCGTCGTAAGGCTGTCAAGTACAATTGATCCGGCGCAATCCGGGTGCGACTTGGGCACGCGCACGACGCTGGTTTCCTGCAGCAGGGCGTCAATAAGAGACCATGGCCTTCTGCAGAGTGCAAACTCAACAACTCAAAGCTCGGCTGCAAAAGTACTCATCATTGATATGCGATGCAGTGCGATGCGATGCTTCAGACAGCTTTGACTCTGTGCTTGCGCGTGTACTTGTGGGAGGATAAAGGTTCAAATTCAAAAAAGAGCAGTAAGACTCAGTGTGTCTTTCGACAATAACGAATCATGCCGGTGAAGAGAAGATGGTAATCATTGAAGATCAGGCCAGTGAGATCGGATCGTCCACCATGTCCGTGCTGGAGTGAGTGGAGAAATCCAGATTCCCATCAGGGATCCTGAATGATGCATCCGTGGGAAGGGCCTGAGAAGGAATGCTGCTGTCTGGAATATATTCATGGGTGCCCTTCATCTCGCTAAGCGAGGGTTGAAGCTCTGTAGCGGCGGGGGGAACTATGCGTGCTCTGCGTGAGGCTAGCTGAGAACATGAGGGCGGTGTTTGTCGTGATTCGTGAAGCTGCTGGGTCACCCACTGGCGGCAGCATTCAAGGTCCCGATCTCTACAATGTAGGAGGGGAGGTGTGGGAGATCAGCAACATTGCAAGGGTGTATGGATCCTCTGACCAGGGTTCGCTCCCCTCGCCTACCCATGAGCCAGCAGTTTCCAGGCGATCTGACCACAACTTTGGCTTTCCATTTTCTTGTCGTGGGCTTGATCCTCTCGTCCCGGCCCGTTGTGGACAAAGCTTTAGGACGTTGAAGATAGGGTTTCATCAGTCACTATGGTCTCTCCGTCCATCCATGATGCCAAAAAGACAACTCATCTAGTGCGGTGTCAACACGATTAGTGGTATGCATGATAATAGACCGACCTGGAGCAAACTCAGCAGTCTACCATCCGCGTCGACTTCCTGCGTCCAACCAGTTGCGTCGTACCTTTCATTGTCCACTAAACGATGCATCTCGATGCTAGCGAGCCAGTATTTTGACAGGTGTCGAGACAGGGGGCCGTCAAATCAGAACATGGCTTGAACCGCCCGACGCGCAGGTCTACCCAACACAACCCCGGACAAGGGGCCCTGTCAAAATTACCCACATTCTGCCAATGACTGAGAAACACCATATGATACATGCCGGGTCTAGGGCAAACTTCATCCACAGCTTGCTCTTCGTTTCAAAGCAGGACTGATTGGCCCATGCTCGCAGGGGCGTCCACGGCGTCGAATCTCCAATGCCTTGTCAGAGGGGTTGAGCATGACAGTACTTTAAGCCATAGGCAATGGATATGCGGTTTCAGCTGGGGATTGTGTTCGTTGCTACCGGGAATCTAGGCCACGGTCATGTTGAGTCCTTCAAAGTGCTCTCTTTGATATGATCATCAGCCTCAGTAGCTTCCGCCTCAACATAGCCTTCGTCGGCACCAACGTAGCCGTCCTTGTCCACATAGATGCCGGGCGGGATGAACTTGCGCATGACATGGTCAACCCAAGACTGGGGTAGCCCTAGCTTCACGGATTCATCGATTGCCCGGTTCATCCGGCCAATATACTCTTTGGCTATCTTGCCAGGGCTGGTGCGGAACTCATCAACATACACCAAGGCACGGATAGTGGTGTTGTGAAGACCAGGACCATCCCAGTCCGGCACACTGACACCATACTCGTTGGGATCTCGCAGCCATTTGGTCACTGTCACAGGCAAATATTGCTTATTATAGTCCCAGCCGCCTTGCAGATACCGTTTAATGTGCTGGGTCTCCGGGTCGGGGTTAATTTCTGGAGTTGGGTTTCGCGCTTCGTTGTGTCCTTCATACATGTCCAACCTGGCTTCGTCGACCGGGTCCAGGTTGTATATCACACCCCATACTGTGTTGTCGTCTGATGCGGCGTTCGAGGGCGGTAGAGACACTACGTTGGCGTATCCGCGCTGACAGATGATCCAGGCGTGGCTGTCCAGGCGTGCAATGGCCACCGGCACACTTGATGAGGGGCTGTGCTTCAGCCTGATGGACATCTGGTAGGGCGACAGATTGCTTCCAAAGGCAAAGTAGAAGGAGCCGGTCTTGGAGGAGGTACTGGGATGGATGACGGACTGTTCCTGAGCCATGGTGCGAGAAGTCGAGGGGAATCAGACTGGATATCGAACTCGTACAGAACCCAAGGCCGATCTAGAACGTAAAGCCACACTGGATGCAAGATGGCACAAAAAAACAATGGTCTAGCAAAACTATGCAGCTCTATAAAAGCAGACAACACTCTATGCCGGAGCAGATTGAGATGAAAGGACAGAGATGGCGGCGAAGCTGATTCATAATATGATGCTGCACCGAGTTGCTGCCAAGACTCCCGATTGGGATGTCTACAAGAAGCAGGAACTGAGGACAACAATGACATCAATCGCCCGCTGTTCAAGTTGGAATCTTCCCGTCTCTTTGACCTTCTTGTCGGCATTTGATCCCAGGTGGGCGGACAGCGGTAAGGGAAGAGACGAGACTCCGGTAATTACGATCTAGTCCGTCCACTGAGAACATCTTCCCTCTTCCAACAACTGCCGCATCGACAGTAGCCGAGAGCAGATCGTCGACGATCGTCAGCCCGTCCAGCCAGTACCTTGCAGCAGCCAGAGTTATCTTATCGTAACAAGCGAAGAGGTTGAACTACGCCATTGCCGTCACGTTATCATGTCAGGAATTAGTTCTGAACAGCAACCACCGAACGCAGATCCAAAGAACCAACAAGTCGAACCATCGACCACAATGCCGCCTTTCCAACTACCGCCAAACCTCAAATTCGGCCCCTTCTCCGTCACCCCTCAGGTCTTTCACCTCTCCCGTTCCCGGCTATCATTTGGCCTGGTGAATCTGAAACCCTTACTACCGGGCCACGTCCTCATCTGTCCAGTGCGGTGTGTTCCGCGGTTATCGCAATTGAGCTCTGCAGAGACGGCAGACCTCTTTCAGACTGTGCAACGAGTCTCGCGGACCCTGGAGCGCTTGTACTCGGCTAGTGCTTTCAATGTGGCTGTTCAGGATGGTGTAGACGCTGGCCAATCAGTCCCACACGTCCATGTGCATATCATCCCACGGCGACGAGGGGATTATGACCATAAAGGCGGCGGAGACCAGATTTACAATGCCATGGACGGCGAGGAGGGAGATGTGGGCAAGGCGTTTTTGGAGATGCAGCGGCGGAGGGATGAGCTGGCACAGCAGAGGACGGAGATCGCCAACGGTCCGGACAGCGATAGACAGCCGAGATCGATAGAGGAGATGATGAAGGAGGCTGAGTGGTTGAGAGAGGAAATGGAGAAGGACCGTGTTGATGGCGACGAGGACAGTTGAGAACGTCGGATTGATTGCATCGGGCCATGAATACTGACGTGTAATCACTCAATCTTGTGGCTGACCCAATTCGCAGTTGTGGAACAAGGCATCGCTTAGAGGGTATGTCCACGATATGGCCCTCAACTGGTCATCCGGGCCACTTCCATCAGCATTACCGGAAGTACGAGTGGTCTCAGTCTCACGCGTAGCGAGACAAAGCCAAGCATAGTGCCTGGTCAATAGCCAGACGAATCACGGCCGGAAACAGATCATCGAGCAGCATGGCCTTCTATTGCTTCCTGGGTATTATGACTGCAACAACTGGCAGTCGTGGCAGTCCCATCCGTTCTATCATACAGTAGCATCAATCAATCGCAAACACAAACACCTCCGTGTCTTCATCTCCATCCCACTTCAGTTCACGACTCTTTATGGCCGTTCGTCTCAGCATTTCCATTGCCATAATACTCATCCTGTTGCTCCTTAATAGTCGCAGCTTTCGTAGGTTCACGCGGCGCCAGATCCTTGCTCTGCCAGAGTTTCGATCTCTCATCCAGAATCTCCTGTGCCCACACCTTCATTTCGTCTAGACAAATCTTCCTCGCGACCCAGCTGAACTCGCTAAGATCAACCGCGCAATTACTGGCTCTTTCATACTCCACCATCTGCAGAATCAACTCAATCTTGTCGACATCATGGACGAATTTCGATTCCAGAGTCTCACTGTCCTCATACTCTTGCCAGACCGCACGGATCTCCTGTCCGGGGATTCCGCCATGTACTTTGCCCAGCAACGAATTGGCGACCCAATCCATGGTTTCGGCCTCGCGACGGTTCTTTTCGACCTTGGGCACCCCGTCCACAGGAGTCAGGTCGCCAACCAATCCCTCAGCCATGTCGTGAACCAGCGCCATCTTGGTACACCGGGGGATATCCAGTCGGGCACTCAATTCGGGAGGTGCGAGCATGGTGATCAGAGACATGCGGTACATGTGGTCTGCTATTGATTCTCCCTTTGAGATTCCAAATCTTCGCCATCCTTCGCGCTTTTCAATCTTGAGTCGCTCGACGTAGTGGAAAAATGAGACTGGTGAGGTTGTATTTTCGGCTGGCGCGTTTGGGAGGTCTTTGAGTACTGCTCGGACGGACCATGGATTAGGTCGAGGGAGGAGAGACGTGTGTGCTGATTTGGGAGGTTCTGCAATAAACGTAAACATTTAGCTGGCGCATAAACTAACCTGACCGGATAAACATACCTTGAGGCTGATTCGAAGCCATTGTGCTTAGTTTTTGGTAATTGTGTGGCCTCAGCAGACAAAAGCAAGAGGAGTGGAGGGGCGATTGAATGGCGAGAAGAAATAGAAAAATGTCTAAACCGCCGCAAGAGAAGTAATTTTCAACTCCCTAGCACATATGTACAGAGACAAACATACGAGACAAAGAGAAAGAATAATTGTTTGGCAGCGTGTTGTAGCAAGGCAACCCAGCCAGGAAAAAGAAGACACGGTCCAGGTTCTTCTTTGCCGCAGTTTGGGTGGGATTCAGTTCTCAGGGTCTCATTTTGCTTTTCCCAACTTTGTTTACCAACTGACGTCGCGCGCCGTCCCGCTGCCGTCGCCCCTTACTATTGACTACACATCGATTTGATACGGACAACCAACCCTGCAAGAAACATGCCAGATGATGGAAACACCCTCCGGCCTCAATTGACAATCTTACCTATGTCAAACCTGAAGGAGACATATGGACAATCCAATCACAAACCCAAGCGACACCGGCATCGCGATCCATTGGATCCCCCGAAGCGACATTGCCATCTTTATCCGAGCCCTCCATCTACTAAACCTCGACCTACTTCCAGATTTCCCCGGTATATCTGAGTCGACGTTCACCAGCAACAATGTGTCGCTATCACAGTCACACATCTCGACCGCCGCCGGCAATGCGACTGCCACCGCTTCTAAATTACCATCCTCCAGATCGGCTAATCCTAATCATAAACACACATCCACATCTACGTCTACGTCCAAGGTGACAACACAAAACGCCCCTCCATCTACATCCCGCGTCAAAGCCATCGAATGGTGCCTCTACCGCCTATTCGAGATCTTGAATCCCGAAGGAACACGCGCAAAACTAGCAGCCTACTTCCCGCCCACGACGCCCAGCCATTCTCTAAATCTCCGGGCCGCACTGTACAAGTGGCTAACCGAACTGAAAAAGGATGGCTCTCTTCCACGAGAGACGGTCCTGCGAAAGACCATGCTGGATGAGTGTAAAGGCGAAAAGTTTGATGAGTTGATGGCGAGGTTTGCAATGTTTGTGGTACGACGTAGCCTGACAAACGCCGCGTCAGGCAAGGACGGTGTTGTCTCTGTCGTCAAGGGCAAGCAACCACCAGCGCAAATAACTGCACCAGTAGCGACAGAAGCACAATCAAACCCAAAGTCAAGAGCAAGACCAATAACAGTGGTCTCTCGCCATCTCAAGGAAGACCAGACTCAAAATCAAGATCAAATCCCGCATTTAATCCTCGCCTACCGAGTCTCACTGCACCAAACCCTCCTCAGACGTCAAGCTCTTCGCCAAAAGGCAACGACAGCCGTTACCGAACTGGACCGACTTCAACATGATATCAACAGAAGGCTACAGGCGGTGGCATCATCAGAACCAAACGACAACTCTGAAGAATTTGAATTGTCAGAGCAGGAATACGACGCGCTGAAAGATCAAATTTACCATGCGTTCGCTGCTGAGCGCCAGTGGGGGGATTATATCCTAAATGGCAACCCTGCGGGATTTCCTTCTTCTTCTGCTGTTACTGCTGGTGGTGGTGGTATTACAGATTTCATCTCCTCATGGGACAAAACAGGAAAATCACAGCTACAATCTTCCCCGAAATCTGAATCAGAACCCGAAGCCGAAACATTCATCAATCAACCTGTCACATCATTCACACAGTCAGAAAGCAGAGTCCGCCCTGGACAAGAAGCAATGACACACCTACAACAATGCATACTCGAGCACCAAGCCAGGACACAACGGCTATCCGGTCTTCGCGAGTCGATTCTTGCCGCTAGACGACGCTTGTCGGAGGATGAGTCTCAACCTGCTCCACTGGCAGCTGAAATAGAATCAACAGAGGCAGACACAGAGAGAAGAGGAGATACATTCACAACCACAACCACAACGGGCACCGCAACCGCAACCGCCGCCGCCGCCGCCGCCGCTGGACCCCGATTCAACAGACACCAGGCGCTGACGCTGACAAGTATAGGTATCTGTTAGTACCTGTACCAGTTTGCATGTGGTATCATGTGAACGTACTGTGATTACCAGTCTGCCCGACAGAACTCACAACTTGAATCCCAACTTGAAGGCCTAGCCTCAAATCACAAGCCCATCCATGCCTACTGCTTATTCACCTGCCTACCGTTGGTACGGTATCTATGCGTCATGCACAAGTACGACTACCTAGGTAGCTAGGAGGACTTGAGTAGTACATGTAGGTACCTAACCTTTGCCCTCCGTCATTGGGCTACTATGGCCCTTTGTAAAGTGCCAATCGATTGGACTTGGAAACTCTGGGAAAATGGATGAACGATCAATGAATGAATCGATCAATCAATCAATGCGCTTGCTCAGTCAAGCACCACGCCATTGTTAAAGCCATGTAGCTAACCTAGGTATCCGGGTACCTGGGCACGTAGATGGGCGTCCTTGAGCGAGTTTAGGCTACCGGTCAAGTGCTGTAGGACGGGCACCTTATCTGGCGCGAAGCACCTTTCGTCCTTTGAGAGCCCCTGCTCCGCGCTCGAGCTGCCGGTCCCTTTCTACCATCCTCGCCGACACCTTGCCCATCCATGGCATGATCAGCCATCCACTGCGTCGTCATCATCATCATCGTCTTCGTCCACAAGTTCGACTTCAACTTTCGCCCCGAGAGCCTGTTGTCCTTCCCGAATCATAGCCTGCAACTGCGCGTTGAACCGGTTCATCGTTTCGTCCTGCTTGGCCTCCTTGCGACGCAGTTTTTGTTCAAATTTGCGGACTTCTGGGGACGGTTGATGGTGAGGGGACACAATAATAGTAGGGGTTTCAGACAAGCCATCTGGACCTGCGCCGACCGCTCCCGTGGCTAGCTGGCTGGCACTGGCATATCTGCGTGGCGAAGCTAGCGAAGCTAGCGAAGCTCTACTATTGCTGCTGCTTCTGCTTTGGATACCAGTTGGCCGTTTCGGTGACGTGATTGTAGTTGTACCAGTATGGACATGGCTGCCTCGACCACCGGATTGACGAGTGGCGTGCAGTGCTGGACTGCCAGTGTTGCCATTGTTGACAGTTGTAAATGTGCGGCGAGGAGAAGCAAAGGAAGCCGATGACAGAGAACCAATCGATGGTTTCTGGTAGATGGTAGACGACGAGGATCTCGAAGACATGCGCGGTCGAGCTGAGCCGCTTGCTTGTCTGGCTGTCAGGGCTGGACGCGCATAGAGACTCGCCGTGCTCGCCCTTGACTTCTTACGTACTGGGCTGGCGTCTCTTGAAATGGAGTCTTGGTTGTCATCTTCTTGGTCTTGATCTTCCTCGCCTACCACGACCCATTCGTTCCTTGATGCCGAAGATACACCTCTTTGTAAGGTTGGAGTTGCAGCATAAGAAAATTTAGGACCGGCACCGTTCATTCGCGACGGGGATGGATTGGACATGTAATCTTCGATAAAGTTGGGTTGGTCTTCTGGAAACCCGCCTGGGACTGGGGTGCGTTCTCGTGCGCGGTCTTGGCTGGCAGAGTAGTCATTCTGAAACACATCTTGCTGCGATATACCGACTTGTTGCGTCCAGGTTTTCGAATCGCAGCCACTGTCCACCTGGAGTTGGTATCCGTTCCCTCCGCCGGCATAGAATCCCTTGAATGTAGTCTCCCAGCAGAAATTAAATACTTTCCCAGCAATGCCTCCGGTCAAGGCCCAGACGGTCTTGCCCCACCCTTTCGGAGAGTTTGAGGATAGCCTTCTTTTGCCCCTTTGCTCGGCTTGAGGCGTAGATGAGAGTGGGAAATAAGAGTCGGACTGGAAGGGCTTGTGCTGCGCAGCGAATCTGCTGGGTCGGCAATCGGCTTCGTAGTCGTACTCGTGGCCATCCTCTTCCACCTGCACTCCCGAAGCAAGTTGGGCATCGAGGCCTCCTCCTGCCATGCGGTAATCTGTGCTGACGAACGGCGGTGGACTTAGGGCGTCGTCACGAGACGGAGTTTGTGTTTGTGTTCGTGTTTGGAGGGAAGATAAACGTTTAGAGTCGTAAGCACTTCTCCCCTGTTCCTGAGACTGGTTGCGGACAGTGGTAAGACGAGGTCGCTTACGACTAGTCTCGTGGTTGTAATCCGTTTGAGTTGAGATCGGTTGGCTGTGGCTTGGGAATGATGTCGACGTCGGAGTTGGTGGGTAGGAATTATTATCGGTGGCAGGTGGAATAAAGACAGATGGTCCGCAACGCGCAGGTCGAAACATCAGGCTGTCTTGATCAGGCATGAAGGATCCTGGTATGGTGACAGGCGACTCTATAAGGGTAGACATTGTCGCGTTGGAGGAAGGTTGATAGATGAGATGGATGCTAGGCGCAGGGAGCGGTAAACATTTGTAGAGGTTCTGGCATTATTCTGCCGCGAAGAACAATGACATGTGCACTGGAGGGAATGGAGAAAGAACTGATTAGTGGTAGAATGTGAAGCGTGAACGATATCAGGAACAATAGACAATCTGGTCTGGTTAAGAGTCAAGCCTGTCCATCTTGCTGACTGAAGTGCGACGTAGACATTCACTTCAAGTTCAGTCGCACACGCTCCAGGCTCCCGCAAAACGAACCAGGAACAGAAAGTTGGTGCAGTGCGGGGCAAACTTGGCCGTTACCCAGCAACTGCGGGAGATGACGGGAGAGTTCCGTCGGCGTCACATGATTTTGGATTAGATAATCATATTAACCCCGGTCTCACGTGACCAAATTTTGACTCGGGGGGCATCGAGGTCCAGGGTTCAGCTACAGTACACATTCAGCTGTAATAGAATATCGTTGTTCGACAGCATATTGTACAGTACTGGTACATACCCTCCTCGCCAGTCCTGTGGACTCATACTCACTCAACACCTCAACCACAAAAACTGATATGGCCTCAACTCGATGCCCGCGTCCCTCAAGTTGATCATATACCCGGAAACCAAGTCCTTCGCCTCGACAGGCATGGCCAAGAAGCGATCTCTCCCAATCCACTGCGGCCTGTCCGAGAAACTGCACAGACAAAGCAGGGTCTCTTCCGGCCCAGGTCTCTGATACCCTAGGACTGTCGGGTTGCCAGTGCGAAATCCGACGGCAGTACCGCCAGCCAGTTCGGGCGTGGCTTTCCTTAACTGGATCAAATGCCTCATACCAGTAAAAATCCTGCCAGAAATCGTCCCGGGATCATGTCTCTCGACATACTTTGACGCAGGATACCAAGGCCGATTGACCCATCTGCTGTCACCCATTTTGGCCGGGTCCTTGAGACAGCTATAGTCATTAAGCTGACCGACCTCATCTCCCAAATAAATCAGCGGAACGCCGCCCGTACTCATGGCGAGCGAATACAACAGCAAGATACGCTCCACTGCATATTCCTGCATCGACTCCAATCCGGCCAATGAAGCCGTTGTCCCGGATATCCGACAGTCTCCCGTCTTGGGGTTATCCTGAAACGGAACACCACGCGCAAAACTGCCAGGAAACCGATTGACAAAGAAAGCGTTCAGAAACTTTCTATGTTGAGCACCATTCTTGCCCAACTCCGCTGCGTCCTCGTCGGAGAAAGTCCAGCCGATATCGTCATGGGATCGAACATAGTTGACCCAGGTACATCCCGGGGCGATATTATGTCTGCGCTCAAGTGCCTGGGACAACAACGAGGCATCTCGCGTGGCCAAGGCTTCCCACCCCAAAGCCATTTGAAGCGGGTTATACGACAGCGGACACTCATCGCGGTCGATATACTGGACCACAAAGTCCGGATGCACAATGGCCTCAGACTTGAAGAGCACCGACGGCGCGGCGACGCGACACAAGGCATTGAACGCCCGCAGCAGTTTGTGGACCTCCGGCAGGTTCTCACAATCAGTACCCATCTGCTTCCACATGAATGCCACGGCGTCCATACGGAAAAAATCCACGCCTAGGTTGGCCAGATACAGCATCTCACCCGCCATGGCCTTGAACACGGCCGGGTTGGAATAGTTCAGATCCCATTGGAAATGATAAAATGTCGACCATACGAACCGTCCGTCCGGCAACTGGATGAACGACCCGGCATGGTCGTCCGGGAAGATTTCTCTCGTTGTCCGCTCGAACTCCGTCGGCACATTTCGGTCCGGAAATATCCAGTACATGTTTGAATGCTCGGCGTCGCCTTCCGCGGCTTTCTTGGCCCAGCTGTGTTCGTGCGAAGTGTGGTTGAACACTAGATCCAGCACTAGAGAAATACCGACCTTTCTCAGCGCCGTCGCAAGATCACGCAATTCCTCCATGCTGCCTAGTTCGGGTCGGACGTCCCGGTAGCTCGAGACTGCATATCCGCCATCGTTGAGGGGCTCGGGAGCCAGAAACAATGGCATCAAATGGAGGTATGTTAATCCTAATTCCCGGAAGTATGGAATCCGCTCCTTGATACCCGCCAGGTTTCCCGCGTATCGGTCGACGTAGCATACGCCTCCTACCATTTGGTTGGACAGGTACCATTCAGGCTCCAATTCGCGCTGCTGGTCGATCTTTCGGAGCTCAGAGGGTCGCTCGAGCCAGCTGGTTCCGCACATGGCGATCAGCTCGACTAGCTGATCCAGGCAGTCGTGGCGACGCCCGTATAGCTCCGCGAAAATGCCATAGATCGTGATGAAATGCTTGTCTAGTCGGGCGAGGAAATCTTTGTCTTGGAGGATTGAATTGCTGTCTGCCCTGCTTCGGAGTTCTTGCAGTATGTAGCCTTTGACGGCCCGTGCCTGCTGTTCGATACATAGGCCGGCCATCGGGGCCGGGGCTGTTTGAGGGGGAGGGGAGGGTTTCGGTTTCAGACAGTAGGAAGCTGTCTTGTGCAGTGCTCAAACGGTGCAGAGCCAGTGCCCTGGGCGATACAGTCGGCAAGTATCTAAGGTAGCAGTGGAAATCGCCATTGTTTTCCGCCAGAAGCGCCTATGTGAGGCTTGCTCAGGAAGTCTGCAGAAGAGAGAAAATCATCGTAGTAGTTGTAGAAAGAAGGAAAAAAGACACTCCTCGCACTTCAGGTACTTACGATCCTGTCCTACCTCACACTTGATCCATGACCATACCCAAAAGACAGAATCATTCTGTCAAACATTCCTCCAGGGAGGACCCTCGGCCATCTCTTCTTTTGTTGCCGACCGGCCGGGACTCACGTTCTCTCGTATAATGATAAATCTAGGGCAACTTCGGACGATGACGGTGGCAACAACACAGCAGCTAGGTAGATCAACGCCATGCCCCTCGGGGGCACTGTACTGTACCATGCTCCGCCGTGACAAGTCCAACCGAGGAAGTCCAGCTGATGACTTCGATGCCACTCAAGCTTGACGTTTGAAGAACTGAGACGGCCCTTTTTTCGGCCGAATTATTTCAATATAATAATAGGCCAGGCCCGAGCGCAGTGACCGAGGAAGAGCCGCCTTAGCATTTCGCTACCTAGTCAAATCCCCATATTTCGATCCCCACGCCCGTTGAGGGACGGACAAGAAACCAGACTCCCTTTCTGTCAACTTACAACACTGGTCCCGGTCCGAGAAGAAACAGATACAGTACCTCTGTTCAACGATACATTAGCTTCCTGGTCAACACGTGAACTCAACCCCTTACAGTATTTCCAGACGCTCGACTTAATCAATTGATTACCTACTACCCTACACACTCCAAACTCCAAACTCAACTTCATACCCATACAACAGTACCACATACTAATCAAGGGTCCCCAAGTCCGAGTCTGGGCCTGAGTACCCCCAACCACCTACCTAGGTAGGTAGCTACCCAGCCGTCACACTCCTGTACATCGATCTAACAAACAAACCTCCCCGGCGCACTGGCCTGACTGATTTCCCTCCTTCCATACGCATTCTCCTTGTCTCTCGCGGCAAACAATCCAGCAACACCATTAACAACCTTTGGTTTCGTCGGGCTATTTCTCGTCGTACCACCCGTTATCCCCTTGTTCAAGTTCGCAGTGTTCAAGTTGTTCTCAGTCGACTTTTTCAAATTGATGCTCCGCGCACGATCTCTCCGGGCTCGAATTTGTGCCAACGCCGCTTCTCTCGAGATCGGCGTGCCTGGGATGTTGCCGAGAATCGAATTCGAATTCGAACTCGAAGATGAAATCGAACCAGAACTAGAGACCGGTTGCAGTGGGCGCGCTGATTGAGCAGCACCATCTCTGACATTGGCGGCGGTTTCTATGTCATCCATGTGCACATTGACATTCACATTCAACACTTCAGTATGAGCGTGCTCGTAACCATGCCCATAAACATGTCCATGTCTGTTGTTGCTGTGTCGATTGCTGCGTCTTTCGGTATGGCATTGTCGTTCATCAGAACCAGACATCTCATCTGTATCCTCGAATCCTCGCAGGGGAACTCTTGTCGTGGTCGTCGTCTCCGTTCGAGCATGATCAGAGCGACCTTCCGCTGCTGCAGTGCCACTCTCACCTCTTGGCCCGGTCTGATGGTGGTACTGCTCATGCATTGATCTCGAATGCTTATGCACGGGCGTCACAGGGAAGATCGTATGAGGGGCCGGCGAGGCCGATGTCTCCTTGATGAACTCCGCTTGTTGATCATCATCATCATCACCTAGGTGAGAAATGACTGACGACGCTAGAGGCGAATGGCTGGGGAGGACATTGGGTCGAGATTGCGCCCGTCTGTGCAGAGGAGTTCGTGAGGGACAATCTTTTAACGCCACTTTGGTAGTCATGGTCATCATCGACTGGGTCTGATTCTGGTTCTGGTAACCACCATGTTCGCGCACAAAAGTTCCGCTAGTGTTGGACCAGTTATTATCACGTCTCGAATGTGATACCCGAACTGACCGTGGCGAGTCGGGTACCAACCGTATGGGAGAGTCGACCGTCAATATACCCATAGCCGTAGAGGGACGTTTGGGAGGATGAGGGGCTTGTTTGGGAGGAGACAGATCGAAAAGGTCCTGTTCCATGACTGCTGATGCGCTTTCCGTGTGCCGCAAAGGTGGTGCCATTTCCCTATTCGCTGGATTGCTGGTAGTTGAGGTGGAAAAGCAGAAAGGCTTGGAAGCTGTCCCAGCTTCCACTATGACTTGTGTGATTTCTTCCAGTTGGGCTGTTGGCTCGGGCGTTTCATCTCTTGCGTCTAGTTCCATGGGCTGTGGCTCCGGGAGAGGAATTTCAATGGCCTCCTGTAGGGGTGATGGCAGTTCTGGTGCTGCTGAGAGAGTGTCTGGGGTCGGATCCGGAGGCAACTCAGTATGACAAGTTTCCCGAGTATGTGTGCTCTGATCAGCTTCGATCGCACCGTCTTGATGCTCTGTGGACTGCGCAACTTCTTCACTCTTGTCTTCTTGTGCTAGAGGTTTCATTTCGGATGGTCCATGTGAGACCTTTCTCTTCTTCGAAGTCCTCTCCTGCTGCAACATCGCTTCATATGCATGGTCGTGGATAAATCGTTCGCCTTTTTCCTCGGCCAGGCGACAAGGGCAGGCCTTGAACTGACACTGCATGTGCATGAAATGGATTGTTTCACGGTCCTCGGCGTGTTGTTTCCGGGCGAACTTGAGTTCTTGTTTCAAGAACCGAATCTCCTCCGCCGGAGTCACCGGCTCTCCCTGCATCTTTTTCTCATAGAGCTCCAGTCGGAACTTGAGTGACTCAAAGGCCGGGAATGCTGGTCCATTTGGCACTGAAGACACTTCAAAGTTCGTCGGTGCCGAATCCTCCATCTCCGACCAGCTTCCGTCTTCAGTTCCTTGAGTCAATTGTCGAGGCTGTGTGGTATCCTCTTCCATAGTTTTCTCTTCCTTCCTCCGTTGATTCTGTGGCCTCGACGATTGACCGATTTGGTTCGCCTTGACCTCGAGCAATGCAGCATCTCTTTCTTTCTCGACGACCCTCAATTTGTCCTTGAGTTGTTCCATCTCACCGACCGTGCCAGCAAGAGCATATGCTCTTTCAAAACTCTCCTGGCGACTCTTCTCCTTCTCTGCTTTTTCGTGTTGCACTTCCGCCTGACAACGCTTAAGCTCGGCCCTGACCTCCTGTAGATCTTGTCTTGATTCCACGGCAGCCAACTCCGCCCGGTAAGCTTCTTTACGGCACCGCTTGACTTCTTTGGTGTACGATTCCTGGTCTCGGGCTCTCTTTTCCTTTTCCGCCTGCAACTCCTCCAGGAGACTTTCCACACGTTGGGCAAGCAGTCTCTCCCTCTTCTTGCGCGAGGCCAGTTCTTCTTTTGCTCGCTCTAGCTCCGCCGTGATTGTAGCTAGACTGGCTTGCGCTTCCTCGTAGCCCATCACTGCCTGTTGCAGCGCAGTGTTGGTGTCAACTCCATTGGTATCGGCGCTTCCGTGCATGAGCGACGTAACAGCAGCGCCAATCCCGGCATTGCTGGTAGTTGGCATCACTCTACCGGCTCCTCTGCCTCGTCTGGTCGGTGACGACTGAGCACTGGCGGTGTTCCCTGCCAAGCTGTTCAACAAGGCGATCTTGGCCTGCACGTCCGACGTTATGGAGTCGCGGGTTCGTGGCCGGTCATTCTCGACAAGAAAGCTGTGTAGGGATGGGGATTGAGGAATGCGTGGCTGGTTGAGTCGCTCTGGAGAGAGCTGATTCAGTGCTGCGGTGGGCAGCTGATATTGAGGTGTAGGAGGACATTTGAGCGGATTGGGGCTGACAGCGGCAGTGTTGTTATTGTTATGGTCAATGTGACTGTTGGTATCTTCTGCGATTATCGTTGAATCCATGTTCTCGAACTACCCAACGCAAACCAACTCTCAGTATGTTCGTATTGCTGTCATGTTTCTGAATCGTGGGACTGTTCGGCAGAAAACCTGGTAACCTGCAATGTGAGAGTTACCACTCAAAATCGCAGTCTATCATGCGTTGCGCTGCGCTCGAATCTTTGTTTACATCCGAGAATGGCAACCCGCAATGCAGCCTTGGCGGAGCTGATGATCACGTGCCACTCGTTGTCAGGGGCCGCTCGGGCTTATTATTAAGCCGAGGCGCTTCTCATTGACTTGGAGGATGATGATATATCAGATAAGTAGCGGTGAAGGTAATGCTTTGGAAGTTGTATGCTTGCTCGCAACGTGTTGCCGTGCTCTTTTCTTCTATGAACCGGGTTGCTAGATCGCTCTCAGATCTGGCACACCTGCAGGCATATTGGCAGAACACATCCCAGCAGTAACGCCGACTGCTCCCTTTCCTTGAATCCGTCGAGGCGACTCCCTCGCCGCCGTGATCCTCGATGGACCCTTGCTGTCAAACAAATATGCAGTTCCGTGTTTCCTGATTCCCTAAATATCCTACAAATCCAATTCCATCACATCGAGTCGAGCTGTCACACCCAACTCTTTTCACCTCGTTCGATTGCCGTTCCAAACACTTTGAATCGCAAACCCAAGCCTTTTATGGTAATCGCGCAATGAAAGACTTTGTCCGCAACAAAGTCTTTCCAGAAACCCGAATTCCGAAAAATGAAAATCATAACACAATACAATACAATGCAGAAAGAAACAATCAAAATCAAACAAATGCAGGAAGCTCGGTTCTAGGAGCAATCCATTTCCACGTCCTCTCGTCGCTGTAGAAATGGGGCTTCACCAAAATCCATAGCTTCCATGCCACAGCTCATCATGCGTTTATGGGTGGAATGAGCAGGCACCGTTTCAGGCTGCGGCTGCTCAGCGGCCATGTTCGCAAATGCGCTAAAGGCAGAGGTTGGCGCCATTTGTGACTGAGCTGGTTGCAGAAAGCGGCTGCGGCTCTTGGGCATGGCCATTCTTCGGCCATGGATTTGTTGTTGTCTGGCTTGCTCGCTGACATGGCTCATTTGGCTGACTTCGCCCATAGTGTCCATGTCGATGGCGAAATAATCCACAGGCATGGCCATACCAGCATCTGCATGCAAGTTCGGTGTCTGAGGCTGCCAGTCCTGGCTTTCCTCGCTGTCCGATTCAACCTCATGACCTCGCTTGTGGCTGGTGGAGTAAGACCAAAGAGATTGATGTGAGACGGACGAGCTAGGGGGTTCCTCGCTGCAGTGCGACAAAAAGGCCAAGTTAATACCGCAGAATGTGGCCGTGCTCAGAGGCTGGACTTGCGACGCAGCAAATGGAGCCAGTTCAGCCGTTGCGCCGACATTTCCCCCGGCTATGGCGGCCTGAGTCTCTGGCGACAACTTATTGACGTCAAAGAAGGGTCGAGGAGTGAACTTCTTTGGCTGATTTTTGTATCCTTCCGCAACGGCTTTCCTGACTCGCATGCCCACCTGGAGCAGACCCGCTTCGATCTCTGCCTGGTCAGGAGCTTGTTCGCATAGCTGCAAGATCAAAGGCGAATCAAAGGTATGATGCTCTATATCTGTGTTATCGGAGACGGGGATGACAGGAGGAAGGGTATTTGGTGCGAAGCGACGTCGCTTGGTGAGATGCGACTCAACTTCGATTGAGGGAGCGACGAAAGAGTCCTGTGGCAGGCCCATTTTGAGGGAGTTTATGAGTGGTAAGGTTTTATGAGTGGTAAGGTCGGAGTCGAGAGAAGGTCGTGAATGAGAGACGGCGAACAAGCAGCGAAAGATGCGGTTGTTGCTGAGCTTGCTTCTGAGGTCGAGCTCCTGGACAGTAAAGTCAAGGAGGCGGACCGGATAAGAGCGAGAGTATGGTCTAACGACGTGATCCTGCTAAGTGAATAGCAAGATGAGAATTAACAGTATTGAGTGAGCGGGAAGGACAATTGATCTTGGTGGGAGAAAGTAAGAGTAGGTAGTGTAAGGAGGTGACAAGCAGTAAGGGCGAGCGAGAGTTAAAGAAGATAGAAAGCGGTTGAGATCAGAGGTGAGAGTTGAGACAAGCTGCGCGACTCCGGACAAGAAGCCGTACACTAGCTCAATTGGACGAAGACAATATTCTCTATAAGAAAGGTACCAAACACACAGTCCAATGGATGATGCGATTGCTTGCTCTGCCCGCTTCTAGTCGCTCGCGATCTCTTGGTGTTCAGTTGTGTTCGAGATTCAAACTCCTCGTCTGGCCAATCCGCCATGGTTCGATCCCACTTATCGCCATCTTATCCTGATCCTAGCCCCCTAGACAAGACGCCTGGGGCGTGTCTTCTAACACTCCTGTTCGGCCGGGCCAAGCGAGGTCGGAATTAATGGATGGCTGGTTGGTTGGTGGACACTTGACATTTGACACAATTGCAGGCTGTGTGGGCTGTGGGCTGTGGGCCTTTTTCCCTCGCTTGCCCGCAGCTGCACCTGAAATTGCAGCCAGAGCCCCCATTCTGTGCCTGGATGCTAAGCCGTAAGAGGAATCCGGCCCTGCTCAAAGGTGGCCCCAGCCCCCCTAAATTATCATCATGGCTGCGAGTGCCTGAACCTGCCGTCCGAGTCCGCCATTGATATTAATAGTGCCTCGCTCCTCCGCCGCTAGTTGTGTTCCAGGGCGTGGTTAAGCCGGTTAATCCATCAGACGAGGTCGTACGGCCTGCGGACAGCCACTTGTACTCCTGGACTGCATCAGGTCATTGGGGCATTTTGTATTACTAGTATTGCCTTGCAGCGCTCGGCTTTCCGCGCCTCGTGGTTTCTTGCCAAAGTCCGGGGCTGGCATGTCCTGGTCCACCAAAAACCACTACCACCGTGCTACTAGTAGGATTGAACAAGTGTTGCTAGCAAGGTGCCAAGGCTTTCGACCTGTCATTATCGGCAAACAGGCGTTCCTCCCTGGCTGACCCCACAGGCAATGATGCAACCGCCTAACACGAAACCAACGCGCAAATTTGCACAGGACTGGCTCAAGCGCGTTTTGCACCTACTGGCCGCGTTCTTGAGCTTCAAAGGGCAGCAGCAGCAGCAACACAACCTCAATTTCTGGTGACCTGCCGCCTAATATCTCCCATTGCAATGCGTAGCCATCACAGCCTATGTCAAAGGTTGATATGGCCTTCTTGAACTGAGTGCTGTGTTATGAGGCTGAAGTTAACCACGTAGAATAGTCCATCATATAGTGGATGTCAGCGCTCCTACAATGTACAAATCCGTTTCAGCTGTTATCGCCAGGTTACGTATGGCTCTCTCGCCCAGCTCACTGCACAACTGGGTCCAAGTCCTCAGCAGCCCTTTCACCACTTATTGCGGTATCTGCTTCATGACATTGAAGTTTGGAAAGGTGAAGATGCCATGCCTACGGACAACCACTAGGCAGGCTGGTACGTACCACGCCCACATCTGAACATTGTCACTGCATGCACACCACTTCCGAATTCATTTGAATGTGCGCATGATATTGGAAACAGTATCAGGTTCCCTAAGCATCGTACCTGCTGTATAGGTATGGATGCTGCGGTTGCAAAAGAGCAGCACACTGCACTGGGCCTGGGTTGTCACAAGGCTGTAGATGGTCCCAGCACTGCATGGTTGGTGGGGCTTCGGGCGGATCTCTTCAGCCTTGTGGCTTATCAGTTACTATCACCCCGAGAGACGGAATCACTCCATGTTCCAAGCATGCATTCATGAAGACCACCACTGTAGTGCAGGCGTTGAATTCACATGCTAGTTTTTGCAACGAACCTTTGGAAGACATTTTCGAATTCTCGTTCTCTCGAGGAAGGATATGGTTGGTTAGGAAAAGAGTCAGCGTAAGTATGACAATATACGAATGTGCAGCATTGCATCACCGCGCCCCGGCTTCCGTTTCCGACGCGGTGCAGGCCGGTGATTTCATCGCAACAAGAATACACAAATTATTAGAACAACTGGATCTTCATAACTCCAGAACCCTCCATCTTGACTCCTGTACTACTAGGTAAACTCTTCAAGCTATTGTCTACAAACTGAAACCAGCGAAACCACACTCCACACATTCATCATGCAGTCAGCACTTCATGCCGTCGTCGGCCCCAAGAAAGAACTGCATGACCTTTCCGGTCGAACCGCAATTGTCACAGGTGGCGCAAATGGCATTGGGTGAGTTTGGACCGACCGGTTCCTGTAGGACAGGCATCTAACACCGTTTCTATGATAGTTTCCAAATCTCGCGGCAGTTCGCCCAAGCCAAAGCCAAAGTCATTATGGTCAACCGGAAAGAAGAGCAGGGCGATGAAGCAATCAAGCAAATCAAGGCCGAGACGCCAGACGCAGATGTAGACTGGGTTGGTTGCGATCTCGGCAGTCTGAAAGAAGTGAAGGAGGTCTTTACCGATCTTCGGGAGAAGCTTGAGCGACTGGACTTGGTATGTCAACTTGGTGGGCTCTCTCCGGCTGTAACACGGCTGACCAGACTCGACAGCTGATTCTGTCCGCCGGCATCAACACCGACAAATTTGATTTGGACGCCGACGGCATCGACCGACATTTCGGCGTCAATTACCTGGGCCAGTTTTATGCCGTCAATCTCCTATACCCACTCATCCGCAAGACCTCCAAGTTGCCCAACACCCCAGCGCCACGCATTGTGTTCGAGGCGTCCGAAGTCCACCGAGCTGCACCGTCAGACATCCACTTTGGTTCGCTCGAAGAGATCAACAATAAAGACTTTGGTGCTACACATCTATATGCGCGGTCGAAGCTGGCTCTCATCCTCCTTGCAAAATACTTGCTGCCGGAGAAGGTGTTCAAGAAGAACGGCGACAGAGTGTACTCACTGAGTGTACATCCGGGCACTGTCAATACACAGATGCAGCAGACATGGAAGTCCGCATACCCCGGAATCTTCGGCAACATGCTTTCTTGGGCTATGCAGGCGGTAGGACGTGATGTTGAACAGGGATCTTACAGCGCCCTTTGGGCTGCTACAAGTTCAGAAATCGAGGAAAAAGACCTGCAAGGCTATTATTTCGTTGACCCTGTAAGTTTGACTGGTCATATGTTTTGCTTCAAATGGCAAATTGCTAACGGCTACACAGGGACAACCTGGCAAGGAAACGTCGCAAGCATCAGACCCAGCGCTGGCTGAGGCTCTTTGGAACTTGAGTATCAAGTTGATCAAGGAGAAGGTCGGCGAGGATGCTCTTGTGCCTTGGGACCAGGAGGCATCATGAGCATAGCTGTCAATGAGTGTCCCGCAGCAATGGGAAGTTGTTGACAGGAACGTGGCTCCGAAAGTGGTATCCTAGATGTCACTATGATTCATGATTCATAGACATAGTAATACACATTTGTCAATTCCAATGGGGTCGATAATATTGCTCTTTTTTTCGAATGGTACGTGAACAACATCGAAGTCTAAGACCACAGGAGGCAATCAGTAGATCATGGTAAGATCATGCAGTGCAATGAAGGTCGTCTTCAAAGTTGTAGATCTGACGGCAATCGTCATATTACACACCGCTCAGTGGGCAGTTCGGAATTCTTTCCCTTAGTAGCTGGATCAGTACTAGCAGGATGGTGGGATAATAGGGGCCCGGGCTAGTAGTCCCTTATCAATAAAAATACAAGATCAACAGATCATAACTGTGGGGACTTGCTACTTCCTTCAACTTCAAGAAATACTCGACCTCTACCCATGCACTGAAGGGTACACAATCCAGATCGATGGGATCTGCTCCATCTTGAGACGCTGGAGACATAGGATTCCCCATATCGGCCAGGAGTGAAATCGCAACTAGTTCACATGAAGGTTTCATGGAAATCACTGTTTGGGCCAGCGACAATCGTCATGACTCTCTCTTGACGGGGCGGGCGCAACTTCCATCAAGCGACTGGGAGCTGCGCGTTGCTGCACAACTCGAAGACGGGCACTGCCAGGGGTTTTGCACCACGATGTCTAACCACTACTTGCGATTCAAACTTAGCACTACTACTGCTACCACTGCTCCTACCCGCAGCCTGCAGTGAGTGCAGTGAATAATTGACTCCTTCTCTCCCCAGTGAAGCCTCTGACGTCTACATGACATCGGCCTCAGCACATTCGCTGCCAGTGCAAGTGGTTGTAGTCTGCCAGTGACCTAGCCTTGGACCATCACCTACCTGCCACTACTACATCGCATCATTCCATCCCAGGCATATATTGTACCAGCTTCCAGCTTCCTTGCTCGTTCCCCGAATCCAATTCTCCATCATGCCTCTACGAATTCCTCAAGCCTCTGTCCCCCGCATTGCACAGTTGACTGTCACTCGAACCAGAACCGTTGCTCGACCATTCTCAAGCAGTATCACGAGTAAGTCCAGTCTGCCGCTCACTGGTTTTGTCCATCAGGAACCCAAATCACACCTCAAGTCCGCTTGTTGAACAAGCACTTCACGACTAGCATTGGTTTTCATTGAGAAGTTGCTAACTGGGTCATTCTGTCCCTGTAGAGATGGCTTCCAACAAGGATACCTCCTCTCTCGACGCCGGTAAAGGCTCCGTTGGTCACGAGTTCACCGAGAAAGGCTCTGTCGGTGGCACTGCGCAACAGGTCGGCGGACCATTTGACAAGGAGGGCGCGATTGGCAAACAATTCAAGCCTGAAGGCAGTGTTGGCGGTACCGCGCAGTCTGCGGCAGAGCAGATGCAGGGTGATAAACCGGGTCTGTTTGACAAGGACGGAGCCATCGGCAAGCAATTTAGACGTAAGATTGACCTCTTTTCCCTCTCATGGTGTTTGAGCCATGGTATTGTTGAGCATGTTGACTTATACTGACTGTGGATTTTTGCTCTTATATAGCTGAAGGCAATATCGGCCAAGTCGGTGAAGCAGTTGGCGGTCCTTTCTCCAGCAAAGGAGCGATTGGCAAGCACTTCAACGCGGATGGTAGTGTTGGTGGAGCTGTGCAGGAGAACTTGGGGGATGGCAAGAAGAAATAAGTCAGAACGACAGTGGACTAACAGTGCCCGACCTGTTACAATGGTCCAGATGTTGCATGGATCAATCATGCAGAGCTGAGCAACTATTCCATGCTTGCTGTCACCATAAGCAGTTTATCAACTGGCTAGAGCCGGTACCAGTATGCTTGACATACTGATTAACAGCCCTTTCAGAAGGGTGAGATCCAAATAAAGTGTCCATCTGGTCCATTTTCCCTACACTCGTAGTAGGCATGTTGAGGGATCAGCTCTAAATCCCGAGCTCCAGTGGATGCCAGGATGGCCCATTATTCTGTGGCCGGCTTTGTTGGATACCTACCAGTATATTGCCATTATAGCTCATTAACCCTAAGTGTGGTAAGTGATACTTGTCCAAGATGGACAGAGGACATTATGCCATCGACTTCAATGGATAGGGATCGTGATCCTATTTGTAAATCTTGTTGTGCTTTGTATACCGTTGATTTCCTTATTGCAGTTTCGTTTCATTTCATTTCTCCGTTTAATTTCACCATGCACTACATTTGCCATTCCCCAGCCGTGGAGTTACAGTAAGCAGGTTGCTTAGCATTGTGAATCCGCGGGAAAATGCACTCCACTCTCCCGCCGAGGGCCTGATAAAAGAGAACCAATTTCCGAGCGGCGAGCCTGCCTGGTAGACTGCAGTATCAAAGTACAAGAATCAACTGAATATCATCCTGATCTGCAAGAGGATCAAGTTGCCTGCTAGTTTCGGGTTGCTGGTTATCGGCCATGGCTATGGTAGGTATCGTAGTAGTTTGCCAATCCAGCCTTCAACATCTGAAGATTTGAAAGCTACCAGGCAGGGTTCCAACCACCCAATCAAGCATTCAATGCGCTCCCCAAGATAAGCCGGTCCGCCACGTACCCAGTGACAGCAGCGTAGACAGCTTTATGAAGAAGATCGACGATCTGTTCGTTGACGGGCCATGTCCTAGATAGATAGACATTAGACAGTTGGTGAGACGAGCCGTAGACGAGTGTAGTGTCTTGAGACGAGTTGGATTTCGGCAGGAAAAAGGGGTTAGGGAAGATGAGTCGTGCTCCTTGAGCACTGCTGCTTACCAAGGCAAAGCCCCAACACCAGTATAATTCTCCAAACTCTGATCGACCAACAGTCTCACGCCCATGAACAAATAACTCCCAAACGGGCCGACGATGCCATAATAGCTCATCAGGCCCCGAACGCCGGCCGCGAGGATCCCTTGGCCCCAATGCATGGCCCAGTTCAAAGTGTCTGGAGACCATTTGTTCGAGTCGAGATTGAATAATCGAGCGAGCGTTTTGCCGGGGACATAGGAGTTGGGGCGGTGGGTTAGTGCTTGTTCGACTTTTTCGCCGAGAGTCATACTGTGACGGACAACATAGAGGGTTACTTTAGGAAAGGGGTTGAAGGTTATAGGGGGCAATGGTGTTTAGAGAGTGTAAACGTACGCAGCAACACCGACGGCGCCCGCTCCCAGACCGATGGCGATGCATTCGAGGAGGGAGAAGCGGATTTTGGGACGGGCTGGGTTGATGTAGTTTTCTGGCATTGTGGTGGTGGTGACTGATTATGAAGGTGTTCCTGGATTTGGATTCGGGTTCTGGTGGTATTCTAGGTAAAGAAGGGAGGTAGAGTCCGGCTTGCTTGGGCAGTTCAGTTCGGTTGATGATGCAGTGAGTGGTATGGTTGTACTGTGATTCTCTCGGGTGGAGCCCTGACTTATTACCTGATGACATGCTCAGCGGGCAGTCACAAAGATGACCCGATTTTGAACTTCACAATATCAGTGAGTCAAAGGAAGGATGTTGTAAATAAAAATAAACCAAGTCGGTGTCTTTATTTTGCAATCTTCAACTTGAAGTTGCTGGCATGTTATATCGATGACGTTTTGGTCGCCGGTCGGAGGATACTCCCGAATCGTGGAGTAGCGTCTCGTCCCGCTTCGGCGAGCAGAAATGAAGCCCAGTACTAATTAGTAGGACCCTCACTACTAAGGACTTGAGCATTACTTACTGTGAGTACCTATGTAACGCCGCCTGACGCTGGTGCCGTGTCTCCAGATAAAATCTCCATGCAGCGCTGTAGGCTTCTTGATCAGTGCTTGACCGTTAAAGTCAACTTCCTCAAAGTGCGGCCAACTGTGCGTCTTAGATCCCCCCCCCCTTTTTTTTGGACGGCGGCCAGAGACGCATACAACGATAAGGTATTGAACCGTGATCAGACTTTGGCCAGAGCATCTCCTAAATAGCCGATTGATAGGTATGTCACCTATGCATAGCACGCCTCTAATCGTCGTTCTGAACGGGAGAAGACGAAAACATATCCTCTGCCTCAAGCTCCTCGTTGTCGCCGTCTTCAAGACCGACTTCAGCTTCAGGTCCAACTTCAGCTGCACCTTGTTTTTCCGCCCCTCCTCGGCGTCCTTCTTGAGCCGTTGTCTCCTGTGGTGCTTCTACTTCCTCGTCCCCATTGTCATCGTCCAGTCGTTCGAGACCCTCATTTCGATCCTGCCCGCTGCTAGTATTTTGCTCTTGCTCCTGTTCATGCTCCTGTTGGGGCTCTTCCGTTTCCTTGGAATCGAGCTCAGCCTCTAACTCAACTTCGGCCGAGGGATTGGCGGCCTCCAGGCCTCCAGCGTATTCTTGCTCGGGGGTGGTCTTGGGCCCAGCTCCTTGTGCATATTCAGATCCTTGTTGCATGTCATCCAAAGCCTTCGTGGTCGACGAAGCAACAAAAACACTGGTCTCATAGGACGCCTGAAAGTCCTTTGTGTTTGGATTTGTGCGTACAGGCGACGAGGAAAACATGTCGTCCCCATCCGCCACATCCAAGTCAGGTTGCTCAGCATGCGCAGAGGGCCGGGGAGAAGAAATCCCCGTGTTCGTAGTACTCGTCTGCGACGGTCTCTGCATTGCTGCCTCTGTCTGACGTAATTCTTGTTCGGCAAGGAGAGCGTCAAGGTCGTCGTCTTCATCGAGATCGAGATCGAGATCGCCCAGGTCGTCATTGTCAGCGACGGCTTTGGTGGCCTCTTCCTTCTCTTCGGTGCGGCGAGGGCTAGATTCATTATTGGTGGATCGAGGCGCCAGCTCTGTCCTCGGTTGAGTAGTAGTCAGCGTCGCGCGTGCCTCTTGCTCTGCTAGCAAGGCGTCTAAATCGTCCATATCCTCCTCGTCGTCATCATCGTCCTCGAAAGGCGAGGTCTTTGGTCGTGATGTCGATTTAGATTGAACTGGTGGCGTCGCCGTTGCAGTCTGCGGAACCCGCCGAGTGTCTTGCTCGGCCAGTAGAGCGTCGGGATCGTCCTCGCCTTCGGAGTCATCGTCGATTGTCCGTTTTGAACGGGTGGGCGGCGGCGCTGGCCTCGCGCTGCCTGCTGTTTCTTGCTCTGCCAAGAGAGCGTCCAGCTCATCGTCCTCCGGCATCTCGTCGTTGAAGTTGGGGACATCATCACTTGCGCGCGTATCAGGGATGAATAAAGAGTCGTCGCCAGGAGCCAATTCATTTGATGTGGGTTCCGCGGCTGGTTCGTCCCCGCCATACAACTCGTCTGTCTTTTTCCCTTTCTCCCCATCCTGTGGCCTTGATGCTTTCTCCTTGACGTACCCCGGTTTCCCTTCGTCGATCCACTCCTTTCGCATAGTTTGCATCCGCTTACTATGCCCGACCTTCTCGATCAACTGTAAGCCATCGGCAAACTTGGCTCGAGGGTATAAGTTATCCAGCCACAGCTGGTAATAATTCAACAGACGAGCCACGTCCGAGAACTCGTGTCCTTTGCCTTTCAGACGCAGCTTCTTTGAAAATTTCCCCGACATTGCCAGAGCGCGTAGCTTTGGAATACCTTCAGCGGAAAGCAGCCTACCATGGCGTGAGTTGTGCTGGATTCAATGGGGGAAACTCGCGGCCGGACTCACCTCGCTTCGTCGAGTTTGGCTATAGGTTTTCTCTTTTTGGCGATTTTGACTTCCTCGTCCAAGCCCAAATCAGCACCTAGATCATTGTTGTCGCCTGCTTTCCGCTTTGCAGGACGAGGACTCAGCGTGGTCTTGTCGTCGCGAGCCTTACGCGTCGACTTGTCCTTGAACGGGTCTTCATCGTCTGTAGAATCAAAGTTGAAAAGATCGTCGACAGTAGCCGCAGTGAGAGGGTCTGTTGCCATGGTAGCCTGTTAGTCTGTTCGACTTGGGTTCAAGTGTTTTTTAGATAGCTGGTAGTATTGGGTAGACTGAGATGTATTGAGGCACTCCTGTGTATGTGAGACGCGTCAAGCCGGAGGGAGACGCGTTTTGGCGAGTGTTAATTGCATTGCTCCGACTGGCTGCTACGTCATTTTAGAAGTTGTAAGCTAGACCAGATTTGCACAAGCTCCATTTGCTAGGCTTGGCAGCGAAGCTCCGCCGGAAGTGCAGTGTCAGTGGATGCCATGCAGTGTGCTACTGTTCCTGTTCCTGTTGATGAACATGCCGTAGACTGTTTGCACTTGAAGGTCGTTCAGTCGCTGCAGCCATGACGGACGAGCAGAAGGTTTTCATCCCACCCAAGCGGGTCAACACCGACTACCCCGTAAGTCTCCGGATATCCAAAGAGTAGAACAACAAAGCTAATACAATCGAACAAAAAGGTTATCGACACCGACCCGTATGTTCCCCTTCACCACGATACTCGCGATCCGCGAAGTACAGTGCTGACTCTGCATTTGCCAACAGCCACTGGAGGCGGGCGTTTAGATATGCACGGCCGGAAGATTGGACATATGGAGCGGGGATGGCAGCTATAGGACCTGCTTTTATGCTCGCAACCGAACGATATGCGCCGTCATTCTCTGGCAGAGGTGCCTTTGGCCCGGTCTTCAGACTCAGCTGCGCCGTTGGATTAATAGCGGGAGCCGCATTGGTATACCAGAGAAGTTGCTGTATGTCTCAGCGGGAGAAGATTCTCAACAGTCAAAAATGTGGTGTGAGAGAGAGGATTGGCTAACCGGACCTTGATGTAGTGCGCTTCTACGGCTGGACAGAGAACGACCGAGAAGTCAAGATGGATATGAGAGAAATGGTGGACAAAGTGAAGCGGGGCGAGCCTTTGTACGGCAACACCGACCTCACCCCGTACATGCAGGGTGTGGCTGCACGAAACAGCAGATACAGTGCCTTGATGGCGAACGTTGTGCCGTGGGCCAACTTTGTCAACCACAACCAGGTGAGCAATACACTGTCGAGACGGTGGGTGGTGAGAAAAGTGCTAATACATTCTGCTCAGCATGGCGTGGATACTGCCAAGTACTATCAACAGGCAGAACGAGAACTAGAAGCTGAGAGATTAGAGAAGGGTGGCCGGTGAAGAGCTCACCCCAAACAGTGAGCCCAGCCTACAACAAAGAGTGAAATTCAAATACCGGTGTGTGCATTCCGGGCTGCTGCCACGATTGTATATAGACCGTGGGTGCAGTACTCCATGGCAAGCTTTAGCCTTCACCATCGGATCGGCGTAGCACACGGCACAATTGAGTTGTTTCAAATGCAGACATGTCTTCAGTTTATTGCTGATGAATGCCAGACAAAGGGCTTCCCCTGTCCATTTGCTGTTTGACAGCTCGATGTATGGATCACTGTGGTTAATCGTGATCATATTTCGCTGCTCTTCTCCCCAAAACAAAGAAGCAGGCTAGTGTTATCCTTTTCTATTCCACAATTCTATCTGCTTTACTGCTTTCAAGTTTGAACACAGGGCCCTGTATCTGAACACAAGGACCGACGTCAAAGACAAGACAGGTCTTGAACTCTTGGCTACCCTCACCACCTTCTATATCTTCAACTCACCAAAGCGCGCAACACCTTTTCTCCTTTCTACCTTTGCCTACTACTCTATTCTCTCCTGTTACTATCAAAGCCAGTCACAACTTCCTCCCGCGGACAAGGTATCTCACTCTTCCTGTTCCATCTCTTGTCCTGTTCTCTTACCGCGCCTCTGTCCACTTGAAACCTCTTCATAAACCCTTTTGGTGTTCTCCAACCAGACCAGACCAGACCCGATCCACACATCATGAGGGCAGAAAGCACCAATTCCAAATGGGCCAACGTCGACAAGGACTTTACTTCTTCGATCTGGGACGAAGGTAAGGATTACCTCCTATCATTCTCGCGTGTTGTTTGTTTGTTTATTTGTTTACAATCCCCTAACAACACCTGTTCTATCTATCTAGGCCTCCAAGCCAGCCAAGTCTTCATCATCCCAACAATCACCACCGGCCAAGGAACACGCGAACTCCTAGAAATCGTCGAAAAAGGCTCTACCGATCTCACCACCCTTTTGCAGACATGGGCCCAAATCGCCGGGGCAGCCAACGAAGCAGAGACCCGATACAATTTCAGCTGGGTCACACACTTCACCAAAGTCGTGGCGGAACATGCAGAGCGAGGAACACTCACCACCGAGGACGAGTTTGAAGGCGCACGTCGCGAGGCATTGTTGCCATTTACCGTCCAGGCCGCCAATTGTCTTCAGATTTGCAAGCTTGCCGAGGGTGTTCTTGCTGGGCTTGCGACACTACACAAAATCGCGAGTGGGTTGTTGGCTGAGCAAGAGACCCAAAAGGAGGAGTTGGTGAAGACAGAAGAGGGCGTGAAGAGGCTTACTGTGTGCATCAAGTGTGTTGATGCGGTTTGGGCTGATATCACGCGGACCTGGAGGGCGTGTGAGGCGCTCAAGGGGCATGTGCAGCGGGAGGGGTTGGTTGCGGTGGTGCCAAGGGAGGCAGAGGAGGTTGCTGAGGCCGAGGAGGTCGAGGGTTGAAAGTGAGTGGCGGCTTGTTGCTTGAGCATGAAGTTGACTTGAGAATGAAATGAAGTGAGACTGAGATGAGTTCCGAAGGACTTCAATTTTGATTTCGAGGTTGGGAGTGGTAGAGGTGTGTAGGGCTGACGTTGTAATGAGGGGGGGGTGGTGTTGATTATAAGGCGTACTTGTTGACCAAATAGGTGGCCTGCAGCTGTATAGGAGGCGTACGCCGGATGAATTGTGGGTGGTATATCGCTACGCTTCAGGAGTTCTCCACGTGTGAGGGATACTATAGGGATACGCTTTAGGAGCTCGCTGTATATAAAGAACACTATAGGGATATTGAGAATAGTAGGTGCCTTGATTGTAACAGCAGAAGCGTGCTTTGGATGAGGTGGTTACCGTATACAATATCTTTGATTACTATCAACGAACCCAGCGTCCTCCTACAGCAGCAAAGGAGTAATCACCCTGGCGAACGGATGGAAAGTCACAGTCTTCGACTTCCTAACTTCAGACTCGGGACTGCTGCGCCGAAGACAGCTCTTCAGAGGCTGCCGTTGCGCTGCTGCTGCTGCTGCCTCAATCTCAGGCTGTGCTAGTACATGGCTTTGGGGAGGATCCGCAATCCGGACCTGGGCGCCATTCTCCGATGAACATCCTCCAAACGCGCCGCTGTACGACCGCTTTGTGCCGCGAGATCCCCGGTCGGCCACTTCTTGGATCTCGAAAAGAATTTCCTTCAGTGCCCGCACGACGTCGAGGAGAGTATCCTCCTCTGTGGGCTGGGGTACCAGGTATGCAACGATCCGTGTGATCGTTCGACACACGGGGAAGTTGTCGAGGCACCATGGTGGTGGAGTGTCGTAGGTCCAGTCTCGGCTGAGTGCGGTGCCGAGCTGGAGTTGTGAGATGTAGTAGGTGGTTGCGAGCAGGTCGTCGGCCGTCACGTATTCGTGCTCGCTGAGTAGGCGTCTTATGCAGGCGACGACATCGGAAGGGGCCGTGTCTTTGGTTCGTGACATGGTGGTGGTGTTGTGATGCTTGTGAAAGTCGTCGGGGGAAATGTAAAGAAAGAGGTCGGGGGGTTGTGGTAGGTAGAAGAGGAGAGGAAGGACATGCAAAGGTAGATATTGTTGGAGCTTGGGAGGCTAGTTTGTAGAATGAAGAGGATGAGCGGGGGAGGAATCCAAGGATGCAGAGGCAACAAAGGAAGACGAAGCAGATGTATATATCTTTTTGCAACATGGCTAGGCCAGCATTTGAGGTATGGCATACTGCAGGTCCTCAGCAGCCCAGACGGATTCATGTTCATGGGAAGGAGCCAAGTCGGCAGAAAAATGTTGATGCTTTGGTACCAGTACAAAAGAGACAAACTATGAGAGTCATACTATGGTTGATCATCGCATGACCTCCACTGCACCATTTCTTGATGTTGGTAGAGAGATTCCCAAAAGACAGAACCGGAAAATGGCGACGTCTGTGTGAAATAAAGTTTGTAGTTGGCAACGGATCGTAGCACACGATAGACTTGTAGATCGGTTGGCATCGTACGATTTATTTTGCTTTTGTGGGCAGCGTCGCGCGTCAACTCGACGTGCCATATGTTGTCGAGGGAGGATTCGGGGCAGGAGATGAAGAGAAAGGAGAAACATGGGTAGACGAGGCTGGCTCGCAGCCTTGTCGGATCGGTACCAGATATCCGAGTCACGGGACTGCGAATGCCCCTGACGCCAGTCTTATGCAAGGAAGGTCTTCCGAGGGTCGTTGCGGACAACTTTCATGTCGGACGGGCGTCACAGCATTGATACCCCCGAGCCCATACCTATGGACTGTTGCAGCTAACGTCCTCAACATGATCCTGAGGTCAGAACTGCTATTGTGGTGGCCGGTCCTGGTAACGTCTGCATGGGCGGCGGAAACAAGAGCCTCAGAGTCCTCACGGCCTCGAGGTGTAGGGCCCGAATGTAAGAACAAAGTGCTTACCTTGGAGACTGCATCCTTTGTCGGCTATAAGAGCTTTAGATGCTCGTTATGTTGGAGTATTCGTTCACTGACGTCTGTTTCTTCCTCCAGTTGCCAAATTCTATAAAAAGACACCCTCGGACACTTTCACATGCATATCGAATCCCTCAATCACGATACCCTTCTCACGGGTCAATGACGACTTCTGCGACTGTCCCGACGGATCAGATGAGCCTGGGACTGCGGCTTGCTCTTATCTCTCCCAACTCTCGCCTCCACAGTATCATCCCGGACCTGACACTGCGGCGGTTGCCATCAACACCACGTTAGCACTGCCCGGCTTCTACTGCAAGAACAAAGGCCATATCCCAGCGTACCTCCGGTTCGAGAGCGTGAACGACGGCAAGTGTGACTACGATGTATGCTGTGACGGTTCGGACGAGTGGGAGCATGTCGGAGGACTCAAGTGTGAGGACAGGTGCAAGGAGATTGGAAAAGAATACCGGAAGCACGAAGAAATCCGACAGAAGGCTTATCAGGCCGCACTGAAGCGGAAGAAGTCGTTGGCAGCAGATGCCGCCAGGCTACAACGCGAAGTCGAGCTCCGGATACATGATCTGGAAACAAACCTGGAAGCTTTCCGGGTCAAGGTCAAAGACGCCGCAGAGAACTTGAAAGAAGTGGAGCGGAGAGAAAAGCTGAAGGTGGTCCGCGGTCAAGCAGCAGGAAAAGGAGCTGGTCAACTAGGCGTGCTCGTGGGATTGGCCAAGTCTCGAGTAAACGAGCTGCGAGCGCAGTTGGAAAAGACCAAGAAGCAAAGAGATGCCATGCTGGAAAGGGTGACGGAGCTCGAAGGCCTGCTTTCCGCGTTGAAGGAAGAGTATAACCCCAATTTCAATGACGAAGGCGTCAAACGGGCCGTTCGTGGCTGGGAAGACTACGCAGCCCGCGAGACGGACGACCACTGGTCCGAGGCGGAAGATCGTGATCTTGCCGCAATCCTGCAGGAGGACAATGAGGCGAACGGCATTAACTGGGAGGAATTCGAGAATGCCCCCGAAGAACCGGAATCTGACGTGGCGGCACTCTACCAATTCAGCGCATACCTCCCTGACGGATTTAAGTTGTGGCTGGACGAGAAGATCGCTTCACTTCGTCAGTTTTTGATTGAAAGCGGTGTGCTTGCCGGCCGTTCCAATGATCCAGCCGCGGCCGCTGCGGAGAGCAAAGCCGTTCAAGAGGCAAAGAAGGCCCTGAGCGAAGCCGAACGCGACGTCCTTAACACCGAAAACGACCTTCGCCGTCACCGGGAGGACCTGGAGAAAGACTATGGCCCTGATGGAATTTTCCGCGCTCTCAAAGATACCTGCATCTCCAAGGACAGTGGCGAGTACGAGTACGAGTTGTGTTTTATGGGGCAGACGAAACAGAAGCCCAAAAAGGGCGGCGCCCATTCGAACATGGGCAACTTTGTAGGTTTCGACGTGGAATATGTCGATGAAGGTGTTAGCTTGGACGGCAAAGGTCTCGGCACGGGCGACAGGATCGTTATGAAGTATGAAAACGGCCAGGGGTGCTGGAACGGTCCTCAGCGGTCGACCAGGGTTTACCTCGCTTGTGCTGAAAAAGAGGAGATCTGGAAGGTCAGCGAGACCGAGAAGTGTGTGTATCGCATGGAAGTGGGAACTGCCGCAGTGTGCGAGCCGCAGCAGTCCAAGGATAAAAAGGAGGAAGAGGACAGGGTGAAGAAAGACGAGCTGTAGTGTATCAACGACTTCTCGGCGCAACTAACAGTACTTGGATTGTCCGCTCCGTTCTCATCTGTTCGGTCCGTTGTACAGTATCCAGATATTTACCACGTTGGAAACCAAGTCGGCGCACCGCACATCAGGACCTGAGATCCGAAGTTACGACCTACAAACCCCACCGTAGTCGCCGACGAGTACGGGGGTCGAAAAGAAAGAACATTTACCCCGTGTGTGGCGTTATCCACAAAGTGACGCCACACGAGGCTTGGAGTTCACGCACTTCAATTGGTCAGATCGACTAGTACGCAATAGGGTCAGCCACACTTCCAACACCGAGACGAACGATAGTTGCGACACTGATATATTTGAACAGCTTCGAGATGGACTCATCATCAGGCTGCTACTGCTACATCGTGGCTGCGTCGGTTTTCTCAGCCGAAATGAAAGCACTATGCCGTAGTAGTGGTTTCCAAACCGGCCAGTCAGTCACTCTGATTTCATAGGCCTGTTACGATTACGGTCGAGGGGGAGTGAGGACCTTAAAACGATCGGGCGACCATGCAGCCATCAGTCGCATCAATCAGTTGGGCCTCGGACGCAGTGGCCACGGGTGATCCTCCTTGTGAGTACCTTCCTACCTACCTCAGTCCTCACTTTATTAGGCTGCATTGATCAATAATAATACATATGTACATATCCTCTCGAAGCTCATTAACTCATCTCATTTTCTTTTGGGTTTCTGGTATACCTTATTTCAATCCTTTGGTCTATTGTTTACTGTTTTGTCGTCGTGGTGGCGGATCGTGATCTATATTCTTTGCTCTCATTGCATACTATACAAATCTGATCCAGCATTCATTCATCAGAGGGGTGGGCAAAGTCTGTCTTGGGCTAGGTTTGAGATCTGAGTCCAGTCCCGGTGCATAGTACGCCAAATCATGGTCTCGATCACCAAGCTCCCGTTCGAGATCCACGTCCAGATCGTACGCTACGCCAACATCCAAGGCGACCTCCCGAGCCTGCGGTTGTCGTGCGTGCAGTTAAACGATGTGGCAATCAAGGAAAGACGTCTGCTGCTCACCGACTTACGGCGGCACTACGGCATCAGCACTCGGGTCGTGGACCTGTATCTCCTCCACAAACTAGGCCGGGAACCCCCAGCCAGCCTTAGCCTCATGCAAGTCATGGCCGTGGGTCGGTTCCTGCGCAACCTAGACGCCATGGCCTTTGATCTGGACAGAATGGCCCAGCGGCTGAACCACGTCAATGTCCGGCAACCCCAGATCCAGCCGGAGTGCGTCGACAGAAGCGCTTTTATGCTTTTTGCCGCCCTCAGTCGTCTGCTTAATGGCGCGGCTCAGATAGGCGCTTACGGCAGAGGAGATGTGCTGGCACCCTGTCTCAATGCCAGACATGCCGTCTCCATCCTCTTGTCGAAGCAGTTTGTTCAGTTTGTCAGGGAAGAGTTGACGCTCGAGGAGCTCGAGTCCGTGATCGCTGCCATCAATCTGTGCGTCACGAGATTGTGGAGCACGATTTTCCTGTTCCGGCCCAGAGAGTCAATTGTTAGTGGGTTCGGCAGCCTTTGCGGCGCATCTTTCAACGCCGATCAAGCGATTTTGACCGAAGATGTTATTTGGAGAGGACCAGAATGGGCTTCCAAGGTCTTGGAATTCTATGGGCGGGAAAATGTGGGGTGTAAGCGAAAACTCAAGCCCGGAGAGTACAAACGTCTCGACACAAGGTTTGTCTCGGAGGGGATTTGGAAAGGGTCGCCAGAAGAGGGAGCTCGGTTGGCGGCGAATGGGGTCGCGAGGATGTTGTGGAAGGAGAGACAGCAGCGGATCGAGGACAAGGCGAGTATCTCGGTGCGGTGAGGTGGGAACAGCATGGGGAGCACGTTTGGTCTATCTGTTCAAGTTTGGCATGATGTTGTGATGATGAGGTGGCGACAGTATACGCATTGAGGGAGAGGAGCATGAAGGCGGTTGTTCTGTTAGTGTTGCATAGTACGTATCTCAATAAGACTCCATCCCATCTCGCTAGGAGATGAAGGATATCTCATTCGCTTCAGCAAACACACGAGTGTTGGCCAAAGCAGGCGTAGAGTGTAGGCCAGACACTGGCCATCTCACCTAACCTGAGTGCAATTGAAGTGCGTGTTGACGGACGAGGCTATGGGTTAGTAGGCACCTACCATGTGGTACGACTGCTCTTGAGATGTTGTTCATTCCAGTATACATATATACCTACCTAGGTACCTTATTATTCGCAGGTAGTAGAGTGGTATAGTAGAGAAGCCGCTCACAGAAAGTAAAGCTGAATTCGGATAGGTACCAGAAAACAAGCTTCAATCCCGACAGACTAGAGCCAATTCTGGAGTAGCGTGCCGGGCACTGTTTACATTAGTCTCAACCTGGACTAGTCGGATCTTAGTGTTGTTGACAAGGACCAACGCAGCGAGCGAACCGTCAACAGGGGCACATCCTCTCATCCACCAAGTTTGCTGTCATCGCCGTCGCCGTCACTGTCACCGCGCAACCCGCTCTGCTCTGCATGACAGCGACCTGACAGCGTCTGTTACTGTAGAACGCTGCCCACTCCATACATTCCCCGCCAAAAAAGAAACAATCGTCAATAAGGTATCTCTCTTTCATGGCTGTCTTCACATTTCATTCCTACACCAACACCTCTGCTATCTCGACACCGATCCTAGCAGACACTCCTGCTCACCGCCAACATGCCTGAGCCACTGTCTGCACTATCTCCTGCCAAGCAGAACTCGCGATCTTCTCCAACCAAGCTCAATTTCTCGCAGAAACCAGACTTTGCTTTGTCAACAGATGCGCCCAAGTCCCCCTCTGCGACATCTGTTCTCACAGTCGCGCAGAACACCACAATAGAGACAGCAAACGTACCTCCGCCCGCGATGGAGCATCCTTCCTCTCCTTCACCGTCAAGTCCCAGAAAGGCATTCTCACCTATTAAATATCGCCTCCAAGATGACACAGCGATGGCCAGCTCGCCGCCGGGGTCGCCTGCAGAATCAACGGTGCGGTTTAATGATGGTCTAATGCAGGCGATTGATACCATGCAAAAGGAGGAGCAACAACATGACGGTCTGGACAATTCGGTTGTACATAATACTCAACAACACGACACTCTGGACAATTCAGTCGTACATCATACTCTGGACAAAGAGGCCACGCCCTCGCCAGATCGCGGCACAGGTGCAGACGAATTTGACGATATGACACTGACGCTCACTATCGACGACAAGACCGTTCATGATGAGACAGTTGGTGACCTCAGCACCATCTCGGCCATTCCCACAGATATGACGCGGTTTGCCAATATACGCAACTCACCTACAAAGACATCACAAGAACCATGGTCGCCTTCGAAACGGAATTCTATCATCACTGCCACCCCAGGTACCGCCCAGCGTCCGTTGCGACTATTGTCGACCTCGAGGCGAAGCACCTCGTCCAACGAGGATGATGAGCCCACCCCGCGAAGACCCCGGAACTCAAACGACAACACGACCGACCTGTTGAACTTTACTGGCCAGACCAATATTGTAATCCCACCTCCCAACTCAGCACCACGGTCCATGAGACGCAGCCCGTCAGGCCGAGGAGCATTTCCTATCAAAGTCAACCCGAGTCCGGTGCATCGGTCGCAGGCTTCAGTGGACCGCGAAAGAGCATCCGGTCGATCCCCTCAGAAACAGTTCCAGCCTACCTTTGGAGACAAGAATGTCCCCTCCACTCCTGCTGGCCAAAGACAAAGCTTGTACTCCACGGCAGGGGGAACTGGCCTGGACTTGTTGGATATCGACCTCGAGCCCATGGCAACGCCCCGATCGATACCGACCATCACACCCCGCGAACTCGAGACTCTGCGATCGGAGCTGCAATCACGCATCTCGGGGTTGGAAGCCACTTTGTCTGGGAAGGAGGCGGAAGTCATGGCCCTGAAACGAGCCATTACCGACGCTGAAGTGCGAGTAGGCAAAACCAGTGAAGAGCTCCGAACAGAGCGGGCCTCTCGAGAGGAGTTGGAACAGGCTAAGGAAGGGTTGGAACGGCGAAGTCGGGAAATGGAAGAGGTCCTGCGCGAGGTCAAACAGAATATTTTCCTGGAAGAGCGGGAGAAGGAAAAGCTGCGGCGGCAGGCCGAAGAAGCCGAACGCAAGGCCGAAGAGCACGAGGTGCGCATTTTGGAGTTACAAGCTTCGCTGGATACTCTGCGATCGGAGCGTGTCAGAGCCACCCCAAGTCCGGAGAAGACCAATGGTCCGGCGACGCCCGGCGTGAGCGCCGACATTGATTTCGCCGTCAAAGATGCCACCGAAAAAGTTGCACGGGAGCTGCACGCGTTGTACAAGAGCAAACACGAACGCAAGGTGGCGGATCTCAAGGTCAGCTATGAGAAACGGTGGATCAAACAAGTAGAACAGTTACGGGCGGAACTCAAGGCTTCACAGGACGAGGTGGTCAAATTACAGACCGAGAAGGAGGCGACCATGAGTGGAGTCATTCCGGGCCAGAGTGAGGCACTTTCTCGCATGGAGGGCCAGATTGAGGAACTCCGGCGATGGAACGAAGAGACCATGGCGGACAAGAAAATGCTGGAGGCCGAGGTCGCAGGACTAAGGAGCCAGGTTGACTCGTTGACGGCAGAAAGTGACTTCCTTCGCAAAGAGATCGAACAAGAACGTGTGGAGAAGGGAGAGCTGGTCGCGCAGGTGGATCTGTTTCTGACGATCAGTGCTCAGCAAGAAGAGCAACGAGCGGCCCAGCAGCAAGCGCATCGGCCGGCGAGCCCGCCTAGGAGTGAAGATGGGAACGGTCGACCCAATTCTGCATCCGCCGTCGCCAGCCCAAACAAGTTCCGCAACAGCATGAACGGAGGTGTGGCCACAGCAGGGTCCGGGTCAGGGACAGGAAGTGTTCGTCCACGGCCAATGAGCATGTTGCAGAAGCCGACGGCCGGCAAGTATTCGGGAATCCCTGCCCCTGGATCTGGGCTGAAGGCTCCGTCGACCAAAGGACCTGGTTATGGTGGACGGATCATGGAAGGCATCGCACGCATGGGCGCCGGAGGACGATGATGAAGCAGTCGAGATTGTGGTTTTTTAGTCAGGGAGGATGCAGCGAGAGATTTTCCGTCTGCTGTCGGACGAAGCAGGAAAGAAAGTGACTCGCATGACCGATCGATGCTTGTACGATTGCCATGAATATTAGGCGCCATTCATTGCAATGGTGCCGTCGTTTTGTTTGTGTTTGAGCGCAGCGTTGGTGAGGCTTGGTGAGACTGAGACTGGAGCTGCACTGGACGTGCTAGAGCTGCAACAGTCTAGAATGGACAGATAATGGTATCATTGTAGATGGCAGAGTCTGGCTGTGACATAGAGTAGCAGAGATCATTGTTTCCCGCACAGTACGCTTGCAGTATTGTATTTTGTCGTAGTTGTGATGTTTTGGTTTGCTGTTTCATGTCGTCGATGATGCGGCAGACACGCTCGTTGGTCAAACGTGGACTTCAAGTTTCAACCTCCCACTTGAACTTGAACCTCCCCCTTCACCTCCTCCAACCCCTTCGACCCCTTCACGGGCGCAATCAATTTTCTCAGATCGGAATTTTTCTATGAGTCCCGATTCCACATTTTGTGCTGCGCGTGGCGCTGTGTCCTGTTCTCTGCCCGATCACGATGTCTCCAGTTCGGTTCGGCTCTTCGCTTGCATCCGAAGTCTGTCACAGAGACAGCCAAACTGTGGTATTATGTTACCGGGCTCGCTTAGTCCTGGGTCGTCGAAACGACCGAACAAGCTCATAACGCTAGCCTGGCCATGCTCAAACCATCAGAGGTCTGACCATGCATGAGACAGCCAGATTTCTCCTGGGTCGATCGACAAGCGTTGTACAATGCCAGTGTCGCTCATCGTCGGCCCGGACATCTGTAACGATTGAGTGGAGTGTATTGAACACAGTCCACGGCCGAGATGACGATGAGCATTTCAGTCTTCTGACTGACCAGGGAAGAAACTGTAAGGAGGTGGATGGTACAGAGTGCCTTATATATGCCTACCTAATATCTCATGGCACGAAACATTTCTCTTTTTCTGGCTATCTCGGTTCTTATCCAGCTTCGATTCGTCGTTCTTTTCTACATTCCTTCTTTTCAAGCCAATCGTTCCTGGAGAACTGATTTGATCCCGGCCTGGGCCTTGTTGATATCGTCCTCTTTTCAGAGCTACAGCAGTGACGTTGTTTACGAACAGAACTCATTTGATCATTTTTACGAAAAAGACTCCAAAATGAAGCCAGTCATTCCCCTCTCTCTTCTATTCCTCGCCGGGACCAACGAAGTCCTCGCTCGCCCAGCAAACCTCCACATCAAATCGAACCATGGTCGCGCGCCAGAACAACTATCATCGAACAAACAAGTCCGCTCTGCTGCTGCCCCAATCTGGAATCCCCATCTCAACCGCCGCGAAGTTCCCCAAGAACACTCGCACGAAAAGTTCCTGACCACAGTCAACCAATTCCTCAAAGTCGACAACCCCGACGGAATCACCGACGCCGTCTTCGGACTCTTAGGAAACGCCGCCGCCTCCGCCGGTCAGGGAAAAATCTCCAACACGGATTGTCTCCAACAAGCCACGGCAGACAGAGCATTCACCAACGCCAAAGCAGCCGGCGATGTGGACGGCATGACGGCGGCGTTGATCTACCGCGCTCTCGAACGCAATACCGGAGCCGTGGGCCAGGCGTCTGTGGCATGTACTGCCATTCAAGCCGTCAACCCGGAAATCGCTGCTATTTCGCAACACCAAGATCCGGCCTCGGACAATGCGGCGGAAACAAATAAGGCTATTGTGCTGGAGTTGGCTGTGCAGATTGCGAATATTGGTGGGAACCCTGTTGATGCGCTGCAGAGTGGTACTTTTGCCCCTGGCCAGATTGGCGATCCGACTGCGGCGGGGAATGGGTGTGATGACCAGAATGACGCTGTGGGGTGCATTTTTACACAGAACTTGCTGGTCGAAGATGCGACGGAGGATGAGGTTAATGCTGCTGTTGCTGCTTCTGCGACTGCGACTGGAAGTGCTGCGGCTGCTGTTGCTACGGAATGTAGTGCGGATGCCGATACGACTGGGAGTGGTGCTGCTGTTGCGGCGTCAGTAACAGCCACTGCCTCTGCCACTGCAACGGCCGGAAAAGCCGCGACAGCGGGAACGACGACGGCGTCCGCGTCTGCTGCTGCTGCTACTACTGCAGCGTCACAATCGACAAGTACGAGTACTACTACTTCAACAACATCAAACTTGGACCTGGGATCATGTTCGGATCCGACCATCATTTTTGCCGACGGTCTTGACGGCCGCAAAGAAAAGTCGTTTGAACCCAATGACACGACGACGTTCACGCACGGTTCGGCTTTGAATATCAAGGTCATTTCGGATTTTATCTGTGAGTTACCTCTTGATGAACTCTTGTTTGTACCGTTCGTTTCTGACGTAAATCTTTCTACCTATAGGTCAACAACTCGACGTCAAATGCAAAGCATCCCCAGAAGCCATTGACGCTTGTAACAGTGGTGCAGCGGCGGCACAAGGCGCGTCAGGCCAGGCTGCTGCCGATGCGTTCAATGCTGCCTTGGGGTTCTAATACTGAGTGTACCTAGGTACCTTAGGTACCTTATGCGCTTGGTTGGTCAGGCCGAGTCCAGATAAGAAGAAACATTGAACCTTTTTGTTCAGAATCATGATGAGAAGTTTCATGTCTGAGGCTCGATGAAGATATTTGAGCAATTTAGGTCGAGAATCCGCTGTGATACTAGTACATGGCGTGGAACTGGCAATTGGCCTAGGATACAGCAGTGAAACCTGCGTAACTGGTCTAACTGATCTAACTGGCCTCGACTGACGTTTGTTGGAGGATGGTGTGATGCTCACTGTAACATTTCATTGTATCGAGGACAACATACCCGGGGCCGGTCCACCTTTTTACTACCTACATTGTAAGTCAAAGCGGAGGTGTTTCTGTCCATTTCCATCGGTGGAGACAACACGCCTGGCAGCGTGAGCACGTCGCCGGATAAGAAGCGGAAGCTCGTTTCTCCGCAAAGTTGAGGTTACCGACTTCAGGTACCGGCGACGTCCGAGCCGGCGACTTTCAAGTTCCCCAGCGTTATTAGTTGTACGCTGCGTGCTATAGTACAAGTATAAAATGACGTCGACGTCCGCGAGGCTTCAGGTACCCGAGCGGCATCCATCGTGCACCACCTACAACTTACATCTACAAGTAACTATACTTGTACTGCTGTTGAAGCCACAGCTCTTCCTCTGACCTCGAGACACAAGTTGCATGAACCATTATCCCGTCCTTGCCCGGCTAGGACATAGTTATCTCTCTCACCTTCATCCTTCCTCCTCAACTCCCAGAACAATTCGACAGTTCAAGTCCGCACCTCTCCCCGTCATCAACTCACCAAACGACTTCTTTTTCCACCACCAGAGTCCTCCCTCCCCTTCCTCTCGCACAATGGCCACCGACACCTCCTCCACCTCCTCATCCAACAAACGTCAAAAAACCACCGGCGAAAAACCCTTCCGCCTAATCTACTGGCCCGGCATCCCCGGCCGCGGCGAACACATCCGCCTGGCCTTCGAAGCCACCGGCACGCCCTACACCGACGTTGCCAAAACCGACTCTGCAATCCCCACAATCACAAACCTCATCAGCGAAGATAACACCGGCGACGACCACCACAACCCACCGCCCTTCGCGCCCCCGATCCTCCAACACGGCGACGACGTTTTGATTTCGCAAACCTCCAACATTTTGCTGTACCTCGGTCCCAAACTCGGTCTTGTGCCGGACCCGAAAGAAGATCCCGTCGGTCTGTACCACGTCAATGCACTTGCCTTGACCGCACTGGACGGGTTATCCAATGAACCGCATGACGTACACCATCCCATTGCTGTGGGATTGTATTATGAAGACCAGAAGACGGAAGCGCTTCGAAGAGCGAAGGATTATCGTGAGAATCGACTTCCGAAGTTCTTGGGGTATTTTGAACGTGTTTTGAGTGGGAAAGCTGGTGGAAGAAGTGGTGAGGGTGGATATTTGTATGGAGGTAAACTCACTTATGCGGATTTGGTCTTGTTTCAGTGTTTGGATGGGTTGAGTTTTGCGTTTCCGAATTATATCAAGAAGATTAGGGAGAGTGGGCAATATGATAGGGTGTGGAAGTTGTATGAGAGGGTCAAAGGGTTGGAGACGATCAAGAGTTATCTGAAGAGTGAGAGGAGGGTAGAGTATGGGATGGGCATTTATCGACATTATCCGGAGTTGGATGATGAGGAATGAACAGACCAGAGAATACGAGAGAGAAGAGGGGCTTCTGCTGCCATCCATGGTCACTGGTCAACTCAGTTGTGTGCGGTATGCTGGCCAGGAAAACTACCGTCAGTGTCGCAACTTGAACGCGCCCACCGAGGCGTATACCATCCCTTGTATATAGATGGAGATGGCTCAGATAATCAAAGAATAAAAAACTACTAGTTCCTCGAAAGACAAAACAGTCCAACCAGTTGTTACCGTAGCTGACCTTTTTTTTTATCGACAACTCATATGAGACACTAGTACTCCATAATGTTTGATTTCTTTCTTTACCTTTTTTTTGTTTCCAGTGTGAACCCTTCAGTAACACTGACACTGGCACCTAATACCGACCTTAGGAGATACCTATCAATTCTCATGCCTTCTTCTCCTCCTTCGACCGATACACATCCCCCGTCAACTTAATCTCATACTCGACATCCTTCCCGCGTCCCTCGGCCTCCAACTTCCTCACCAGCGGCAACACCTCCTTCCCGAACCGTTCCACTTCCTCATCATAGTGCAAAAACGCCGTGAGCAAAATACTCACGCCCAAACTCTTGAGCAGCAAAATCCGATCGGCAATCTGCTGCGGCGTTCCGATAAGTTTCGTCTTGAAGCCGTCGTTGTACTGCACCAAATCCTCGAATTTGCTATTCGCCCACATGCCCGTCTTGTCGGCTGTAGCCGCACCCGCGTTGCGCACTTGCTCGCCAAAGGCCTCGACGGCGTCCTTGTCGGCTTTGCCTTGGATCTCTTGCAGGACACGGATGGCTTCGGCCTCGGTGTCCCGCGCGATGACGAAGCCGTTGACGGCGAATTTGACTTGGTCGGCGCGCCCTTCGCGGGCGGCGCGGGCGCGCACGTCGGCGATTTGCGTTTGGAAGCCTTCGAGCGCTACAGGAAAAGTTAGTCAGACATAAAGAACATTGCTACGGTCCGTCGGTGTACTTGTTTTACTTACTATTTCCATTCATAAAATAATAATCCGACACCGTCGCCGCATTCTCCCTGGCATCAATTGAGTTCCCGCCCTGGAAAATCTCCGGATGTGGCTTTTGCACCGGTTTCGGCTGCAAAGTATAATCGTGGAACTGGTAAAAGTCGCCCGAGAACGAAAACTTGTCTTGTGTCCAGATTCCTTTAAGACAAGCGATAAACTCGCGCGAGCGCCGGTATCGCTCGGCATGATCGAGCCACCACTGTCCAATGCTGGTGAACTCGGCTTTGAACCAGCCTGAGACCACGTTGACGGCTACTCGGCCGTTGCTGTAGTTGTCAATGCTGGCGATTTGTTTCGCTGCCACCGCGGGGTTCCAGGGTCCAGGGAGCAGTGCCGCGATCAGCTTGAGTTTGGTCGTGTGGTGTAGGAGAGCTTGGGAGAATGAGACTGGCTCGTGCTGGTACTCGGCCCCGTAGCCGGCCATGAAGCGGATTTGTGAGAGGGCGTATTCGAACCCGACTTTTTCGGCTGTTTGTGCGTATTTGATGTTGGAGTCGAGGTCCCATTTGGTTCGTTGGGGGATCTTGGAGATGACGAGGCCGCCCGAGACATTGGGGACCCAGTAGCTGTAAAGTACATATGTAGATGGTTAGTTATGTGTATAGTAACGGTGAGGCATGGTCTCCAGACTGGACTGGATTGATGTGGTATGGTATGGTATGATATGATATGGGCTATGCTGTGTTGTGATGGTATGATCTCGAGAACTTACGCAAACTTGATCCGGTCTGGGTCGGAGTTGATGTCGGCGGCAGGGCTGCCGTTGCCATTGACGATAGGAACAGTGTTGGTAGTCATCTTGTCAGTAACACGCACGTCCGCGGTCGAGATGGACAATGAATCAGCTCGGGTAGATATAGATCAATAGATATCCAGTTGGCTGTGCAGGTCAAGCAAGCAAATTAACAACGATCCAAGTTCCAGAAATAACAATGGTCAACCAGCGCAGGTATCCAGACAGCACAGAGAGAGGACAAAAAGCAGAGCAGAGCGGAGCAACGACGGCCAATGTCCTCAAAAATCTGCTCCTGCTCGAGAGCAATCCTTTCGCACTTCGTTACCTTCTGAATTTCTTCCTTTGTCGTTATAATAGGCAGTAGTCTCCATTGAGTTCCGCGCATTCAACCCCGCCTGGGGGACCGACTACTGCCTCCCCTGCTCGACAGAGTCTAGGTCCACAGAAGTAACTCCGGTCGATCGTTTCAACAATAACAATGGAGTACCAATAATACCGGAGCACCTACCGTTGTCGAATTGTTCCCTTGAGCCGGCGGAATTGGCGTGGGCAGGCCATCTGGGGGACTCCTCGGGCAGCGAAGAACGGCCCCGGATTCAAGTTGACGACATCAGCCCAAAGAATTGCGTCGTCGGAAGGCGATGTTAGTGGTGGACCTGAGATTCCTTAGGCTTGGGGAAGACGTTGAAGGGATCCAGATCTCGACCCCGTCGTTCGGAGCTCGTCATACACACCACGTACTCTGATTGGCTGGTGTCGGACGTCAAGCTACTTCCTAGCCAGGTACAACGTACACCTCTGCTGTTGAGGTCTGTCGCGGCTTGTACAGTAGTTCTCAAGATTACCGAATTGTCGCACAGTGTTGTATACATTTGCTGTGCTGAACATGCTACCGGGGCCATCGTGCGCCGTAGCTATTATCACGGAGACTCGCGCTCGTCTTCAGCCAGTCTGGGCAGCTCGCTACGAGGGTGATGAAGATTCACGCTAAGATAAGGTACAGTACGCACAGTAGGTATGTTGTTACCCGTTCATTCCCTCTCCTATTGACCCGTGCTACTGGTGACTGACTATGAGGTATGCTTGTCCAGCAGCCCCTGTCCCTAGTGGACCCCTTTGATGTCCTCTGAGATCTGGACCGCGATATCAAAATCACGCCTTCGACCACCGCAATCACGACGAGACCAACCGGAATCCTGATACGGTAGGTGTGCAATGTAAGTTGTACAATCAATCCGGGGTCCAGCAACATGGATCCACGATAGGATACGCAAATCTCTTTCCCGAACCCCCATGCTGCCCGCCGCCTAGTCCCCAGCAACCGATCGATGCTCATGGTCGAACGGATGCTTTTGCTCCTGGAGAGGCCCGTCTACGTTGCTCTGCTGTGGCCCGATAGACCTCGTCAGTGATACCGACGTCGACAACTTGAATCAGTCCCTAAAGGCTAAAGCACGTCAAGGGGCCGGGCAATGGTGTCGTTTTCTTTCAACTTAGAGTTCCGTTCTTGCAGTTGGCCCTGCCCTGCCAAGCACAGTTGTTGCCCTCAACGGACTCCTCTATTCTGGCGCATTGTGGCTATGCGAGTGAGCAGCAGTCGAAAAAGAAAGCACCGAGAACTCCCGCGGCCAGACCAACCGGTTCATCGCGTCAAGGTAGGTTTCCACAGCGAATAATGCCATCCGCACCACATGCGTGGGCCTAGGGGCAGTCTACTCTGATTGCGTGCGCCGGAATGGACTGGTATAGTACATGTAACATTGTACAATATCTCCCCGGTGAAAAGCCACAAGAAGCCAAACTCCACTGCGTCTGATCTATTAGTCCATCTGACTACTGTATTTATCTATTTGTTGTCCTCCTCTCCTTCTGCGCGTCCTTCTTTCTGGCCACCACCCCAATATCACTGAGCATTGTGACATTCAGATCCAATTTCTGCAAGCCACCTTGCATACTCACGATGGGCTCAATCGGGGCATCATCCAAGACACAGACCGGGGCAGCAATTGCCGCCGCAACCCAGAAATACAGCCAAGCCAGTCTCCCCAACTCTTCTGAGGAATGGCTTTCACGGGCACGCGAAGTGGCACAGGTTTTGTCTCTCGACGCGCCGCAGCGAGACATTGAAGGCAAATCGCCTTTCGCCGAAGTATCCCTCCTCAAAGCATCAGGACTCACAAAACTGCTCGGCCCAGCCGAGTACGGCGGCGCCGGCCAAGACTGGGCGACAGCCTACAAAGCGATCCGCGAAGTCGCACGGGGCGACGGCTCAATCGGCATGCTGTTGGGTTACCACCTACTCTGGTCGACGACCGCCAACGTCGTGGGCACCGAAGACCAAAACCGACGGGTGTGGCAACAGATCCTATCCAACAACTGGTTCCTAGGCGGCGCCGTGAACCCGCGCAGTGCCGACCTCAAGATCACCGAGGCCGACGACGGCAAACACATCATCTTCAACGGGTTCAAGTACTTCAACACGGGCGGCGTGGTCTCCGACGCCACGATCCTCGAAGGCGTGCTCGAAGGCAGCGGAGGCCAACATATCTTCACGCTCGTCCCCACGAATCAGCCGGGAATTCAATTTTCTCATGACTGGGACAACATCGGCATGCGGCTCACGGAATCCGGCAGCGTCAAGATCGAAAACGTCCGTGTTCCATGGACCGATGCATTTGGCTGGGACAGCGCGACCAAGAAGCCCATCGAGTCGATTTTGAGTATTCCCTATGCCTCGCTGTTGCTGCCGACTATTCAGCTGGTGTTTTCGAATTTCTATCTGGGTATCGCGTTGGGTGCTCTGGATGAGGCGAAGAAGTGGACCACCACCAAGACTCGAGCGTGGCCGTATGTAGCTGGTGGAGATGTCAAAGACAAGGCCACGGATGAACATTACATTCTGGCAAAGTACGGCAATTTCCACGCCCACTTGAGGGCCGCAGAGGCACTGGCCGACCGTGCCGGCGAACAGATTCGAGATCTGTATGCCGACCATGCGGAGAAGAGGGATGTCACTGCCCGAAGAAGAGGCGAGGTCGCTGAGTGGGTGGCGAGTATTAAAGTCGTGGCTACGGATACCGGCCTCCGTGTCACCAATGGTATCTTTGAGGTCACGGGTGCTAGTTCCACCGCCAGGAAAGTCGGCCTGGATCGCTTCTGGAGGGACCTTAGGGTTCATTCGTTGCATGATCCTGTTGCGTATAAGGAGAGGGAAGTGGGGAGGTTCTTCTTGTTGGATGAGGTCCCGGAGCCAACGTGGTATACTTGAGTGGGGAATATATGTCCTCTACATACCAGGTAATTTATTTCGTTCCAACGAATAGGATAGTTTTCAAGAAATACCTGCAGTACATACCAGGTACCTACATAATATAAACATACGTATGAGATACCTCCTCTATAGTGTAAATTTCTCCCCGACAATATCCTCGCTCAACTTCCACAGTCGTTCCGCGGCGTTCCAATCGCTCGCGTGCGCCGCAGGCTCAGCGACCTGACAATCACTGAGATAGAGGACATCTTTACTCTCGTCCCTACCGAGCTGCGGATCAAGCGCGGCGACCAACATAGTCGCACTGCCCTGATCGAGGTCCTTCCAGAACCCGCCCGTCTTGCTGATGAAACTTGTGTATGTTTCGTCCAAATTGCGCGACAGATCTGTCCAGATCGAACCCGGGTGCGTCGCTATGGCTCTGACCCCCCGGCTCGCGAGATGTCGATTGAGATACATCGCCGTCAGGATATTGGCGGTTTTGGACTGGCCGTACGCTGCAAAGGGGACGTATGTCTCCCCCGGGGCCGGGTCGAAGGCCCTATATCCTCCCGGCGATAGGGACACAGGCCGTTCTGCTTCGGGGATGTCTTCGGGCCGCTTCAGGAAATTTGGGTCGCTGAAGCGGATAGGTGAAATGACGTGTCCTTGGCTAGTGACGTTGATGATACGCGTGGGTCGTGATTCTTGATCAGAGCTGCGCTGTGCGGCCTCCAGAATCTTGGGCAGCAGCAAGTTGGTCAATAAGAACGGGCCGATGTGGTTCGTTCCGAATTGAAGTTCTAGGCCGTCCTTGGTGAATGCGTGCGCCTGCATCACCACGGCTGCGTTATTGATCAGAATGTCGATTTGGTCCACTAGTTGGTTGATGGCGGACGCGCCCTGACGGACGGACTCGAGAGAAGACAGGTCAATTTCGACGATTTCCAGCCGTACCGACGGGTTGCCGGCGGTGATTTTCCGAGCTACTTCCTCGATCTTGGATCGTGTGCGTGATGCCAGGATAAGAAGTGCAGGCGACTGAGATGCTAGTGCCAATGCCATGGACTCTCCTAGACTCTGTGGTGATACGCCGACGATTACCACTGCGTCCAGGACTTTGTTAGCTTCCTTGCCCTACGAGTCCTGCCGTCTGCTGGACCAGATATTGATTACTTTACCTGTTTTGCCTCTGATCTCATTGGCAAAGGCTTTGGCCACTTCTGTCGCCGTGGTTTCCTGGCCATACTGCGGGTTTGAAGTCATGACTGTTCTTCTGTGGCACTCAGGCAGGCAGCGAGAGGTAGCTGTGGCTGATTGATTGATTGGTTTCGGAATCAGCTGGGAGCCGTTATGTGCGGCTTGCGTCCGTTACCTTGGGCCACGCTTCGAAGATAGTGGTGAGTAGTCCTTCGACACTGACAGGCGAATCGTGGATGTGCTGCCTAACCCGAAGCAGTATATCGCCAGGTTGGATAACACGTCGGCATCCCGAAGAACGCAACAGATCGGGTGCCTGGGCCGCTTCGCTTATGGAGGATGGTTCCTATTCCGGCAACAGGAGAGCAGAGCGCCTTGACCACACGCCTGGCTCGGACAATGGAAAGGAACTCACAGGATTCTTATCAACGCCACCTGAAATTTTTCGAGGTTGTGCCAGGACAGTGGTGTTGATGATGCACAGTTGCTCGGCGGGTTATATTCCATGTCTTAGCCGCCAGATGTGGCTTCAACGGACCAACCCCACAACGAACTGTCAAATAGGGCAGCCAAATCATCCGCAAGTGGTTTTGTGAAAGTACTATGTATATCCGAGTATAGAGGCGTAATGCTGTGCCACTACAAGGGACAGAAGACTGGAGGGTGACTGTGGAGAAGGAAATCCCACCACCACTCACCTGCTCCAATGATATTCTCCGAACTCCCCTGTCCATTGTCCATTTTGGTACAATGCTTCACGATCGGCAATTCGGCTTGGGGAAATCTGTGGTCTCCAATAAATGTCAGTCAATGGAGCCATCGAGCCCGTCTAAACTTCTAGAACCCGACGAATGTACAGGCGCAGCATCGTGGGGCTGGTGACCGGTTGCTGTATGGTGGTGCCTAAAAGGACCTGGAGCGGCTCATCTGCTAATTCCAAATTCAAAAAGTCGTCGTCGGTCTTGAACTTACTGCCTCACTTGTTCGCGGAAGGTCGCGTACTGTAAATTTATCCTCGGCTTGCTTCTTGTGAAATTAGACCTTCTCAACGACCTTCAAAATGATTATGGCAGCGGAGGAGCCATTTGCCAAATCCAAGACCGGGATCAAAGTGATCATTGTCGGAGCAGGCACGCAGATCCAAACGCAGTAGCAATATCGTCCTGCTAACAGGGCTGCAGGATTCGGAGGCCTCACAGCAGCTATAGAATGTCACCGACAAGGCCACGATGTGGAGATCTATGAGTCTTTCCCGATCCTGAAACCGCTCGGAGACATCATATCGTTTGGAGCCAACGCCGGGCGGATATTTCGACGTTGGGGAACGGACGGTTCGATAGCAAAGACGATGAGATCACTCAGCATCGACCTGGTGAAACATGGCTTCAGGATCCACAAGTATACGGGCGAACACATCATTACCCAGCCCACGCCTCCGCAGGATCCGGATGCCCCAGTGTTCAACGGCCATCGTGGAGAATTGCACGAAGTGGTCTTCAATTATGCCAAGGATGACCTCAAGATACCCATCCATCTCGGGCAGAGAGTCGAAAAGTATATCGAAGAAGAGGACAGGGCGGGTATCGAGCTCACCACGGGCGAAAAGGTACGGCTGACGTTTTCGCACCAAAATGGCGCCGCGTTTTGCTTATGTGCATAGGTCTACGGCGACGTGGTCATCGGATCCGATGGCGTAAGATCGAAAGCACGCGAACTGGTCCTGGGGTATGTCGACAAGCCGAAGAGCAGCGGATATGCAGTGTTCCGTGCCTGGTAGATCATTGTCAACGCCGACTACCTTGTGCTGAGACTGACTCATTTCTAGGTTTCCAAACACCGATATGATCGCGGACCCCAGAACCAAGCATTTCTGTGATAATGGAGATACATTCAATGGGTGGATTGGACAGGACGTGCATTTTCTGTTTTCGACCATCAAGAATGGCAGCGACTGCTGTTGGGTGTTGACACACAAGGTAAGATGACTTACCTATCATTCTCGATCCTGCTGATTGAACGACTACAGGACGAGGCAGACATCGACGAGTCGTGGTCGTTCCCAGGGAAGCTGGAGGATGTGTATAAAGTGTTCGAAGGCTGGGATCCCTTATGCAAGACCATCGTTTCGAAGACGCCCGAAAGCCACCTCGTCGACTGGAAATTGGTGTACAGAGATCCACTGCCCACGTGGATCAGCAAGGCAGGCCGCATTGCTTTGCTGGGAGATTCAGCACATCCTTTCTTGCCGACATCGGCTCAAGGGGCCACGCAAGCCATGGAGGATGGCGTGACAATCGCAATCTGCCTACGACGGGCAGGAAAGGAGGATGTCCCAGATGCTGTGCGGACCTACCAAAGAATCAGGTAAGTCTAGGAAAAGCCGATCTCCCTTACGGTGCTCATTGTCGCTAGATACGACCGCGTCAAAGCTGTGCAAAAGACTGGAGAGACAACACGCGATATGTGGCACAAAGCCGACTGGGAGAAGGTCAAGAAGGACCCAGAATCAGTGCAGTTCCCTCGCCAGGATTGGATCCACGGCTTTGATGCCGAGAAGCACGCTGAGGAGGTGTTTGACCACGAATTTGGGCAGGTCAAAGCTGCAGTCAATGGTACACACCAAGCTGGATCTGAGAGTGCTGTGACTGAGAAGATCAGAGCCGAACCAGACGTTACGTGCGAGGCTGTAGCAGTTCCCGTGGACCACAAGGCTGAGCCAGTGGCCAGCTCGGCTTAGGCGCGATAGAAGTCCTCTGCTTTCGCCAGAATTACCACCGGCATCATTATTGGAGGCTTGGAGTTCGTATCTGTGTACTTTAGCTGGGTGGATGGTCATGATAAGCCCACACCAACTTGGTTGGTCATATACAGTTGAAGGAAGAGATGAAAGCTGAAGAGAAAGACAACGCGTCTGCCGTGAGTGTTCGAAATACTACAATTAGTCAGCGGGAACGAAAACAGTGAATCATGCGGTCACTGTGGCATTTATGTTCCGCCGTACTCGAAGCGCAATTTGATATATCCATATTCAACATGAAATGTACAAGATATTGTTTGGTCGTCCACTCCATCAGCCACTTAAATGCGTGAAGATTCCACTCAGGCTGAAGCAATGGACCAAGTCCAGTCATATTGGAAGGCAGGACCTTAGATCACGGTATGAAGCCCCTTTCAGGACCAGAATATCCCTCCCAAAGCCATGGGGATTCCACGCCTGTCCCAGGATCTTCATCCGTACGCAGATCATGTTATACTTGGCCAGTCCCAGTCATCTTCAACAGCTCTACCCTCTGAGGAGAGCGGTAAGGACGTACACTCGTTGATCATCGACGGCCCTTCACTGGTATACTACATATACAACAAGTTACTCGTATACAAGGCTTTCCGTTCTTGCACCACAGCCGCGATATCTATCCCGTCATATCAGGAAATCAATCAAGCCGCGCATCATTTTCTCGACGAACTCACAAGCCATGGAGTCGACGTATCCGACATCTTCTTTGATGGAGGTCTACCTGAGACGAAGCGCGGTGTGCGTCTGGACCGCATGGAACGGCTCCGCCAGCAGCTGGAAACCTACCGAAAAGTCCATCCAGAGTCTTTCCCCCTGGGGCCTCCGCAACAAGTCCCTATCGACTATGACGAAGCATTGTGGAGGGCCACGGCGCCGATCATGTCGAGTGGTAGGAAACCAACACTCCCCGCTCCACCATTCATGGTCGCCAGTGTCATTGAATTATTACAAGCCTCTCCGGACTGGAAATCCAAAGTCCACATCGTCCCCGGGGAAGCAGACCTGTCCTGCGCCACGGCAGCAAGGCAAACGGCCGGTTCGGCGATTCTAACCAACGATTCAGATCTGGCTGTCCACGATCTGGGTTGTAAAGGCCGCATTGTGCTCTTACAGTCACTCGAAAAGAAGACGAAACACAAACACAAACCCACACCCACATCCAAAACATCAACAAAGACAACTACACAAAATGAGACCAGTCCCGGCCAGATCACCGCCCTGGCCTTGACCCCAACGCACATGGCTCAAAGACTAAATGTCTCATCTCTTCTCCGCTTCGGGTTCGAAAGATCCATCGACCAGAGTCTATCGATATCGCTAGTGCGAGAACGTGCCCGCGACGACTCGCGACTGGACAAGTATCGCGCCGAATATGCAGCTTTTGCACAAGAATATCTACCTCTACCTTCTACAACGACGAATAGTGACGATCGCCCTCCATTTCCCGTGCCCACGACCCTCCTTAACTCTATTGATCCGCGCACTTGCGAACTCGTCGTTGACGTCACGGACAAAGACACGCCGCACATCTATCTGACTCCTCTGGTCGAGGACCCAGCACGCGACTCTTCCTGGTCCTATGGCGCCGACATACGCCAACTAGCTTACTCGGTAGTACTCCTGTACAACCGCGCGAACAGCAGCACGCACGAAACCGTTACCGTCACCGAATACGCCAGGAAAGGACAACGCATTGCCGCCGCGCAAATCAACCCCCCCTCCGTTCCCCAGATCCAGATCCACTTGACCGAAACCCTTGGACTTCTTCAAGACTACTTGTCGCCGACGTCCACACAAGACGGAAGCCCGGGAATGGAAACAAACTACTCTGTCATGAACTGGTACATTTTAGCGTTCAGCCTCGTCCGTCGTCAAAAGATTGAAGCTGGTAAATCCGTCCCACCACCCACACAGATCCTGCAGCTTTTGGGGATTGATGGTTCTAATCCGAGATCGTCACCACGCGCAGTTCCATGGGACGACATCCATCTCCTTGCCAATCTGCATGCCGTTCTGTATTCGTTTCGCATGCTCAAACAGATCCTGAACTACGTCTTTTTAAACGGTCGGATAGCAGAACCAGTTCAGAACAACACCCAGTACGACATCAATAATTCAGATGACAACGCCGACGCTGCCGCCAGTCCATCCGCGATCTCCAGCATAAGCACACAAATGAAGCAATTATCGCAAAAACTCGAGCTGATGCCGGACATCCAGCATTTGTTTCTGGATATCTCACATCTCCGCCTCATGGGCCGTGGTCTATATGACGATACTCAATTCTCGACAGTCATTCGGCATGCGCGGAACATGCTCGGACTTGATGATGACGCTTCAAAAAGCCTACAGTCCACGCCGGATTACCCGCATGGTGCGCCAGCAGGTCGCGATGCAGCAGAAAAATCTGGATCCTATATCCAACATGACGAAGATCCCGTCATCATCACTGGCACCAAAGACTGGATTGCATCCAAGCCCATGAAGAAGAAAAGGAAAACAAACCACACAGCCGCAACCGGTGCGGAGAGATCAGTGACAACCACAAAAAGTTCAAATCCATTTGATTTGCTCATGGAAGACTAAAATAAACCACACTGTCCGAAGTACACCAGAACGACCTGTAGATTTATGACTGACAAACACTCCACTTTACTTCTTCTGTCGAGTCCAACTAGTCTCCAAGAAATGATGGACGAATTTCTTGACCAGCTCCGTCGACAGTGCTGGAACAGTGGCCAGAACGGGCGCCAACTTGACCGTTTCCCTCGTAACATAATCGAGGCTCTTGCGCTTGATGACATCGTTATCGTATTTACTTGCGAAGAACTCGACGAGCTTGATGGTCGGATTGGCGACGGGGTCCGGGTTCGATGCGCGCAGTCGACGGATCCATTCCCTTTGGTCGACCTCTTCGAACGACAATCCTGCGGCACGTAGAGCAGGGAGCAGGTCACGAGTCCAGTGGAAAGTCTTGGGGTTGACGACATTGAAGACTCGTTGCTCCGGCTTGACAGAACCATCAGAAAGAGAGAGGTCCATGACTGCGGTGGCAACGACATCGACCGGCAACCAGCGCGGCGACTCGTCTAGAGCAGGCAATGCTCCAATCGTCGTGGCCGACTGCAGCATCAGAGGGATGGCTTCGGTGTCGTTCCAGATACCGTATTTGGTGTCGGCCACGATCTGGCCGATGCGGAGCACCCGGGCCTGCATTCCTGTCTTCTGGGCGGCCTGGCAGACCAGGTTTTCTGTCACCAGCTTGGACTGGGCGTAGCCCATTCCTTGTGCGCACGAAAGACTTTCGGGGAGTGCCTCGGGGACGACGCCCCCGGGTGTATTGACCACGGTGCTTACCGAAGAGCAGAAGTTGAAGGGTGCAGGGGTGGGCTGTTGAGCAGACAGACAGAGAAGCATCAAGTGCCGTGCCCCGGCGATACAGTCGGCCTCGAAACTGCTGAGGTTCTTGTTGAAGTTGACCGACCAAGCACAGTGAATGAGGTTGGTGATCTTGCCACTCAGGCTGTCGTACAAGGCTTGACCAAGGCCCAGGTCGGGTTTGGAGAAGTCCGATGGGTAACAGGTGATTTTGCCCCGTAATTCAGCCGACAGTGTCTCGTAGACTCTTCTGTCCTTCATCGACTTGACTACTCTCTCCCGCGCGGACTCTTCCGAGTTGGCTCGCACGAGACAGCATACTTCGGAAATGTCGTCTCGGACTACCAGCTGTGCCACGAGATGTGCACCCAGCGAACCCGTGGCACCAGTGACAACGACACAGGACTCGGTCGACGTCTTGGGACAAGAAACATGTTGGGGAAAGTCGCTGTATTTGGTGATCAGATCTTCCATCTCCTTGATCACGTCTCGCGCCTCGACAGTTTTGCTGTCGCGGATGCTCAGGATGGCGGCTGCGAGTTTGGCAATGGTGGGATACTCAAAAACAACATTGGGTGGCAACGTGTTCCCATTCAACTGGATATCCTTCAGAATGCTGGCGCGTAGCCTGGTCGATTGCAGGGAGTCAATGCCCAACGAAAACAAGTCGGTGTCATCCGCAAGATCGCTCTCCTGGAGGCTGTTGTCGAGTTCGAGTATCTTTTTCCGGAGGTAGTCTCGAAGCTCAGGCTCCGAGAGCACCAGGGTACCAGCCGCCCTTGATTCTGCTTGTGCGTACACCTCGTCAATCTCGGATTGGAATGCTCGATAGAAGGCCTGGCGAATCATGGTGCCTTTATCTGTCGAGGGGTAAGGTGTTCCTGCAGGCAAGATCTTAATCATCTCTCGGGCCAGCTGGCCATAGGCAGGCATAGCCTTATTCTCGGCCTCGATCGTCGGCCACAGGGCATCGAGCAAGTCCTCAGGCGACGTGTCCGCAGCCGATTCAGAAGGGATGATAATCATGCCCAGCTGGTCCCTACCGGCACCGAACATGACGGCTTCTTGAACCAGCTTGTTGTGACGAAGAGCTTGTTCCATGGCGATCGGAATGGCCTTTTCGCCGTTCATTAGGACAATCGTATCGTCTAACCGACCACAATATTTCCACGCACCCGGGATTGACGGGTGCGGCTCGAACAGGTCCTTGGTCGCATATGACCCGTCTTCCCGGTTCGTGGCGACCTTCGAAGGCCAGCCTTGCAACACAACGAGCTCATACAGATTGCCGCCCCTTTCCTCAAATCGCACATAGGGCCTCAACTGCTCATGCACCCGGACATAGTTCCATGCCTTGTCGCCCGGCGGCCGAAATGAGGTCATGAGCTGCCCCGTTTCCGTTGTACCGTAATGGCTGACGAGGTTGACGCCGCCTTCAGTCAAAAGATCCCCGAGGGCGTCGGGACATGCAGAGCCTCCGAACATGACAACCTTCATGGCCGCCAGAGCATCGATACCTTCTTGAGTCTCGCTCAGCAGCTTGAGCGCGTACGGGACACCGTAGAAAATCTCGAACTGGTGCTGATGGAGAATTTTCAGCAGATTTTGTCGGGTCAGAGGCAAGCTGGCGTTGTACATGTAGATCTTCTTGATGGATGTGATGGCTCTGAAGACACTGCTCAGACCATGGGCGTGGAAGAGCGGCAGAGTGATGAACCCCTTCATGTTCATGTTCTGTTCGTAGTTTCGCAATGCGGAATAATGGGTCTGATATATCGGCTTCGGCGGACCCGTGGACCCCGAGGAATGGATGATCCAGCATACCTTCTTCGTCTCTTCATCCAGATCGAGGTCTTGTTCCTGCTCCGCCTGCTCTTCTTGCACGCCGTTGGTCAACTTTGAAGACGGCTCATACTTATAATCGCTCTCGCCGCGAATGGGAATAATCTCCAGGTCTGGTTTGACGGCCTTCAGTGCCGAGACAGTCTTCTGAAAGGTCGGATGAACCACGATATGTCGACATCCCGTGGCATCCAGTAAGGACAAATATGCGGGCTCTGAGATTCTGGTGGACAAGTAAAGCACGGTGAAGCCTAGCCTGGACAGCGCAAGGGCAGTAATGACATAGTCGAGGTTCGACGGGCCGAGCAGAGCAACCACTCTTGCATCCTGCTTTGATGATGTCCGTACTGGAAGATATTGTGAATAAACCCGCGCCAGGCGGGAAGGAAAGGCATCCAGGTCGGAAAAGGTGTATTCCGTGTACTCGAGATCGTGTGACGGATACCCCAGAATAGGTTCATCTGGAAGAGCTTTGGCGCGGATTGATATCAGTTCCGTTACCGTTCTGGCCTTTGCTGCAAATATTGCCTGCAGGGCGGCCTTGTTAGGCGAATGAACGCCATTCACTTTCGGCTCTGCTGGCAGAGTTTCTCGCGAAGGCATCTTGTAACTTCTGGGGTCGACAATTATGTTGATGTGAGACTTCCTGTACTGGCACCAAAAAAGAATGTGGTTCTTCAAAAGCTGCAGGAACATCAATTTATCAAGACACGCCCAATATCTAGAACTGGTCCATTGCATACCTCGCAAGACATCCCATCCGCCGGCGGTCTGATACAATTGCCGATAGGCATAATCTGAGTGGTGGAGTCGATGGGGGCGGGCGGTCGATCACCCGAACCCGGGGTTCCGACACGTTTCCGTGAGCCGTCGGAACGAGGCTCAACCCCCCGGACTATCAGGCCCCCGCGAAAGCTTGAGGGACTCTTCTGCCGTCGGAACCGACAATGTGTCAAGGTCAACAAGCTTGAAAGTCGAAAATATCTCCATCCACAGGGAAGCCGACGGTGTCGAGATTCTCCCAGCCCCATCCGAGTATTGATACATAGTCATCCTGCAGAGGGGTGAACTGGTCCGTGGTAATTGCCATATTCTCGCCTTGGACATCCTGAGCAACCGTCTGGCCGCTAGTCCCATGTAGCTGATGCTCTGTCAGGCCTTCTGTGTGATCTCTAATCCTACTCGGATACTCAGAGAGCTGAGAGAAAGTCGAGGTTGTTGCTGACGTCTGTTCCTGGAAGCCCGCGGCCGGAGGCGGCGGCATGTTGGAAAGACCATGACCGGCCCTTTGGACCCGTCCGGCGTCCTTTTCTGCTCGTTGCCGAAGCCGATCGAGTAGGTTATAATGACGACGCATTTGGCTCCCCTCCGGTGACATGGCAGCCAATTGCGCTTGACAAAGCTTCGCCTTATCCAACCATTCGTCGATGTCAGGAAACAACCCGGGCGGAATTGAGGAGCGGCTATTCTGTATCATGAAGACATAGAACGTCGAAAGAGCTACGAGGGCAACGTACGGAGTGAACCAGAAAGCCGAAAACAAGGATCCCCTCTGGCTAAGTTCGTAGATCGTACTGAGGACGGCGCGGATGGCATCTGCGCACTCTCGTATGGCCCTGTGAGCTCTTTCGTCTTCAATCGAGGCTGTATTGCGTCCCAGGCGGCTGAAGTCCATCAACAAGCAACGTCGAGTGACAAGGATACGCAAGTGAGCATAAGCAAGCTTTAGAACCGTGTTTTGTCGCTCAAAATTACGTCGGCCTGCAAGCGTCTTTTCGCGAGGCTTGAGAAAATCGGGCAGGCGTTCTCGCCAGTTGTACACCGCTTCAAGCATCTGATCGGTGCGTTCGAAGACCTGGCTTTCAGACAACGGCTGCAATGGGTAGAGCAGGTCGCTGTTCCGCGCCATCAATTTGGCCAGATCGGCGTCAGCAATGAACGCTTCAAGGTTTCCATGCTGGGGCAACTCCTCGGGAGCCTCCGCGGACAACAAATCTCGATCATCGATATTCCGGGGGTACAGCTGGTCAATATCCTCATCGCGCAGAATACGTGGCCGACCAAGCATCACACTCAAGTAGTCATCCAGGACGTAGGCGCACCAGAAAGTCCGCTTGCGCGATTCTAGGGTGACCAGATCAAGCTTATGCGTCGCTGAACTCTGTCTGTGGAGTCCGATTGAAGTCAGGATTGTACATGCCAAGCTGAAAGTGAAGCGGCATTCATTGATGCGGAAAGTACTGAGCAGATAAAGGCACATGGCAAGCCTGGCCTGTACACTGACCACGGTGGCGGGACCGGGTTCTTGGTTGAGTAAGGATTTGGCCTTGTCGAAGTAGAATCTGCTTCGAACCAGGTCTTCCTCATCGTTACCTCCCGCTTTGTGTCGGTCACCATCTGCTGCGTATAGCAGCGACTGTGCACAAACCAACAAAGCACAAGCGGCCTCGGCCATGGACAAAGGAGCGCCAGCGAGCAATTGTGACATCCAACGCTCAATGCTCGGCTGATGTAGAAACCGGTACGTCGGGGTAGCAAAGCGGAAATATCGTTCCAGTAGCACATCTGCTTCTTCGCGTGTGGGCAAAGGCTGATCGTGTCGAATCACAGGCTGAGGCATGTCTCCATAGCACGTTAAGGGAGCGGCAGGCACTGCTTCTCCCTCGTTGCCCTCGCCACGATTCCAAGCATGGTAGAGAAAGGAGACTCCAGCCGTCGGCCCGATGTGCTGGCCACCGGCGAATGTCTGTGGTGGTTCTGTTGATATAGTCCTTGTCAATTGCGGAGCTGGCCTTGATACATGACTCTCCTCTCGAAAAGGATGCTGTCCAACGGGGCTCAAGGGGCTTTGGCGTCCTGGACGTGTTCCAGTTGCACCAGGAGCTCTTGTTGTTGTGACATGGTCTGCAGACCAGGACGCTGAGTATGAGAGCCTGCCAGGCGCAGGTCTTTCGATTCCATCGTCATACTCGCACCGTACTCCTTCGCCGTGACAATAGTCGCAAGGCTGCGTACCGGTGCACCTGACTTTGCGCCTACGAGGAAGATGCTACTAGTCAGCAAGACCTATGGGCCAGATGTGGGTGCGAGAGGGGAATGGAGATCCATGTCCATAATCATCACGGACTCGGCGTAGTCCGGGGAAGCAAACATACACACCTCCTGCAAAACTGACAAGCCCGGGCAGTGCGCGGATGTTTCAGCTTGCGTTTCTTCGGCGGGAACGCTGGCAAGTCGCCGCTTTCCAGCGTTGTCCTTGAGTTGGACGCGTCCATGTCTGGACACACCGGAATCCTCGTCACCTCACGAGGCTCCGAAGGATATCACGAAGGGGTTGCCGTTTTCGGGACGGAGAGATCAAGCAAGTGGCGGGGAGATGCTGCTTATCTTCTTTCTTCCGAGCCGGTTCCGTCGGAACAGCATTTGCCTAATAGGACGTGGGAGCCCTGTCCCGGGTAATTCCCCCCACGCCGCCCGCCCACACAGTTGTTGTCGGCATGTCTTTCAGCGAGGATTGCCTCAATCATGACCCTGACATTCCTTTGGTGAAGCGGTGGGATCCTACGCTGGACTTTCCATAAAAGCTCTCACCTTCTCGTACATTTCATTTTGATCGGTGATAGACCATTTAGATATAGAGATCGTGTTTTGTACAGTCATGGCCCTCAACCGCACTTTTACGTTGAACACCGGTGCTAAGATCCCCGCCGTGGGGTTCGGCACATGGCAAGCGGCGCCCCATGAGGTCGAGGATGCGGTCGAAGTTGCGCTCAAGGCCGGGTACAGGCATCTGGACTGCGCAGCCATTTATCGGAATGAGGCAGAGGTCGGCCGGGGTATTCAGAAGAGCGGCGTCGACCGCAAGGACATCTTCATCACCACCAAGTTATGGAATACCAAGCACGATCCCAAAGATGTCGAGCCGGCGCTGGACAAGTCTCTGAAGGATCTCGGTGTGGATTACGTCGACTTATATCTAATTCACTGGCCTGTCGCTTTTGTGCCCGGTGACCGCTGGTTTCCCCTGGACTCCAACGGCGTCTTCCAGCTGGCCGACATTCCCATCATTGAAACCTGGAAAGCCATGGAAGCGCTGCTCAAGACCGGCAAGACACGCGCCATTGGTGTGTCGAACTTCAACATTCGGCGGCTCAAGGAGCTGCTTGCGCAATCCTCCGTGGTCCCAGCAGTGAACCAGATTGAGGCGCATCCATACCTCCAGCAACCGGACCTCCTGGAATTTTGCAAACAACACGGCATTCTGATCGAAGCTTACAGCCCTCTTGGCAACAACATCACGGGTGAACCCAAAGTTATTGATGACCCAGAAGTCCAGGAGATCGCCAAATCGGTGGGTTTGGATCCTGGTCAGCTGCTCATCAGCTGGGCCGTCCAGCGAGGTACGGTGGCACTGCCCAAGAGCGTTACGAAGAACAGAATCATCAGCAACTTCCAGGATGCCGTTCTGCCGGAAGAAGTGATGAAAAAACTAAATGCTCTCGAGAGGCACAAGAGATTCAATTTCCCGGGAAGATGGGGTTGTGATATCTTTGACGAGATAGGGGAGGAAGAAGCTCGGAGAATAGCCAAGGAGTCCGCACCTGATAACTTGAAAAAGTTTACCGTCTAAAAACACTTTACCAGTTGGAGGGACTGTCCAGTCAGGCATAGCATGGTCGAGGTTAGCAGGGTCCACAGGCAGACGGTCGGTGATACATCGCTGTCTCCAAGTTCGTTTGGCTGAAATAGCACCTTCCTTGACGCAGTCACCGCAATAAAATACACTATTGAGCCACAGGACAAATCCTTTGATGCTCGTAGTTCCAGTCAAACGCTGCCCAAACTCCGTAGAGGTGCACAAGACTCGCCAACACAACGAATGTGTGGAATAGTTGATGCGAGGAAAACCATATGTCAAAAGTACCAGGCCAGATCGATTCCGGTATTCGAGTGATGAAGAAAAAAGCGCCGATCCCGTACGCGAGACCCTCTAGGAGGTAGTAAGGCATACCAGACCTTAGCCACATCTCCTTCCAGCCATACAATAGCATTCCGTGGATGATAGGCGCAAATCCCGACAGTGCAGTGAGAATGAACGCCCAAGTGCGATGGTCCCGATACCGTATTCCCTGAAGCTTTGGGTGCAGTACCAGAGTGGAGGTGACAATGCTAAGAGTGATTATCATGGTCCAATATGTCCACCGAAGCAAGGGCTCGCAGTAGAATCCAACATAAATCCCGGAAAAGAAGCTCCCCAGGATGAGGACAAGAATGCCAACGTAGTCCACCCTCAGCATTAGGTTGGAGACGTGCATTGAGTGATTCATCAAAGTATGGTAGGCAGAGGACAGAGCCAACGTAATGACAGCAGCACCCACATTGCAGTGGAATGTAATATGATCCAACAACGTGGCCTCCGGATAGAATGAATTGAGCGCGCGATGCACAATGACATGGCCGAGAATGTAGCATACCGCTGGTATGAGATGGGTATAAATGTTCAGAGTTTCGTTGTGTAGATAACCTAGGGACTGCGCACAGCTAAGGCAGGAGTTCGAAATGGGTCGATATCCGGTTCGCATGAAGTGGTTGTCTTTATGCCACTCGGGCAGCTCCTCATACGACAGCAGTACCACCCGCTTCTGTCTCAACTTTGGGACTTCTTGTTGATGCACGGCGTTGCTCGGCGCGCGGGCCCGCCTGAACTTCGCTTTGGGGTTTCGGTAAGACAGAATAAAAGACATCTTGTCTAGTCGATAAAACGAGCTCCAGTCAAACAAGGAGGGCGCAATGCTTTGGTGTCAACCCGTGGGCGGTCTGTTTCCCCTGTAACCCTCGCACCAGAGTAAGGGAGAGCCGGCATCTAAAGACTGCAGCGGTTCCAAAGACGCGACACGCAGCCGGATCCAGCTATACATATAACACCATTACCCTAAGAGTATTTTGGCCGCATGCGTTTCATCCAAGTTGATGAAAACTTTGCGAGCTCAGTGAGGTGGTATGGTCCTCTGCAGATCGAAGATAGATGGGGCCAACCCCCGTATAAAATCCGTCCAGGAGCGGATTCCGGCATGATCGCCGGCCATCCGGGCGATGCCGGAGACGTCGATGGCATTTGGTACCCTGGATCGAATTGAATCGTGAATCTTGCATGCAACCACAATACTGTGTATGTACACGACATATCGTTGGACTACATGGTGAGATTTCGGCGTCGATTTCCAGTTAAGGCCACGTCTTTGAAGGCGCCAAATTAACCTTGGATGCTAGTTTTTCTATGGTTTGAAGTTCCCGAAAGCAGTGATGGCGGCCACATCTACGTTGCTCCGACTGTTGCAACCCAGTTCTTCAGCTGCACTGGGGCCACGCACGGTCGGTCGAAAATACCCTCTATAAAGAGCGAATCTGGCGACCGGCAGGGCGGATGAGCTCTGAAGTATGTGCATGCTGGCTGGTAATATCGTGGCGCTTTGCGACGAGGCGATTGCCATAAGCTAGTTTGCCTGGAAAGCAGCAGACCTTGCGGCAACGATGGAGACGTGGGTAGGATTACAGTTCTTGCAAGCTCTCGTCGAAAGCAAGGCTTCGTTGGCGACCTGAAATAGCATGATTCGGTATCTTGGTCAGTATCTGTATTGGGCTGCCACCCGTTGTAAATCCTGTTCGGCTTGCGACATAGTCAACGCTTTCAGAAATATCCGGCGAAGGTGCCGGTGTCGTCGTTTCGCGTTGCAAAGCCGACTATAAGATCACGTCCCAGGCGCAGCTGACCTATTTGACAGTGGTGGGACAAGAAATTTCACGACATACCCCTCGGTACGCTTTCAAGGGCGTAGCGGCGGTTAAGTCGGGTTTTAAGATGGGATTTGGTCAACACATTGACTGCAACCAAAGGTCGGACCTGACGACTTTCGGGCTCAGCAATAGTAGCAAGGCAGTAGCTCGCGGTGTATGGAGCAACAGCATACCCCCCGGGCCAGCAGTGAGGCTTCTCATGGCCATTTTCGCCCTTAGCCACCGCCTAGGTAGGTAATTTTCCAGTCAACCGAAACATCATCAATATCAAGTTCGTCCGACAGATGGAGGCCCGCATCGAAGTCTGCCAGCGTCCGAAACACTTCAACGTGGATGATTCGGATATCGTGAAGAACGGATTTCAATTCGCAAATCACAACGACTGCATGGTAAATTGGGAGCCCTGTAAAGAAGAGAAGGAATGGCACATAATGTTTCAGACTTCGATGGCGACAACAGGACCTGGAAGGAGCGAAAACATGAAAAGGATGGACGCCATCAAAGACATACCCATGATAATGTCCAGAGTACTTGACACTTACCGCACACTCTGGAGAAAAAGAGATAGCCTCATGTCCTGTGTGAATGTGAGAAAGGTACCTAGGTAGGTACAACTGTACACCACGAGGCTGCACACACAGACATCAGCATGAGCCTGACTGCCAAGCAATTTGGCAGGCAGAAAACTTGTGCTCCACCGTTTGACGACGGCGACGCAAATGACGTGTAATGGCAGCGTGTCTTTGGCCGACGCCATTGCAGTATCAAGAGCGACACTCAAGTCCAGTACCACGAACAGCCTTTGTCGTCGCTCATTCCTACATCGCATCAACAACAAAAGCACCATGTCTTCATAATGACTTAAGTTGTATCTCTGAAGCCAATTCTGCACTAGTCAACATGCCTTCTCGATCACCATCACGGGGCCGATCGCGCACTCGCTCTCACACTCCAGAGTCTGTACGCCAAACACCCTCAGCCACTCACCACCAATCTCGTTCTCCCCGTCGCTCACCTACCCCAAGATCGCGATCGCGCTCGCGGTCCTACACCAGGACACCCCCTTCTCGTGACATACGCAATGGACATGGACGCGCCCGCAGCTACAGCCGGAGCATCAGTCGCAGCCGAAGTCCCAGTCGCGGCGACCGAAGAGGATATCGGGAAAGAAGTTACACCCGCAGCCCCAGCAGAGACAGTCGACGGGTACAGAGCTCGAAGATTGTAGTGGAAAAACTCACCAAGAATGTTACGGAAGCACACCTCCTCGAAATCTTTGGGTCGTACGGTCGCATCGAGTCCATCGACTTACCTCTCAACAGACAGTGTATGTATAACCCGAATGAAGGGAGGATCGTCTCTAACAGTAACCAGTCATGACAAATCGTGGAACAGCCTACATTCTCTACGACCACCCTTCCGGCTCCGAAGCGGCCATTGCCCATATGCATGAAGCCCAACTGGATGGCGCGGCCATTTCAGTCAGTATCGTTCTACCACGCCGTGCGTTCTCGCGCTCGCCTCCTCCAGCCAAATCCTCGAGACAAGGCCCACCCTCACGATATGGTCCGCCACCAAGAGGTCCGCCTCCGTCCAGGTACCGCAGTCCACCGCCTAGAAGAGGTGGTTTCGGGGTTAGCAGACGAGGTGATGACGACTCATACGTCCCTCGTTCGCAATATTCGAGATCACCTTCCCCGCCGCGCCGAAGGCCGAGGTCCGTCTCATACTCCAGGTCGCCTTCTAGAACACCTCCGAGGAGGAGAGGAGGTGCAGGTCGAAGTCCCCCACGCAGAAGACGACGAAGCCCAAGCTATTCTTCTCGAAGCAGCTACAGCCGCAGTCGCACCCGCAGTCTCAGCCGAAGCTTGAGTCGAAGTCGATCAAGAAGCAGAGGTCGGTATGGAGGTAGGAGGTGAGCGCTGTAGAATTTGAGAACAGCGTTTCATCCTTTATCTAAGATGGCGGATTGCTTGTCTAGAAAGGGCATGCAATGGAGTTGCTAAGTGCCAGGTCAAACTGGTAGTACCGCCGACAGTGAGGAATATGTCACTACGGGCAGGATTTCTAATCGTGCCAGCTCGCCCATTCGACGACAGATACTCTTGCCCAGCTTTTCACGGTGGCAGGTGTATCTACCAACCAAGTGGCAGCGCATCCCCAGCAGTCGGCAGAGCCGTGATAAGGGGCTGTCGAACTCCGGCCTGGCTCAATGAGGGCAGGACATTGTTGAATGAGCTAAACAGCGACGTGCTAAGGTATGGAGCATTGAGCATGAGTATGCTTGTGTGCTTCAACTGAGAATCTGCTCATAGAACCAAACAGTGACAGTCACTGTTCAGTGAATTGCTTCGGAGGCAGTCCTCCTCATTGCAAGACATAGCTACTTATGATAGCTCGGACCAGAATCAATGTAGACATGACTAGAGCTTCTCATCCCTGGAATTCTCTCCCCGTCGCCGTCTCCTGTACCTGACCTCGACCTCGAGATCAGTTCAAGCTGCAGTGGCCCTTGCTTTGCATGCGCAATTTCTTGGCGTGGAGAGTCGCGAAAGTCGAAGTTGCCGATCGACTTCGCGCGCGATATTTCACTAGTAACTTACAACTACTACTGCAGATCAGCTTAATTGACCTGACCATCATTGTCACAACTCCTTCTCAGCTGCAAACCATCCGCTCCTGAGGCAATCGCGGGCTGGGTGGTTGCGCCTTCGCAGTGCAGCGCGTGTTTCCACGTCGCCGCTTGTGAGACCCGCGCCCTGCGTTTCCCGCATGACAACGCGTCTACAGCTAAAAACTTTCGTCCATTGAGACGTTCCTTCTCAACTCTGCCAGTTGCAGAGCGCGACACCCCTTTCGAGTCTTTCCGCGAGTACTCTACCGAATCAGGATGAGTAGCGATCCTGAGACACCCGACGTGGCCGAGGGGTTGGACCATCAAGGCGATGACCAGCTCGACAGCGACGCCGAAGATGATGCAGTCAATGATACCACCATGGCAGACGACGAAGCTGGCAATGACACGACGATGCATGACGATGAAACTGGTAATGAGACGGGCTTGCAAGACGGCGAACAGGGCGGGACAGAACGAACGCTGCAGAACGGAAAACCCTACGCGGTCTCTGACGAGGCCACCGACTACAGCGTCTTCAATAATCCTCCCGACCTCGCGCAGATGCGCCAGAGATTTTTTGACTTGGAAGAGCCCATAGAGCTTGCGGTGGCCGACTTTGACGCCTACTTTCCGTTTGTCGATAACATCTGGCGCAAATTGAGGGCTGCAGAGGCGCAACCAGAAGGCAATGTGAAGACGGAATATTATGCTTGTAGACTTCGCAGAGGCGCCAACCAGAAGCCTCACGTGCCACGACCTACCCCCGAGGGTAAGCAGACGCGAAAGAAACGAGCGCGCGACGACAAGACCTGTGGCATGACCATGAAAGTGGTATACAATGGCGGGCCGGTCGAGAGCTGCACCGTTTCGCGGGCGGTGGACAAGTTCCAGAAACACACGCATGACCTGGATTACATCGACTCGACGAAGCGCAACTCGGGCATCATGGACACTGCGCGACGTGAAGCCACCAAGGGTTTCCTACCGGCATCTATCTTTTGGAAGATGTGGGAGGAGCCGGATAAGATGATCGCGGCCGGTGGGAAGTTCATGAAGGTTTCGGACGTTCGCAATGTGCAGTATGCTTGGCGGCAACAGAACCCCCAGACGGTATTAAAGGCGCATCGCGGTTTCAATCAGACTCGGGCGCCCCGTCACCGACCGCCAACGCCGCCACAACCCTTTGCGCCGCCCATGCAGGCTGGACTCTTTGGTCGATTGGAGCCGGTCAAACAGGCTGTGATGAGTCCCGATCGACCGCCGGCGCCGATGGACACACTACAATTCCCCCCAACTGCGAGGGCTTTCCTCGAGCCGTACCTACCGGACCCTAAACTCGCCTCAGTTAGGACCCGACCGCATGTCACTTTGACTTGGGCCAGCAGTCTGGACAGCAGGATTACGCAAGTGCCCGGCGTTCAAGTCGCCATCTCCGGCCCTGAGACAAAGGCAATGACGCATTATCTACGAAGTCGACATGATGCCGTCGTAGTTGGGGTCACCACCGCCATCGCAGACGATCCAGCTTTGAACTGCCGGTTGGCCGACCCTGCCGGAAACGGTGCGCCGCCACCAGTCGAACAACAACCACGTCCGATCATCATCGATCCTCATGCTCGGCTTCACATTCGCCCTGAGATGAAGATACTTCGGACCGCCGCCGAGGGACGCGGCAAGGCGCCCTGGGTTGTTGTGGCACCAGGCGCCATGCTTCATCCTCTGGCGGTCAGCACGCTTAAAGCTCACGGTGGTGAGTACTTGATGATCAACGATTACCATCCTCAAGCGGGGGGACTGAGCTGGGCTGGCATCTTCAACGTGCTCTTCCGGGAAGGTATCAAGAGTGTTATGGTGGAAGGAGGCGGTGTCGTTCTCTCCGAATTGCTCAAGATTCGACATGCCTACATGATCGACTCGGTTATCATGACCATTTCTCCGACATTCTTCGGCAAGGCTGGTGTCCCGGTATCACCTGATCCCACCTTTGATGCAGCGGGAAGGCCGATCGCGACGAGGCTGCGGAACGTCAGATGGCAGCCGATGGGTGACTCTGATGTCGTAATGTGTGGTCACATGGCTTTTGACCGACCCATGAACGGAATTTTGCCTGGAATCGAAGAGTTTTCTCGTACGGCAACGGAGACGCCGACTCAGCAACCCAAGCAACAAGCACAACCTCCTCAGGGAATCCCGCAAGCATCACCGCAAACGTCCGGGCTGCAGCCCCTACAACAACCTCAAGCACAACAACGCCCGGCCTCAGCAGCTACAACATCGGCTTCTCCCTCACAGCAACCTTTGCAACGACAACAGTTTGCCTCTCCGTCCACGACCTTGGATCAATCGACAACAGACCCAGCATTACTCCAGCAGGTAGTTCCTAATACAAGCTGACCGTTGCGGTCTTAACCGGGGAACGGCAAGCAGCAAACACAAGGAGCGTATTACAAGACGCAAGGGAGCAATACACATCGCCCAGGGCGTGTCGGCGGGACAGGTGCTCTCTTCCTTTGGTCTCAATGGGGATTTTGTCCACTCGCAACGAGCTACGAACGAGTATGACGATGGGTGCACCTGGTCTGGGCTGGGCAATAGAGTCACTTAGAGGCAATGAGGGATAGCTGGGCAAAAGGGCCGGTACTGATATTTTTTACAATCTGCGAATCTCGTCGCATTCGGGCGATGCAATGATGGATCCAGCAAGGGTGCGGGTTGGGTTGGAGGGCGGGGGGGCAGGGGGCGGAAGCGGCATGCTGAACCACCAAGCTCGAAGCTCCTAGGTATGGAGAACATCTCTTTTCCTTTGGTCTCAGCCTCGTAATCAAATGTGATGAGTATAGATAGCACGCAAGGAAAATGGAATGGAATGATCTGGGCCCGTGTCGTGCATAGTACACCTCAGTTTGCACTGTGTTCAAGGTTTCCAACTTGAACCATATTTCATATATTGCGGGTTTGATTTTCCGTAATGTGGTTTGGCGGAGCACTTAGTTGTCGGGTCCCAGTCGCGTACCAACCATCGCGGTCAGTCGCCGCGGCGAAACAGCCCTGCTGCAGCGATAGGGTAGGATAGGGTTTGGAGGACTCGCTTAGGTTCATGTAGTAGTGACTTGTGTATCTTGCCAGTGCCAGTCTGAAAGCATTTGACGGCCCATAGTTGGGCTGTAGAGATTACACGTGTGACATGCTGACGGGGCGTCAAAACCGCTTGGATTTTTTGCGGGTTGTAGGTTGGGCTGTAGTGCCCCCGTACCCACCCAGCTTACGCACGCCTTTTGATCTATTCTGGAGAATTGAACCCGGAGAATCGCGGTCGACGTCGACGACTTGTGACACTAACACTAAACTACACTACTAGTACAACAAAACAAAGTATGCTATGCGGATGAACATTATCTTCTGGTGACCGGTGACTGGTGTCAAGACTTATCAGGAAGGACTAGTAAGCAAAATAAAAGTGGACAGGACAGGACAGCTGAGGTGGACAAATCGTGGGGTGAGTTGTGTCCTCGCTCTCTGTCTCCAATGACAGACGGCACTTGTGAAGACCATGGACGTGTACCGTACTGACCAGGTGTTTGATAATGTACTAGAGGTGTACCAGTACCAGTGCCAGTGGGAGAGTCGGAGTCGACGTTATCAACATGGCAGTCAACCGCCTCGCGGCTTATTACGCAGTACCTGCGCCCCTTTTTTGCGCGGGGACTGGTGGCAGTCGCAGCCTCGTGGCTTCTTATCTGAAGCCCGAGATCCCGATGGGCCATATCAGATGGAAGGGTCTGAGGTTCTTTTCTGTGTCACCGCGGTCTGGCCGGGAAGGCCGAGCAACCGCTGAAGGACAACGACAACGACAAGTAAACGCTGGTATGTTTGATGCTGTGGTCCTCGGCAGTGGGCCTGCGGGCATCGCGACCGTGGGTAAGATCCTGGATCATCAGAAGTCCGCCCAGGTTCTTTGGATTGATCCATTGTTCCGTGGAGGGAGGGTCGGGGAGAAGTATGGTGATGTTTCGAGGTATGTTTCTATTTATATATCTTTGCATTGCATTGCCTTCCGTTTCATTGCGTTTCAGTTCATTCCATTCCACTTCACTTCATTTCATTTCATTTCATTTCGCTTGCGTTGCCAGTGATACAAGTAGGTATCCAGGTACTGTACAGACTGGATCTGACTCTTGCGGTGGTTAAAAGCAACACCAAAGTCTCCTTGTTCCTAGCATACGCCAATGCTCTCGAGTCGTTTCGCGAAATCATCCGGTCCACGCCGACACCGAATGCCATTACCGCTCTACAACAATTAAACCAGGACGCCGGGTGTCGTCTTCACTATGCCTCTGACATGTTGCTCATGTTGACCGAGGGCCTGAGACGGCATCCGAACGTGGACACCTTTTTCGGCAAGGCTACGTCTGCGGCGTTTCATAGTCAGGTTAGTTACTTACAAAGGCCTGATTTCAGCATGGGTATCAGTATAGCTGACGAGTTTATCCTGTCTAGAGTTCCGTGTGGACAGTTCAGGGAGAACCGACTGATTCAAATCCCGGTCAACACACGTTTCAATCACGAGCCTTGGTCTTATGTACAGGTTCTGCTCCTTCGAGCGACAACCCGTCCATCCCCGCCGGTGTGGCGCCGAAATTGAATCACGTCGATCTCGATGTCGCACTTGATCGGAATGCTTTGGGCGAGGCACTTCCGTCCGATCAAGATGTGTCGGTTGGGGTGGTCGGGTCTTCTCATAGTGCCATTGTCGTGATTATGAATCTATACGAGCTGGCCACGACAAGCCACCCCCGAATCCAGATGAAGTGGTTCACGAGACGACCGCTCGTCTACGCAGAGTACATGGACGGCTGGATTCTGCGTGACAATACCGGTCTCAAGGGTGCATCGGCCGACTTTGCCCGAGCACATCTCGAAGATGAGGCGTTGAAACAGTCGCCTGTTAAGCGCTATCTGGAGAAAATCGATTGTTCGCATGACGAGGTTGCGGTGTATCGTGAGCAATTGCCAAAATGCACGCATTTGGTCCAGGCTATTGGATATCACCGAAATCCTGTCCCCAAACTGTCTGTCGACAATCGACCGGTGGAGAAGCTAGATTATAACCCAGAAACGGGTGACATACGAGACGAGCGAGGACAGCCTGTGCCGAATCTGCATGGTGCTGGCATTGCGTTTCCGGAAAAGGTCGTTGATCCGTATGGCAATACTGAGTATGCTGTTGGCATGTGGAAGTTTATGAAGTATTTGGATAGGGTTGTTCCAGAATGGGGCATTGGGAACGGTGACAAAGGGGAAAAGTGACGTTGAATCTGGTCCTTTGGCATTGCTATGGTGTGTTTAGACCGTAAACAATGAAGTATTTCGCATGTTGCCATAGCTGGCTGTTTCGTGGTGTAGTCCAATGGTGGTGGACTTTGGTGGTTGGGAAAATGGTGTATACGGCGCGTTCCGTCGGAATATATTTACTGCCGACACCACAAATCCGATCCTCCCATGTTCCCTGTCCAGCACAGCTACCAGGATATCCCACACCGCAACGAACAGAAATGCCCGGGTGCTAGATCTTCCTCATACTACGGACTCCGGTGTGGACCATGACAACCCGGGTCACCGCTATACAACGTTGTACAATTGCCCATCCGGGGAAATGCGCGGCTCTCCCACCGTTAGACTGGGCGATGAATTGCAGATCTCAAAGCTTGAAGCTCTCCCCGCAGAACTCATTGTCACCTTCCACATTCATCCGGGACCCAATTGCAACGGCATCCAAGGTAAAGTCGAGCATGTCCGGAGGCAGATCTGCCGAAGACAGAAACCTGCCCATGGAACGTGGCTGGGAGGGTTACTCACCAGTCTTGTCGCCCTTCCAGTGAGTCCCCGGCCATAAAGGTCAAGCAAGGTAGGTTGGTGTCGGAACCATCAATCATTAAACAGGCTGAACGGTGTCGAATCCAATCCAATCCGCCGTAAGCAGCAGCTGCATCCGTTACAGTGTTGTGTCGTGTCGCACTGATTCCTTTCTCTCGATATGGCCTCCAGTATGAGGACACCAGGCATAACCACGGCCTTCCTGGCACTGCTGCCCAGCATAGCACTGGGCGCGGTCCCTGTATCTCTGTCGCCTCCGCCGAATGCCAGCGAACCTCTTCTGGAATCATTTGTGTCATTTTCGATCGAGTTTGCCTCATTTCCCGATTTCGCCGGTAAGTGTGCAGTACCCGGCTACCAGGAGCCAGTATAATGAGCTGAGGTGTGCATGTCCAGGAAACTCGAGCCACCCCAACAACTTCTCGTACAACCTGTTGACCAACCTGGGGAAACTGCAAGGATCGAATCCGATCATTCGAGTTGGTGGGAACACGCAGTAAGACAGCACAGCACATGATCATCCAGTCGTTTCCGCATCTGTCCCGCTCCCTTCTTTGTGTACAGTACTGACATTCTTCTCCGCGCAGAGACTATGCAACGTTCAACGCCTCCCAAGAAGCTGCATTGATCGGCACTTTCGACTATAGTCGGTCTCGAGACTATCCGACCACCATCTCCATCGGCCCAGCTTACTTCGACTCATACTCGACATGGCCTGGACTGACATACATCCACGGCTTCAACATGGGCAAGAACGGCACCGTGGGACACGACACGCTCGTGGGAACCGTGCCCTTGGTATGCAAAGCTTTGGACACAAACAAGCTCGCCTACTGGCAACTAGGCAATGAACCGGACTTGTTCAAAACCAGCGCGCAAGGACCCGTCCGACCGGCCTGGTGGAACGAGGCCGACTACGTTGAAGAATGGCTCAATAAAACCCGCACGATTCGCCAGCTCGTCGAGCAGAATTGCCCTGAAGTATTGTCCTCTGGCAGGTTCAGATTCTATGCGCCCAGCTTTGCGGGCACGTCGAACAGTTTGAATTTAATCACTACGTGGACGGCGGGACTAGATGCGGACAATGATATTGCGTTTATCGATAGCCACAAGTGAGTGAGAGATCCGATCAAACACCTAACCATACCAGACACCCCTCGTTTTTGTTGTTGTTGCATAGCTAACATCGTCGACTGTGTACCTACACAGCTACATCGGCGGCGCCACCCAACCAGGCGTGACACTCCAAGGAACACTAATGAACCACACTTCGACCGTCTTGTCCGTGGCCAAACACCTCAATGAATCGAACATTCTTCGAGCGAGCGGTTCGCAACTCCCCTATATCCTCGGCGAGACAAACAGTCTGTACAACGAAGGCGCGCCAGGTCTGTCCAACTCGTTCGGCGCTGCGCTCTGGGGTGTCGATTTCAATTTATATTGTGCGGCCACGGGGATCAAACGCGTCCATATGCACCAGGGAACAAACTACCGCTACGCCTCGTGGCAGCCTGTCCAGACGGTCAACGAGTCACTCGGCACAAAGGCACCTTACTACGGCAACGTCATGGTCGCCACTTTCTTGGGCGATTTAAATGCTGGCAAAAACGTGACGATCGGCGACATCGAACTTGGTGGTGAGCCAAGTATCTACCATAGCGCCTATGCGGCGTACGTCGATGGTCGACTCAAGAGGATTGCCGTCATCCAGATGCGCGCGTATAATTATACTACTACAGATACAGAGCAATCGGCAAGACCAAATGAATCGTTTAGCTTTCACCTTCCAAGCAGCACAGGAGGAGGGGAAGGAGAAGAGGAAAGTTCTTCGGCGGTGAAAGGCATCCGTGTCCAGCGCCTCCTGGCAAATGGCAGTGATGCTATTACCGGCATCACGTTTGATGGGTCCTCGTACAATTATGAGCTCGATGCCGGCCGACCTGTATTGTTGAATAATGTCACCAGAGGCGAAGTCTTGCAGGTTGACGAGGAGGGTGTGGTTACCGTCGATGTTCCGTGGTCTAGTGCTGCGATTTTGAGTCTGGATTGGTGAGCGAGGAAGTGTATACTTATTCCGACGGACTATCATGCTCATCATGAGCCTGAGATACTAGACCAGAGGCACCTACCTGGGTCCTGGCACTTAAGATGGTAAACGACCAAACAGAATACCTATAATAAATTGATTGCAATGCAGTGTTGTGCAGTGAGTAGCAGGCGAAGCAACCTGAACTGCATCGTTCCCCTATAAGGAGTGGGTCGTCTTTTACTGCATGTGCTGCCAGTAGTGGCTCCACGACTGGCCAGGAATCCCTAGCCCAGCCAAGCACCCCTAAAATTAGCCATCAAACCCCACAGCACAATTTTTGGACTATTCGCCAATTATGCAAATTTCCTTCCAACAAGTTCCAAGGAGCAACAGCTCCAAGGATCACAGCTCTCTTAGCTCAGTGGTAGCAGCGCCACACTAGTAGTTCCTAACATTACGAGATGTGGAGGTCACAGGTTCAAGTCCTGTAGGGAGCATTTACGGGGGATCGGAAGATTTTCTTTTTTGTGATTTTCAAACTCCATAGGAGAACCTTGGAATGAATTGCAACTCTGGCAGCGTACGGTTGGTCACGTCGTCAGTTGTGTCCTTGTTGTTGTAGTGGCAGAGAGGACCTCGAGTTTGTGATTGGTGAATGCACACAGGCTGGGCGGGAGTAGTACCAGCTTTCTGCTCTGCCGCTGCGCCTTCCTTATGTATTTATAGTTCTTTTTGCTGAACTACCACCCAACGCATCTTGTTATCTGGACTATTTGAAATGTCCTTTTGGCTGGATACTATGTACTAGTACAAACCAGAACTGCCTGTGTACATACATTCTAGTTGTCTTTTCCTTTAAGATTCTGTCCTGTCGTAACTGTAGTGCTGGCAGGAACAAAGTACTAGTACTTCACTGCTTCCTCCTTACGGACTGATACTAAGTACTACTTAGTACTAAATAGGTACCTACTGCACTCAAAAGGAGCTGCCTTCCCATGGCACGCAGAGAGTCTGGCTACTAGTGGTATACATACGTTGATTCTAAGTATGTACTACTAGTATGTATGTACAACTTAATGGTTGCGCAGCCTCCTTGCCAGGCATGTTTCTGGTCAATGGCATTCGTGGTTCCGAGGTCCTCTCACTACTAGTACTTGTATGAGCCCTTATCTTTTCCTACCATTGAGATTGTACTACTTAGGTGCTCGCACTGCATGATCTACAGTATATAGGTACTCACCCTCTACTGACAGATTTATACAGTGGTTTTAATATATCGAAATCGGTTCAAGAGCGGTTCGAAACCGGTTCGGAGTTAGTTCTGAACTATGTTTATAAGTAGTTCTATTAGTCAATATATATACACTAATAATTTCAAACCGATTCTAAACCGACTCTACACCGATTATAACGTAATTCGAGATTTAATTCTATCACACGATTTATACACACCGAGACAGATCGAAAACGGTTCGGAATCGATTCGGAATCGGTTCGAAACTAGTCTGGATACTGGATCTAAATAGATTTGGTACGTTGTTAATACGATTTAATTCCTAGCTATATAGTAAGTATTCTATATTAGTCTATTAGTTCTATACTTAGTACTAATTATCTATTAAACTATCCTGAACCTGTCCTGAACCTATCCTAAACCTACTTAGTATCCTGAACCTATCCTGAACCTATATCAAACCTCTATTAATCCTCATTTTCCTAATATAGCATAGACATACATGACTTCGGACATGGTATCTATGGGCTATTCAGTCTCCCATTCCACCCTCGCCTTCGTCCCATCCTTATTCGCCGTGAACTTTACATGCCACACATTGCGAGCCAGATCCCGATTCACCAAGTTTAAATACACTTCACCATGAGCGAGACCGCTGACTTCCTGATACGGAACGGGCTTATCTTCTCCAGTGACCTGGGAGGCGAAATAGAACCTATATGACGCGTTTCATTTCACATTAGCACTGTCGAACAACTCCAGTCCAGTCCGTCAACGTGGACGACTAATGTAGATTCCATCCCATCCCATCCAATCGATCAAACACTTACCGGATCCCATTCCCTTCGTAAGCCTTCATCCCCACCTGAACAAGATACGCCAGTGCAGCCTTGCCCGACCCCAAAGTCGTGGCCATGGGATCAGGTTGAAACGGCGTGACATTCCCCGTTGCAATAAAGACGCACGGAAGAGTCGGAATCGAGTCTGACCCTTTCTTTTCTTTTTTCAGACGCAAAAATCCACGACTCGCATGGTGAAGAGCAGAGTATCCGCCGCTCGCGTTCACGGCCAGATCTTGTTCAAAGTCGGCAGGCGAGATTGCAAACGGGTCGTCGATGTTGGTGGGAAATGTGAGGTCAGCGGCTATACGGGCTGCGGTCAGCGGCGTGGCCTGGATTGTCCAGGTCCAGTTGAGATAACCCACCATTATACACAACCACATTAGGAACCCCGAGTTCGGCTTCCACTCGGTAAAAGGCAGAGTGTATCGATTCTCGACTCGACACGTCGACGGTGACAAATAGGACTTTTTTCAGTTCAGGTTCAAGTTCGACGTGAGAGTCCGAGGTGTCTTTGTCGGATGGAGGGTGTCGTCGGCCAATGGCGACTTTGTATCCATCTTGTAGGAACCGTTTGGCGACAAAATGGCCAATGCGGGGGCCGCCGCCGAGGATGAAGAGGACTTTGTAGGGAGATGGGGTAGTGGTGGTCATGTTGCTGTGTTACTGGTACTTCATGATGGTGATATTAATATATGGGACGTTGTACAGGAGTAAAGTGCACAGGTAATAGGACTATTGTATATGTTGTTTTGGGGCGCCATTCAAAGTTGGCGTTGGGGTCTCCAGGCTACGATACCAGTACAGGATAGCAGGAAGGCCGGCTGTGGAGCGGTTGGTTGTTGATGGACCAACCAATAAATACTATGTGCCTGGGTACCGGACTAGAATACCTAAGTGTATAACCATCTTCGATCTTACGCGTCGACTTCTTTGGCCGGGTTCGATATACTGTTCCTCTCAGATTTACTACCGAATTTGTTCTATTCTTCTCAGTCCTCAACAGTCACTTCCTATGAACGATGGCACCAAACACTGCATCATACGCATATGCCTCGAACGTGGATCTCAGATGATGGAATCAAAAGAAAGACCGGACTGGCGCCAGGTCGTCCATTCAAGGGCAAACCGCATCCCGAGCGATGATATCAGGTGGCTACATGGGCACGAACAACTGCTGCAGCTTCCCTACGTGAAGCTGATACGTGATGCAGTAATATGTCGGCGAGATTCGCTCAAGAAGGACGGCCTCAATTGCGACACATCGAGCGCTGTGTGCAATTGCAGCAATGCCGCTGGCGTACAATGTTGTAAAAGCTCGACAGTGACAGAGCCCCTTGTTTATGCCATGATGGATTCACCAACCCGGCACTCACAGCTTACTAGCTTCCTGCTTCTTCATCTCCCTCTTGAAATTCTTGACCAGTTGTCGAACGGCCAAGTCGAGCATAACATCCTCACTGCCACCCGGTATACGCGCACCCATGACATCGCGATAGATCTTCTCCACCAGTTCACCCTGTCCGGTCCGGGTATATCCATTTCCTCCGAAGATAAGCACGGCAGTTTGAGCGCAGTCATTGAGCACCATCCCAGCCTTTGCTTTCAAAAGCGCAGTTGGACCTCCGAGCTTTTCATCCGCCTCCGCCTTGGACAAATGATTGAGCTGATACGCAAACTCAAAGATCCACGATTGCAGCGTCTCCAGGTCTGCGGCAGCTTTGGCAATACGATGCCGCACCACAGGTTGGTCCATCAACGTCTTTCCAAATGCTTCTCGTTTCATCGCGTATGCCACTGCAGTGGAAAGTGCCACTCGAGCCTGGCGGGTAGCTCCCATGGCTATCAAGAGTCGTTCGTGGTTGAAATTCGTCATGATATATTTCATTCCTTCTCCCTCCTTGCCCACCAAGTTTTCGACAGGCACCTTGACATCATCCAGCTCGATATAAGTAGTACCACCTGCTCGCTGGCCCATAACTTCCAAGCGACGCATCTTTACTCCAGGATGATTTTTCAATGGAACAACGATAAGACTGATACCGGACGGTCCTGGCCCGCCAGTTCTCACAGCCATAGGAGCAAAGTCAGACCAGATACCGTTGGTAATCCACTTCTTTTCCCCGTTGATCACATAGTATTTGCCGTCGGCTGATTTGACGGCAGTGGTTTGGATGTTGGCGACGTCAGATCCCGCTTGAGGTTCTGTGATGGCTATGCAAGCACGAGCATGTCCGGGGAGTAGCTTGGGCAGGAACTTCTCCTGGAGAGCTGGGGATCCAAATGCCAACAAAGGTGGAATCGCATATGCGAAGCCAGGGGTAAGGCTCGACCCGGGCCCGGAAATGCCCGTTCGAGCTCTTTCGTCCACCCAGATCGCGGTGTGCAGGTGGTCCCATTCCTCCACGGGAACGCCAAGTATGTCATTAAGACCGAGCCTTTTGAGCCATTGTACAGGTAGTGGAGACTTGAGATTTGGTAATAGCATGTTATGTTTGTTGAACGTGTGCCAGACATGCTCGGGCACGGTGCCGGCTGTCTCCCATTCCAGCGCGTGAGGTAGAAAATGCTCGTTCATGAAAGCGCGACATCGTTTCTGGAAGTCTAAATGTGTTTTCTTGAAGTAAGGCGATGGCAAGCCTCGGAGGTAACTGGGCTCAGCAAACGGGACTGAGCTGATGGTGGTGGACATTGTTGCAGCGGCTCATACAACCTCACCGGAGTTGGGAGGCGAAGATATGCCTGAGTGATTTTTCCTGCTGCAGTGAGAGGCCGGAAAGTCACAGAGAAATACCTGGCACTCGCATAGCGAGAATCCGGAACCAGTTATAGCCATGCTAACCGAGATCGTGTTGGTTGACTCGGATGTTGAAGTGTCGAGGTTTCACGGTACAAGTCCAACATGCCGAGGCAACCGTGACAAGTCTCCGCACGGCTCTCAGCCTTGTCTACCGCCAGCCTCGCGAGGCTCGCATGACAAGGCCGTGTCCCTTTTTTCGAAGCAATTCGATTGATCTTGCTCAGTCTGGTATGATCAATACCCGCACTGCATGATCCGTTCTCGTGTAGATTACCGACAGTGTAATTCTGACCAGGAGCCGCCACGTGCCTTAAACAAGTTATGGATGCTGGTGACCACCCCTACTCAACTCGATTCACTCGCAGATTATTCACTGCCGCATCACATGTCGCACAACAAACGCTGTAATATCTGCGCTGCACCGTCAAATCCAGACACAAAAAGTAAACACTGCCCGTACAGTGGTTCGAACCACCCACCCACCGAACAAAAAGTGCAAAAAACTCAAGTGTTACTTGACGCTTTCTTGAGAAAAGACCGCCAGGAACCCGGAGCGCTCCGGAGGACAACAACTGCCTTTTTTTTTGGTTGACATCACTACTCGTGGTTACCCACCGGTCACAGATAAGAGGTTCAGCAGCTCCGGAACTGTGAAGATTTCGAACCTGTGACCAGTGGGTTGTGGGAGGTTGGGCCTGCAGTCCCAAACCTACACCATTCCACCCTGAGTGCTGGGGATAATTTGGCAACTCCAAAAGATAACCTTGCCTTTTTTTTTCCTGCCGGCGGTGAATGCTAGGTCACATGCCAACGAGCGCGGCTTCACTTCACGGTAGGACACATGGATCTTGAACAGAATGGGGACATCGTGAATTTCGACCTCCTTAGCAAGTTGGCAACGTCTACTTCAAAGCCCATCATCGTGGAAGACTTACTATCAGAATGCCCAGACTTACCATTGCTCGACTGGCACATCGTGCCCAAGTCTGCTCATTTAACTCCCGGTCATATCGTCCAAGTTCAGTTTGGAAACACACCACGGTTGATCCAGGTCGATCGGACTGCGCCATCTCGGGCCTGAATGCGGTTGTCTTTGGCTGGTAAGTGCCACCAGCGACTTGGGTTGAGCCCGAGGCATGGATGATTAATCAGCTGCTGAGCTGTGGTGAGTCTGCATCAACGAGTCGAGACTCCTTCCAATACGGTTACGATACTACCTGCCCCGTTAGGTATTCTCGGACTTACCTGGTTCAAGGCGCAGAGTAAGCATGAGCTCGACGACATGACCGTCCTGACCTCCTCCACGAGAGTGAGATCTAACACAGGATATTGGTCCACCAAAGCCCTGATGCTCCTCGTCTTCAGATGGTCCAAGTAGGGAGAAGGCCGTCGACCATCCATGCTCCTGCGGACTTCCCCTATCACACCTCCGCACGCCTATCTCGAGATAAGCGAACCGTGATCAGACCGGTAAGTCATTTCATCTCAAGATAAGCATGTACAGTTCATTCCGACTGCTGGGAGAAGCGATGCCGTCACCGAAGACGACACTTGTGTCACCCAAGCCCTGACGAAAGACATAGAGTTGGATGACACTGTCGCATTTTTGCGTCCTTGTCTTCCGCTTGAAGGCTCAACAACGCCACGCATCATGAAGATACAAGTGTTGTCCCTCTTTCTCTCCATGGCGGCCGGCCACAGTCTTGGGTCATTGCAAAATGTCATTGGGAACCCGTCCCTGTCCATCAATGGCGTCAACTTTAGCACTCGTGCTTATTGGATGAGACAGGCCAATGCCGCCCTTGGCCAACTGGTTTCCCTATGCCCTTTTGGAGCATTTGGGACTGCCATTGTGAATCACACATCGGGAGGACTAGGAGAGCTCGTTTGTATCGGTGCGAACAGCATTTCAACCACCGGCAACCCTTCGATGCACGGTGAGTGCGCAACACCATGTTTTCCTTGCTCGGGTGCTTCTGACGTCGCCTGCAGGAGAGATCGCGGCGATCAAGAACTGCTCCGAGATCTTGACTGATCCGGCCGGTCGGTATAATCTGACCGCGTCGGAAGCTCAGACAGCCTTCTCGTCGTTATCTCTGTACACCAATGCGGAGAGTTGTCCCATGGTAAGCACGGTAAACATGACCTAGCGAGTCGTGTGTTGACGACCTTCACCAAAGTGTGCCTCGGCGATTCGGTGGGCGGGTTTCAAGGAGTACATATATGGCACGTCTATCGAGACATTGATCGCCCAAGGCTGGGGTCAGATCCGGATCTCGAGCGTCGACGTGTTCTCGCAAAGCTTTGACTTGACATATCCGACTAGGCTCATCGGAGAGGTCCTAACGAACGAGACGGACCCATACTTTCTCTGGCAATACAACCCAAGCTATCCTTGTCCGGCGGGATGCCACCGTGGCACGGCGGGATCTTGCACGACAGACTGACCAAGACAAGAGATATTGAATACCAATTGGCACCTATCTCACAGGTTAAGCGAAGGTAAAATGGTGCAAAGATAGAGAGCACCCCCACAGCATGTATTCTAAATAGTTTTACTGTACAGGTAGCTGAACATCGTCGATAATATGGCGTGGAAAAGACAGGAGCACAGCGAAGGTTTCCAAGCATCTTACATAAGCAGCAGCAAGTCACATGCGTTCGCGTCAGAGACGTGTTCTCAGACGCGTACCGCGTGAATCGTTCGACAACTTGAACTCATCAATGAGAAGACTCAGATCACGTCTCCAGCGATGCATCCACAAGCATTCATATACTAGAAAATTGTTCAATATGGGCGTGGAGGATGCAGGATACTGTCGGCGTGACGCAGATCGAGCTCAAACCATGTCTTGCCGAACTGCTTCGGAACTGCATCTACCCGCCCAGGCTCCTCCTCAAAGTCGAGCACGTCTTCAACAAAGCGCGAGCCGGCAGCCACAAGAGCAGCGGAGACGGTCGAGCTGCGCGTGCTACGGATGAGAAAAGCCGTGCGCTCTGCACTTCAAGACCTTTACAATACGATACCGAGACGGAGTTGAGCAAGTCACGGTGCCTACATTTAGCGCTCTCCGATGGGATCCTGCAGATCCAAGCCGTTTTCGCCAAACAGCTACACAATCACGAGTTGTTGAATTTACAGAAGGGGGACATTCTTGAACTCAGTGACTATCAACTACGAATCGCCGCCCGAACGACCGGGCAAGGCAAGGTGATCTACTTCGGAATCCAGCATTGCGTATGGGTTGGCAGAGAAGAGACGACGAAACCTGAGCTCGAATCCGAGAGTGGCTTCTTCCACGAGGACCAAGACATGGCAGAGGAGGCCAAACAAGGACCCGGCAGTAAGGGCGCATCTGCACGTGCAATGGCCACCAACAACAATCTGGATCCCAAGCGGTTGGGCAAACGGTGTCGTGAGATAGGATACGACAATGACCCGCATCGGTCAAAAAGACGACAGACAACCAACCAACCGGTCGCCAGTGGTCGAAGCACGCCGTCTACCGATTGCCGGACCTTGAACTGTGACGACGACGACTCTGAGGAGGAATATTTTGGTACGCTGGTGGCGTCTCAGTCCCAGGTAGAGGAACGCCGATTGATGCTTCGTTATTCCCAGCAATGTCTTGTCCAACAAGAGCCCAAGCCTCCCGATCTGCCCAATCAACAACCAGAAGAGAAAGCAAATAAGTCAGCTCCAATTAGAGCAACAACTTTGTCGAATGGCGGCCATGAGGTCCTCACCGAGATAGTCCAGGCCTGCAACGATCCCACCAATGCCGACCGGCTTTCTCCTAGCCAGCCGGAGGAGGTCAAAGAGGTCCAAGACAACGATAAAAGACCGACGACAAACAACACAACACTCTCTAACATGACTTCAACAGCCCCATCCTACTCTGCTACCGCAGCCACCACTCCACTGCATACGCTAGCCTCTCTCTTAAATCCAGCAAACTCCCTCCCACCACGCAACTACTCATGCACCATCTTTTGCGTGATTTCATGGGTGTCGTCCTCGCTCATCCACAAACCAAATACCCCGTTCCCGCCAAAACGACATGTCAAGGTCCACGATCCGAGCGTATCACACCGACAAGCTGGCATTACGGTAGCCGTCTTCGTCGACGCCAAGAACTTCTTGCCTAAACCTGGTACTGTGGCTTTGCTCAAAGATGTGGTCATGCAGAGATGTGGGGACGATGTGATTTTGAACAAGTATGCCAGCTTTGGGACTCGGGTACAAGACGACAGTTCCGAATCACCTGACCAAGAAGCCCACAACAGCGGGGGTGGTTGGTTCATCAGCAACGAGCAGAAGCTGTTAGAGTTGGGGTTTGATGTCCATGGAATGAAGAAGTGGTGGCAGGAGAGGACAGCAAAGAAGAAAGGCTCAGTCATATGAAGGTGATTTGGGCGCGCACGGGGCCAAAATGTCTCAACCGCAGTCGCCATCTGATTGATGCGAGTCAGGCTTGAAGCCAGGATGGGGTATTCAATCAACAATGTGCTCGTCTTTTCGCTCCGAGTCGCAGCCTTCTCATCTAAATCCACTCTGATCCCTTCTCTCAATCCACACACCAATCACAGAGGTAAGCAATGTAAGTTAACTTGATTAAAATACTGTACACATGTAAGAACAGAACCATGCAAAGGCAATGTAAATGAACTCCTCTCCCAAATTGTCCCAGTAAACCCCCTGCTTTTAACTCCACCCAGTAAGTTAGGTAATTATCAAGTACTGTACTAGTACCTCAACACCTCCCTCTCCTTGTTCTGCTCTTTTCTTTAAACCCCCGAGCTCCCTTTCGAATGCCTAAACTTTTCCCTCGCTTCATCACCCTGGACCCATCTCTTACCAACACCACCACCGCCACGACGACCACGCACACGCCCCCTTACAACCTCCCATACCGCCAACGCCACAACCACCACCCCCAACACAAACAACGGAATCAAATTCCACCGCCACCCACGCATCAGCCTCAAATGATTCCTGATATCCCTCCTATCCGACTCATGCGCAAGCGGCAGGGCAAGCACGGCCACAAACCAATTCTCGGGCGTCCACTTGTCTAGCGGATAGAATGCCGGTTCTGGGTTGGCCGCTGCGACGGAGAGATTTATTGTTTGGTGGTCCGTCTGGTAGGTCACGATGAAGGTGTAGATTAGGGCAGCGAGTGTTAACATTGCTGATAAAACCGTCATGAGTGTCCAGAATAGAAAGAGCCGTGACGGGCCGCCGCGTGAGTCGTTGTACTGTTCGTGCTGCTGTCCGTAATCTGTGGATTGGATTTGTGACGACGGTGATGGCTGCTTCTTTTACATCATGGCTTGTCAGCAGATATGCTCGAGTAGCGAAAAGAAAGGGGGGGAAAGGGGTGTTGGTAAACTCACCCTCCGTTGTCCTTGTCTTCTCTTCTCATACCATATCGTCAATAACCCCCCAATCCCAACCAATACCACCGCAGTGCCCGCGGCGCCGTTGCTCGTGTGGCCCTGGTTGACTAAGAGTCCCGCCGGCTTGCCGTGCAAGTTGAATGTGCCCTGGGGCGCGTTGACAGTAAAATATTTGCCTGCTCGGTCGTGGAGGAAGCCGACCATTGAGCCGACGAATCCGACTTCGATGAGGCCGTCGACCATTAGCAGACTTAGAGCGATGTAGAGAGGTAAATAGGACATCTTTTTGTTTTCTCTTCCTTTTCTGTCTGCTAGAGGCTAGTTGGTCCTGCTTCTGCTTCTTTCTGTGGAACGCCTGTGTGCTGGGTTGAGCTCAAGGAACCGACGGTCCGACACAAGAAGGATGACCGGCCAGAGCAAAACTCGTACGGGCGGTGTCGTACGTAGTAGTATACCTCCTCGAAAAGCAGTGGTCCAACACAATACACTCGGACGCAAAAAGGCTTTCTGCTCAGAGTGCCACTGCCTTCCTTGGCCGGACAGAGGATGTGATGGTTCCTCTCTCTCTTCGGGTCTGCTGTGCCTGGCTGAATGCCACTTGGTCGAAATGAGAAGGGATGATGCTCGTTGGCAAAGAGCAAAACAGGTATTGGTGACCAGATCCAGCAGCGTGATACCTAGGTGAGCGAGGTAGGTGACCAAAAGGGAATTTCTGCTGTGCCAGGCGAGTGGGCGGGTTGCTTTAATAATCCCGAACCGAAGCAGATCAAGCCGGGTAGGCAATCAAAAACCAACCAAATGGTAGCAAAGCTGTGTGTGGCCTAAGTAGACCAAGTCGATCTCGATCGATGGTGTAAGGCTGAACGAGACGGAACGGACTGGATTGGGGGCCAGGCTTGACAAGGTCGTCACTTGAGTCAGGCTGCACAACTCAGGTTTCTTCAGATAGTGTAGTAGTACACTGTATGCCTGGTGGCAGTGATATGATGGGAAGGGAAGGGAAGGAGATCGACGGGCGGCCCTCTTGCCTTTTGGTGATAGAAGATAGAGCAGAAGTGACATCCTTATTCACAGGCCCTCAGATTCCTCACATCAGGTTCAGCTCGCTGGGAGGAGAATGAGATGGAAGCACTCATCGTAAACCCTGGTCAAGCCAAGCTTCCTTCCTTTAATATGATGATGACCAGGCCACCCGATCAGGCCCTGGGGGAGGGCTGCAGTGGTGGCCTTAAAAAAGGAGGCATAAGCGAGAAACAACACATCTGATCTCGGAACGTAGGTACAGCACAGCGTACATACCTTGATTGCTGTGTTCGCAGGCCTAGGATTCGGTACAAAGCCATGGTTGGGAAATTCAAAGCCATTCTCAGCCCTTTACGGGCAATGGATATTACTTGCCCACAGTGGCTGTTACGTGGCACGACAATTGCCCATATCATGGGGTTAGTTGGTTGGCATTGGCCGCAGCACCACACTGCATGGAAGAGCCTGTTAAACATCTTTTGTTAGCTTGTAATACGAGGAGGTGCGAGTGAGTGACTAGCAGATCAGCCTGAAGCCAAGACTGTAGTTGTAAAGCCAGGGGGATCGATGCTATCCAAGGCTTTTTGGGGTTCAGCTCCAGCCGCAGCTGTATTTGTACAGTATCTCTTCGAGGCCCAGGGCACGAAGGCCAGCCCACCTCAGCCAGGTCCCTTTCCATTACAATCAATACGGACGGTCAGAAAGTGTCCGTTCTCGCTGTTTCGGTCTGCGAAAAGACTCGATGCCTCGACTGCGTGCAGCTCAACGAGACAGCAGTCACCGCACATGGTTGAACGGCTAAAACAGGCTGGAACAAAGCCAGGCACAGCCACTGCAACTCGTGAATATGCAATAATGGGGCCTAAGTCCTCACTTAGCTGACGAATCGTGGCGGGACAGGTTGGCTGGCATGCCCCGGGCATGACCACTGAAAACCGCTGAGTAAGAGCCTGACCAGAAGCCAACCGCCTGATCTCGTTCGGAGCTGTTTCCTGGGTGCTCGTATACTAAGTAGTAGTAGAAGCGGGTGCCACTCAGTGGGCAGTGTGCTGACACCTCCACGAAGATGATGCGGATTACACATTGAACTCCTCCTACCAAACACTCCCAGCGGTGGGTGCAAAGCCCATTTTCTTGTCTAGCGCTTACTGCCAATATCAAAACACCAGAAAGCCAGTGGCACACCAATGCGTATAAGAAATCAGAAATACGTAGATGAGCCAATACCATTTGCTCCAAGTTTGCTGCGTTGCTGACGAGCAGTGATGGCATGATTGGATATTCTGGTAAGGCTGTGACTGAGTGTGAATGTGGCTGTTCTCGATCCTTTTCGTATCGTGCTCGGCATCAGCACCTCTGGACCCCAAACTTGAAGTATATCGTAGACACCACCTACTGACTGGCATGATACAGTACGAACAAGAGACTGCCCCGCTCGGCCCAGATATGAACCACGAATACTGGGGACTCGGAGCGGACGTGGCTCTGAACAAACACCAAACGAACGAACAAGCTCACCCACACCTGAAATATCAGGAAACAGTACTACTGTACTCATCAACGTCTTAAGTACCCTGGCAGATGGAGAAAAGTAACATGAATCAGTTTCATGGTGGAAACGCTTCTATGCTTCTATGCTTCATGCTGGCTGCACAGAGTAACAATGCTATCAAAAGTATCCCCAGCGTCTTGCCTTGACCGACGATGAGCCCCAGAACTCCCGGTGATGCCCGTTCGAGATGCCGTTCATTCTCTAATGCCGGAAACCCTCCTGTAGAACACCCATGAACTCCATCCCAACCCCCGTCATGAGCTTGACCGTGGGCGGAAGGCCACCCATTCAATGTCAGCCGTGATGATAACCAAAACAAAACCCTCCCCTCAATAACTCCGCCTCGAGTCGGCGGTGCCGGCTCTTTTCTGACGGTCTGCATCTTGCGCTACAAGCCACTGCAGGATGCTTTCATAACAAAGCACAAACTGGCGTAGATTCTGCACCATGCTGAGTCGCTGGTGCCGAAAGTCATCGACTGTCTTGGCCACCAAATCAACGTCGTCTCGGGACACCCAATCACCGCTGTCGACGTCCATTTTACTCCCATTGTTTTCATGAGACAACCTCTGCCGCTTGAGCATGTCGATGACCGAATCAATGGTGCAGAAGGTGCCGGTTCGGCCACATCCGGCACTGCAATGAACCAGAATGGGTCGTGATCCTTCCGGCGTTGCTTCGTCAGGTCCTACCACGCTAGAAGGACTGGAAGATCCTCGAACATATTTGTTGACCTGTTCGACAAGCCCCAAAAGTTCCGAGGGGCTGGCCGGTGCGCCAAAGTCGGGCCAGTCTTTGTACTGGATCTGCGTGATCTCCCGCATAGGCTCGAAAGGATATGCAGAGTGACTCAGACTGAAATGTCGCACCGTGGCCGTCGGTGATTTGGCCGCGGGAGTCTTGGGCTCGTCCTCGCTGCGCTCTCCTAGCACATTGGCCGTGGTGGACCTCCTAGGACCTAGAGCAGGTCTAGACGGCATAGGAGCTTTACTCGAGTATTTCTTGGATTCCAGGCTCACTTGCCGCTCAGAGAGCTGCTTAAGCTTCAAAGACCCGTAGTCACCCGCGTCCCAATACACGTGGCTCTTGACTTGCCCGCCTTCGGCTTCGGCTGTCAGCATGACAATAACTCTAACGTCTTGTTCCCAGACAACACGCCAGAAGTCATTGAAGGTGGCAGGGATGGGCGCCTGTGTGGCAATGTAATGGCGATTGGAAAATTCCGCCTTGATGTGGCTGGCATTGATATAGTCGCAGCTCCCATTGGGGACATTTTGCAGTCGTACCCTGGCGTGGTCATAGGGGAAAATGTTGTTGTATCGGTTCTTGGATCCCTTCTCGATTCCAGCAACTTGGATTTTGCTTGGTGCTTCACTTCTCGGGGTCCCGTACGACACTTTGCCGCTGAGCGCCTCCTGCATCCGCTCCTGCTCGCATTTTTCTATGTTCAAGAATTTGTCCGACACCAGCTTGCCGGCATCCGAGTTCGAGGACACGCGTTGCAACCATTGCGGCATGCTATGTTCCGTTTCCGAAGTCATGTTCAGCGGCTTCTTGATGGGCATTTGTCCCACACCGTCCAGCAGGTCCATATTTTGGCGGATGTTTCCAAAGAAAGGATTGGCCGCCGACTTTTCACTGGGCATCGCGCAACCTCCAGCAACTGGGACGGCGTCTTTACCAGAGGCCGAAATGGACAGAAGTTGTGCCGTAGCAGCTTTTCCAGCATGGGGCGGTCCCGTGTCGACAAGTTCCGGGGCCATCTTTTGGAACGCCAGGAACCCTCCTTTGACCACAATGCCAGTTCCGACCCAACCTTCGGTGGTGAATTTCTTGAGGACATTCAAAGGAGTAACGGCCTCTTTCGCAAGGGCGGAATTGGCATCATAGACTATGATATGGGTGCAATCCCGCCACTTGGCAAAAGTGCTTTGGTCCTCGGGAGACGAAGAGAATGTCTCAGCAAGCCTCTGGACATTATACGCGGGCCTTTTCAACAAAGTGGTAGGAATGCACAGATTGAGAGCGCCGCGTATCCTCGCCGCAGCATATTGCTGGTATACTCTGAGATCGAGGACGAGTAGGGATTTTGGATTATGTTTGATCAGCTCCGCTACATGCACCGGAGATACAATGGGAGGTGGATCCTTTTCTCTCGTCGATGGCAGAGTCTCGGAACGCGGGGTTTGTCGGACGGGCTGAAGAGGCGGCGTGCGTAGCTCGCTGCCAGGTAATGAGAGTCGCGCATATTGATGGTCTGCAACGCTCTGAGGGCTGATTCGGGTCGGAGATTGCGATCTCGGAGCACCCAGAAAGGAGACATCGTCCATCTGAGTATCTTGCGTCCTCCCGCGTTCATTTCTGGGCCGCTCTTCTGCTCTGACGGTGTCGACGAATGGGGACCTTGGCGGCGCAGCGGATGGCGTCGTCGAGGAGTTCGTCCTCGATTGTGAGGGTCGGCCGAACGCCGTGTTCAGGAGAAAACGGTGGTTGGTTTCTGACTGCCTCCGGAAGGCCTCAAAATCCGGGTTGGCCTCGACAGGGACGTGACGCGGTGTCGGAACATGGTTTTGTGTGGCGGAATGGGGGAACGTCCAGTTTTGGCGGGTGTGAGCACCCGGGTTCGAGTCCGGGGGTATAGAGTCATCACCACCAACCACGAACCCAAAGTAACTCGGACTGGGACTCTTGGGATCTTTGAGCTGTTGAGGGGATCGGGTGGTTGGAGAGAGGAGAGGCGGCATCGACTGACCGACCGACGCAACGGCAGTATGAGTGCGTGGAGTTGTGGATGGCCGTGAAGACCGAGAGTATGAAGAATGCGTATGGGAATGTGATTTTGAATGGGAGTGAGAGTGCGAATGAGACGGTGACTTGAGAGCCGCTGTTGCGGTGGCCGACATTGCGTCGGAGGGGCCCGGTGGGCCTTCGGCTGGAGGGGAGGTCGCCGTCAAAGCGATTTCAAGTGAAGAGAGACCGTTGTCGACGTGATGTTCGAGGCGGTCGTCGGACGTCGTGACTGCGTTCGGGAGGTGTAGTATTATTGATCAAGAGAGGTGGATGAGCTAAAGCCGCGGGTTGAGGGCAACGAGGCCGCAGTTGGGGATGGTTCGATTGGTAAGGGAAAAAGTAGGGTCAATTTCGCAACCAGGTCGCAGCACGCACTGCAGTCTGGCACTGGGTACATGGCGTACTAGTAGTAGCGTAATTAGTACTGCTGGTAGTGGCAGCGGCAGCGGCAGTAGCGTTGGATACTAGTAATAGTGCTGGTTGGTACTAGGGTAACCTGAGAGGCTGTACACCGCTACGTCATTGGGGTCTAGACTGTGCACGCGAGGGGCGCAGGGGCACAGGGAGTCCGGCTGCTGTGGCTCTGACTTGGTGGAATGTGGTCTCAGTTGTCTGCGGTGACACAAAGAACCATTCTTCTTGTCTCGCAGACGGGATGCATTATCTTTGAATGCTTGAAGTTGGGGACAAAGGGTCGGGCTGGCACAATGTGATGGGCTCCATATCAACCATGCACTGCCAATGTGCATGTCTACCATGCCAGGAACTGAGGATGAAGCTATTGTCATTTGTTCCAATAACGCATCACTATCGTTGTAGGTACCTGTACCTAGTAGCTTCCTTTCCCGAAAGGCAGTTAGCCGAATATTTCAGTACACTATCTCCTCTCCAGTTTCTTTCCGGTACAGATGAGATTTTGGCTACTAGTCATGGGAAGATGTTCCAGGCAATCCAGGGTTCCTGTCTACCAGTGCTGCTCCTGGAAGGTCGGTGGGCTTTACAAACTTGAAGCACTAGACAGACCATTGCTTGTATCGCAGAATCGACAAGAATCATTGCAGTGCGGGATACCTCCTTGTAAAGTCGATATTTTTCACGAATTGAGATGCGATGTTGGCCTGCTACAACCTCACCTGCGGGTGCAGCAAAGCGTGGCACGATACTCCACAACTGGTAAGGGTTCACGCTACTAGCTGCCGCTTAGATGCCTAAGAGAAGAATTAGCGCATGGCGATGACGTGGGTGGGATGGAGCCGCCTGCCATGAGTAATAACGCTCTCGGCAGTGCCCAAAAACTCGTGCCCAGTGGTTCTGATAGAGCTTGCGGGAACTTCCCTTTATTACCGAGATGCCTAAAGTAACGCTGGACCTATCCCAGACAGCCCCTAAACTTACCTGTAATTCGGGGTCTTTTGGGTAAGGGTCTCAGGGTCCTACTACGCCATCTTATGGCCTGGAACATTCGAATCTGATGAAATGCACACACCAACACAGACTTGAAGAAGAGCCGCCTAACATACAATGTGTATTTTGTGTCAATTAAACAGGTCATAGTACTTGCAAAGTAGGTAGCAAGACACGGGTGCCATCTGACACTGCACTGCAGGAAATCATCGGTGTAGAACCCGGGGAAAAGACGTGAGTTCCCCTTTATGCGGCACACCAACCGCCGGCCTTGAACAAGCGACTGTGGGCAAGTCTTCCTAGGCCAGAGCATCATGCCACACTCCTCGGACTCTTCCCTGCTCGCCTCCTGGCGGCATCACATGATTGTACAGGCGAGAATCCCGCCTACAGCGCGTCTCTCGACGACCACGAGCCGGCCCAGGGCCATCTGCCCATCCGTCCAAGCGAAAAGAGCTAGGCGCAAACGGCGCAAGTCTGAACTCGCTTAGACGAAATCTGGGCCGCGCGCCCCACGCTCCTAGGTAATCCTTTATCGTCCTTATGACCATACGCGAAGACGACATCATCATCCTCTAGCAGTAGTCGCGACCAAATGAGTTTTTGTTATTGTTCCCCAGTATAATCATGGTTCCTTTTGTATTACATGCCCTGTGATAGTGTGGCATCCAGAAGCACAGGATATTGAGGGCGAGAAATCTCGCAAAATCTGGTCCGGGCGCCGCTGTGACCATCAAGTGACTTAACCACGTCTCTGCGTATGTATTCGGGTCCGGTCAACGAGGCCACAGACAGCCACATGTACTGTGGACGATGCAAAACAGAAAAAGCCTTCGGTGGTGCTGCGGTGGCAATCATCCAGGGCCCGCTGCCTGCTGCATTGCTACAATCGTGTATTCCTGGCATCACATCCCGAGAATCGACCTTTTCCAGGCTTTCGTCCATGGAATTGAGCCGCATTATAGCGCCATCTTCCTCCGGCCGCCGACAAGCTCTCCTTCAATAATGACCAACAGGTCGAGTCTCCTTCTTGTTGAGCTCCGAGAGGTACTGTGGTCGTTGTATAATAGCATCCGCCTGCCCCGATAGGCACAATCCCCTGTTCGTGCCCGGTGGTTGTCGGCTGTCCTCTTCATGGCAGTATCACCCGTGCAGCACATGGTTATAGCCGTGCTATACATCTAGGTGTCCCCCTCCCGTAGCCCGCCAACCATGAAGGTTCCACAGATAGTCTCTTGTTGTGACAAGGAAGTCGGCCGCGTTTGATGTCAACATCTTCCGCTTTTCAAAAGGGTAGCAATCCCTGACTGCCAGGCGAGACAAGTGCCAATGCACTAGACCATGACAAAAAAAATCTCGCGCGAGCAGCGATGACCCTGGGAAGAGAGCGCACCTCTCCCGTCACAGATAGTGCGGTCCTCGAAAGTCCGTGAAAGGCCGTTCGACATCCAAGTGACTGCAGCCATAGATTCGAACAATCGAGTGCTCACAGTATGACCTACAGCCTGCCATCGGGTTCCCCTTTCAGGCGCTCCACCCGCTTCTGTTCCCAATTGTCCAAATCTTTGGCCATGAGTCGGTAGTATTCATCCCGTTCATTCAGCTCGCCCTTCAAGACCTTCCTACGCCGGGGGTTATATGTGAGATTGCCCTCGCCCAGAACACCGCCTTTTAGACCAAGTTCCAGTTTCTCTGAGTCCGTCAATTGTCGGTTTTTGCGGTCGTGCTTCTCATAACGTAAAGCGGCGGCCGGAGTAAGGAGGAATGAAGCGCCAACCATAAGACTCATGAAGGGCAACCCGAAAAAGAGGAAGGGATTCTTTGCGATTTTCTGACGGTAGATCGCAGACAACCGCTCCCAAAGATCCTTGCCTTGGGTGCGGGAGCTGCGGAACGGCTTTGACTGGAATATAGCCATTATGGGTGTTGTGTACACAAGATGATGTGAGGGAGGAAGAATACCTGTACTACAATCAAGACAATGTAGATGTACTGTTGTAGTCCACGCCGAAGGCATAGAATCATGCAGTGTCGTGCCACTGCATGTCCGACTGCCATGGAACCTCACCAATGGCAGTAGTTAAAAGCGGCGTGGATTGTCGCCAAGACTGATCCCAGGCAACGCGGTCCCCAAAAATCGTGGACGCGACACTGCTACACTGGCACCTCTTGCGGAGTGATGCTGTATGCATAAGGTCCTACTACTAGTTCTAGACCAGAGGAATCTTGTATAGCAGGGTCAACAACCTGTCCATACAAGATGTCGCTCTTCGGTCAACCCTCCGCTGGTCAGGGCCAGGGCAGCTCCGGCGGCCTCTTTTCAGGCTTGAACGTCAACACCAACACAGATGCGCAGGGCAAACGAAAGTCCATCTTCGACAATTCCACATCTCAACAAACAACGTCCACCGCCTTTCCCACTCTGAACACGAACGCCTCTTCCGGTTCGGTCTTCAATCTGGGCGGTGCTGCGAAGACTTCCGCTCCGACCTTCTCATTTGGCACAGCCGCAACCACTTCCGCTCCGTCCACAGGCCTCTTTGGAGCCGCAACTTCGACGTCACAGCAACCCGCCCCTACGTCGTCTCTATTTGGTGCCTCTACCACACAACCTCCTGTGAATAATACCTCTACCTTTGGCAATACGCTTGGTCAGAACAATGCGGCGGGAGCAGGGGCACAACAGACCGATGCTGCACCGTCGCAGACACGGGACGCCGCATACTTTAGCAGCCTGCTTGAGAGGCAGAAGAAAAAGCCCAGGTTAAAGAACGAAAGAAGCGCTCGTCTGGCACAACTACCAGGTCTTGATCTAGACCTTGGTGACCTCGCCCGGCGTGCGCAGGAGATCAGACAACGCGGAACGAAGCCTTCGGAGCCTCACACGGACAGCAGAGCACATTATCTGCTAGCAGGGTCTGGTATCGCACCGGGACAAGCATACAGAGACTTCCAGGCGCTAGCGCCCGACGATCGCGCTGGCTTGTCAAGAACCGCGGCCGATGCATTTGCTGACGAGTCCACTGCTTACTTGAGAGATCTCCGAACCAAAGGCCGTGAAGCTATGATGAGGGAGGGAATGGATCGCGTCTATCGGGAAGTTGATCAATTCATCGAGGAGAGCTTGGGGGTCGACTTCGAAGAACAGAAGCTGCGGATTATGGATCATTTTGGCTTGGTTCCTCCGGGTCAGGAGGGTGACGAAGATGATGCTCAGTCGTTGTTCGGACGAACACCAAGGCGAAGCAAAGAAGCTTTGTCTGGTACGGCCCGGGGCACCAGAAGCATTTTTGGTCGCTCAGCGGTGGAGAGGTCTATCATTGGAACACCGGGTTCAGTCGCTGGATCTGCCTCCTTCTTCAAGAGTGCGGCGCCCCCGCCTGCTGTTTTCACAAGAGGCCAGAGCTCACGGGACCTCCGTGAAAAGGAAAAATCATTGATTGGAAGAGTTGAAGAACTCAACAGAGCGCGACTACAGGATGCACCGTACCCACTCCTGCAGGCTTTCGCGGAGGCGGAAGATGGACACATCGGCGACAGCCCTCAGCAGCTTGTCGAGGCGTATCACGCTCTCCGCGAGATCACCAAGGAAGGCAGATCTCCGGTCAGCGAGAGGAAGTATGCGCATGCCTACCTGGACGAAACCGGCAGCATTGGAGCCACGAGCCTGAAGAAGCAAATCTTAGAAGGGTCTCGGGTCTACTTGGAGAAGTCTTTCCTGCGGGAGCTGAAGTTACTGATCGAGAAGAATGCGCGAGAAGCAGCTCTTGGCGGACAGCCGAGCGTTGTCAACATTGTCCGTGCGTACATTCGCCTCCGTGCAGTCCGTCGAGATTTGGTGCCTGATGGCGCAGAATTGCAACAAGACAAAGACGAGAATGGTGACTACTTCTGGGTGATCGTCTTCTATCTCCTGAGATGTGGATTTGTCAAAGAGGCCGCTGCCTACGTCAAGACCAACGAGGTGTTCCAATCTACGGACAAACGCTTTGTTGCTTATTTGACAGCCTATGCAGAAAGTCCAGATCGACGGCTGGCTAGGAGGCAGCAAGAAGCGATCGATAACGAGTATGCGAAAATGACCAAGGTGGCACAAAAAAGTGCTGTCGATCCTTACAAGATCGCTTGCTACAAAGTGGTTGGAAGATGCGACTTGAACACGAGAAGCCTGGACGCTATCGGTCAAGGCATCGAGGACTGGTTGTGGCTTCAGTTCACGCTTGCACGAGAAACGGAAAGAGTGGAGGAGATATCTGGCGAGATCTTCGGCCTCGACCAGATCCGGGAGACAATTTCGGAAATTGGTGAAAAGCATTTCCAAAAGAGTCAGATTGAGGGCTCCAACGCCTACGGCACGTTTCTCCTTATGCAAGTCCTTGCTGGGATGTTTGAACAAGCGGTCGACTACCTGCACAACTTCAATCCAGTCAGCGCGGTTCATCTTGCTGTTGCCCTGGCCTACTATGGTCTCCTGAGAGTCTCCGATTTCACAGTCGCTGGCAACGAGCTTTGTAAGCTCCCCCTGTGCCCCGTTGCATGTACTGGTCTTGCTAACAAATCCTGCACAGTGACATACTCGACCACGCAACTTCCGATGATCAACTTTGTGCCATTAGTTGCTCACCATACGGCAACATTCAGATCGGCGCTCCCGATAGCAGCTGTGGACTATCTTTCACTAATCTGCCTGAACTCCGATCTACAACCTGCCAGTCTCGGTCTTGTCCACACCAATGCATGTCACGAGTGTCTTCGCGAGCTTTGTCTCGAGACCCGCGAATTTGCAAAACTCCTTGGAGACATTCGTGGTGACGGCACTCGGATACCAGGGGCGATTGAGATTCGAGCGAAACTAATCAAGCTTGACAATCGAGAAGAATTCCTCAGATCCATCACAAGCCAGTCCGCTGCTGTCGCCGATCAACGCGGACAAATTGCGGATGCAGTACTCTTGTACCATTTGTGCGAGGACTATGACAATGTGGTCAGCGTGCTCAACAGGGCTCTTGCTGATGCAGTGACCTTGGACTTGGGAGAAACTCCAATGCAACTTCAACCTCTCCGGCCTCGACGAGGAGATGGCCAAAATGAATCTGCAGCCAGCAGTCAGACGGGCGGCCCTCAGTCGTCTTTGTCATTGACAGAATCGACCACGTCGCCAGTCGAGCTTGCTAGGAATATGATCTCGTTGTACAACAGCAATGCGGCATACTACAACGTCATATCGGTCACCAACCGAGAAGTGTGTGGTGCATTGCTCCGACTGCTCTCGGTGCGGTCGCACCTGGAAGCGAGCCCACCTCAGTACATGGCGGCTTTGGAAGAACTGAACGACCTCAATATCCTCCCGCTGCGGGCCAATGGGTCCATTCCCGTCATCCGTGCAGCAGCGACCACCTTTGGAAGTCTTCCCCAGATCCTTGCTCGCTGTGCCGGCGTTAGCGTTGTCTGGGCTGTACGGGCAATTGGTGGAGAACGAGACAACCTGGTCAGAAATGGAAGATGGGAAGCAGGCTATGGGGATGACACAGGGCCTATGAAGGACCAACTCAGTGAGATGGCCAAAGACTTGATGGTGTTTGCGGGCTTGGTGAAATACAAATTGCCTAGCCGTGTGTATGATATGTTGACCCGGGCTGGCGGCGAGGTCGGAGCTTTCTAAGTAGGAAGAGTCCATACCATTATGATGAGTGACAAGGATTGCTCACGACATTGTACAACGTTGTATGTCTTTCAAAGCGCAACAGGTTCTTTTCAAGGTATTACTCGGCTTGCATGACAGAGGCGGAGCTCATCACCCAAATGACAGCTAATCATCCGTGCAACGACTGACTCGTTGGACGCCATTGTCTAGTAGTAGTACTACTACTGCAGTGTGACACTGCATACGGATAGAATAAAAAGTACATGTAATGATCAGTCACGACCTCGAGGCGGTGCCCACGGGACCTGTTCCATGCCTTTCCAACCACGCTGCACCGGCCAAGCTCGACGGGTCCCAGTCTGCGCAGTCTGGTGGCGTGGCCCGGTGTGATAGGACCGTGATAGGATTGATGCGCCGACACTAGCGATAATCTTATCAATCTAATCATCTCATCAGGCGATTATCGCTGCTCTTGGCCCGAATCGGCGCCCGCCCCTTGCAATTCCCACTGCTCACCCACCCTCTCAAACCTGCTGTCACTCTCCTGTTCGCGACTCGTGGCACCATTAAGATCACTGCTGCTGCACACCAGGCTGGGTCTATGGGGGCCTACGAGTTGGTTCCTTTTTTCAGGTCCTTCTAATGCTCCTCTGACGCAAATCTCGCGCCAGCTGTTGCCCACCCTGCTTTGAAACGAACCCGAACCCGCCGCCGCCCACGAGCCGATCCTGCTCTTCGTTAGTGCTATACCTTTCCCTCCATGTCTGGATCAGGCTATGCCCCAAAGGTCGGGTGAGGCTACATCCCACTCCCAGACTAGCAACGTTGACTTGGAGCTCTCCCGTCTTCCATCCTCGTCAGCAAACCCGATTGCGGTGCAAGATGATACTGAACCGTTGTACCCCGAGCCCGAGATCAGATCGGGTGCCTGTTTACATGGTCGCCGAAGCGTTGAGTCGTCCTCTTCTGCGTCCTCAATAACCCCTCCTAACCAACACCGCCCGAATCGTGGGTTCGTGTCACGCGTACGGGACTTCATCATGTCACGAAACCCGCTCCTGCTGATGCGGTCCTCCCCTGCCCTGGGAACAGGCTCTTATGGCGCGGTGCCGATGTTCAATGGCAGGTCAGCATCTGAAACGAGCTCAGAAGACGAAGAAGATCCAAGGACTCAGCGGAGGAGTCAAAACAGTCGTGGAAAGAGAGTACAGTCCGCGCACAGTCTGCGCGTTGACAATGGGCAAGCGTCAGACCCGCGGCGTCGGTATCGCAGTACCGAATGGCTGCGCAGAAGGTCTTCGTCGGCAGCAAGTGATGTGGGAATGGGGCTCGATGCCAAAACCACCTTTGCTGTCAATCCACCGGCGATTGCAGAGCACAAGGTTGAGTCCTCGGACGCGAGCACACGGACAGGAAGTGGAGATGAAATCGAGCAGGAGTATACACCCACCGAGGACGATCCCCCGGACAACTCTCCCTACCCCGAGGTGCGAGCTTCGGTACCCGCCACGGACAACACATCACTGTCGATTAACACCCCTCGCATGTGGTTTTTGTCGTTGCTTTTTGCGATCGCAGGGTCCGCGACCAACCTTTTCTTCTCATTAAGATATCCTAGTGTGGCTATAACACCGGTCATTGCTCTGGTCCTGGTTCATCCTCTAGGTAAACTATGGGACCTTGCATTCAAGAGGGAACACGATACAGACAGCATTTTTGTCGATGGTACGCGCCAGCCCAGCGAGCAGCAACCTCAACACAGCCGGAAGGAAAGGCTACGTTTATGGCTAGGGCAAGGCCGCTGGAACGAAAAAGAGCATGCCTGCGTATATATCAGTAGCAACGTGTCATTTGGTTTCGCCTTTGCTACTGATGTTATTGTCGAGCAACACAAGTTCTACAAGCAGGAGGTTCCGATTTTATACCAGCTCCTGCTGACCGTCTCGACCCAAATTCTGGGCTATGCCTTTGCCGGTCTCACAAGGCGCTTCCTGGTCCGCCCGGCCGCCATGATATGGCCCGGAACGCTCATGTCCACCGCCATGTTCACCACCATGCATAAGGACGAAAACAAACCTGCCAACGGCTGGACGATTTCGCGATATAAATTTTTCATCTACATCTGGGCGGCCGCATTTGTATGGTATTTTGTTCCTGGGCTTCTGGCCCCTGCATTGAGTTACTTCAACGTCATCACCTGGTTTGCGCCGAAGAATGTTGTCATCTCCAATCTGGTAAGAAATACTACGTTCCACGAGGCTCTGGGAAGACCGAATCTGACCAAGTACAGTTTGGAGTTGCTTCTGGGTTGGGACTATTTCCTGTCACCTTCGACTGGGCGCAGATCGCCTATATTGGCTCACCTCTGTTGACACCATGGTGGGCCGCAGCAAATGTCGTGGGTGGACTTGTCCTGGTCATGTGGATCATTGCGCCCATCTTATGTACGTTGAAACCCTATATTATTGTAGGGCATTTGTGTGCTGACAATTCTCACAGATTACAAAAACGTCCTGTTCTCAGGATACCTTCCTATCCTGTCGTCGGCGGTCTTCGATAACAGAGGGAAGCCATACGATGTCAGCAAGATCTTGACGCCCGACTTCTTGTTCGACAAAGAAGCCTACGACAATTACTCCAGGGTGTACCTCCCTATAACCTACGTCCTGTCATATGGGGTACAATTTGCAGCTCTTGCGGCGTTGCTCAGTCATACGGCCTGCTGGCATGGCCGCGACATCTTGCGGCAGTCCCGACAGGCGTTTAACGAACGACATGAGAAATCTGCAGTTGAATATCAAGCTATCCCGACGACCGAGAATGACTACAGTCTGCGAAGGATCGATAGCTCTACCATGCGAGCCAGCGGCGAAGATGTGCACAACCGCTTAATGAGAAGGTACGAGGATGTGCCAATGTGGTGGTATGCCGGCACCTTCGTCACCATGTTGGCGGTTGGAATTTTTGTTGTCGAGTACTATCCAGTCCATCTACCGTGGTACGGGCTGTTGATGGCACTAGGAATCACGACGGTGCTTTTCATCCCAGTGGGGATTGTCATGGCCATCACGAACCAACACAGCAGTTTGTATCTGATTTGCCAGCTGATCTGCGGTGTCGTCTTCCCCGGACGACCCGTGGCCAACATGGTCTTTGTGACATACTGCTACATCAGCTCGGCGCAAGGGATCAAATTCTCGTCCGACCTGAAACTGGGCCATTACATGAAGATCCCGCCGAAACTTTTGTTTAAAGTGCAAATGACAGCCACGCTGGTATCGAGTCTGGTGCAGATTGGGGTTCTTAATTGGATGTTTGTCAACATCCCCGGCATCTGCACGCCGCAGGCGATCAACGGATTCAACTGTCCCATCGCACGCGTCCATTTCAACGGCAGCATCCTCTGGGGCGTCGTTGGACCACAGCGGTTTTTCGGCCCAGGAGCCCTCTATCGACATTTAGTCTGGGCGTTTCTCATCGGCTTCGTCGCCCCCGTCCTGATCTGGCTGCTCGGTCGGGGCCGCAAGAAGACCGTGTGGAGAAAAGTCAATTTACCCGTCCTGTTCGGCAGTCTGTCCTGGATCCCGCCGGCCACGGGGCTCAACTTTTCCATCTGGGGCGTCGTCTGCTTCGCCTTCAACAGTCTCGTGAAACGCCGCGCTTCGGCCTGGTGGGGGAAATACACTATGACCATGTCGGCCGCCTTGGATTCCGGGCTGGCGTTTTCGTTGGTCGTTGTCTTTTTTGGATTCGTCTATCCCGGATGGATGGATAACTTCAAGTGGTGGGGCACGGAGATCTATAAGCAGGGCTGTGACTGGAGAGCTTGTCCTTGGATTTCGCTGAAGCCGGGCGAACGGTTCGATCAACAATAAGTCGAAGAGCAGATGAACATTTGCTTATCTTACGCTTTGGATATCGGCCTGGAGGACACGGAATTTTGGACACAAGAGACCGCTGCGGTGGAGGTCCGTCAGCTACGAGTAGCCGACTACTCGTAGTACTATCAGTTACTGGGAGCACAGCACAGCACTGCAATGCAGCGCCAAACATGCCCCAGTCCCTTCTCACCCCATCCTATGGTCTAATTCCTATAAGCCGTGGTGTGCCAGTGGTATCCGCCTTCTCTTGGACAATGAAGAGTCCTTGGAACCTATATGGTGGGCCCCTTTTGGGAGAGATTCGAAACATATAAAGTGTTTTTTGTTTTGCAGCGGTTTAGGTTTAGTGTTTACTCCACAGCATACCATCGGTGTCAAGGATATGATAAGGCATGTTACAGCTTAGGTGCGCTGCTGATGCGATTACGGATATGGATATGCGATAGAACGAATACGAAGGCATGAATGACCAGACCAGACCAGAGACAAATCAACAACAGAATAGATTATACTTTCTGCTTCGCAGCTTACTGCTCTGTAGTGCTCTCCCTTGACAACTTGGACCTCGACTTGCATGCTGGATTCTATAGCCCACTGCCCTTTGAAATTCCACCAGTAGTCGTTTCAGGCTGAGTCGCATTGAGCAAAGGGCTGAGATGGATTGATTTTGGCCCCGACTTCCGACATCGATCTTGCATGGGACATGTGGCATAGTACGCTCAGAGGCCCCGTTGTTCAGCCAGATGGTCTCCGAACTGCCGAGCCATTGCGCGAGAACCGTATCAGCATAGAAAAGTAGCAAGCCCTTTCGGTGTACGACTGAACTCCAGCACCAGCAGTAGATAGTGGACTTAGTGAATAGGGTATCTTTCGACGAAACCCCCTCTGCCGCGGGGAGAGGGTCAGCCACGGTCGGCGCCGGTGAAAGTCTTAAAACACGACCCGGTGTCTCGGTGGGACACGTTGGGACCTGAGGAGAATTGATCCCAGAAAACTGACGGCGCGACCATGACTGCACTGGACCTAAGGTAGAAGAACAAACAAAGCCACCCGAACTCGCGCTGCTGGAGCACATATCCAACCGATTCTCTGCGGCCGCCGCAGAGTGGTGAACAAACTGCCGCAATCATTGCCGGGTCGAGGAGTGTCAAACAATGCTGCAAGGACTGCGAGCGACTCGATGCTTCGGTCCTGGCATGTTCTCATGAGGAGTCGAGAGGGACAGATTGGCAGGTGGAAACTCTCATTCTGGCCATAATTCTGGCGACGCCGGTACACTGCGCTGGCCTCTGCCAATCACGCAACATGCCGATCACTAGAACATCCACGCACTGCGTGTGTGACGACCAGCGCATAATGTGTTTGGAGAGTACGAAACACAGCTAGTCCTCGTTACCGCTCCAGGGCATCGATAACCATCGAGCCAAAGCTGCGAAGAGTTGAAAGTACAGTCTGGGCATCTGCAGCTCATGTAGGCCAGATTGACGACGGTCCTCAGCTTAAGCAACGAATACCGCGCGCTTTTGTCATCTATTTTTCTCCGCCGCCGCCTCCCCCCATAGAAAGTACGGCAACGATCATAAAGACCCACCAGTACTTCTGGAAGAAGCTCTTTTCTTGTTGCTCCTCTTGGGCAACTTCCTTTCCCTCGGCGTCCACCTGCGGTGGCTTCCGGGTTGTAAGAACTGGTGCAGGGCCAGGGCCCGCGACAAGAAGGTTGACTTTGATGGGCTCGTTTGCAGCTGCCTTTTTGGCGGCTTCTTCCCTTGCTTTCTTGGTGTTTGGAATCGGGGGCGGTGGTGGGATGGGCTTTCCCTTTGCTTTGGCCCGCTCAACCTTCTTCTTGTACCGCTCCTCCTCAGGAGTCAAGGGTGGCGGCGAAAGGCTCGAAACGGAAGCCGAAAACACTGAGCCGTCGAGAGGTGAAATCCAGAGATCGATCTTCTGGTGGAAATCCGGGTTGAATGTGTCAAGAGTCGTTACGGTCGCGCTGCCATCGGGGAGTAGGATTCGCAGTAGTCGGGACGAAGTGGGTTCTGGAGTCGTCGACTTTTCGGATTCAAGGCTTGGAGGAGTCCAGGATGTGAGAGCATGTTTCAATGACTTAGGGTCGTAGGAGAACGTTCCTAAAGGCTCGACCGATGAGGACCCGACCAACTGATAGGAGAGCGTAACTGAATTAGGGTGGTTGCCAGCATCACTGCCGGCCAGCACAACGCAAAGGTTGGCTGCGAGCAGCAACAACCCGCGAAAAGTAGACACCATTATGCCTCGTTTATCCTCTGGACAGAAAGTCTGTGATGTGTTTATGTAGCTGAGGTGTTGAGGTCCTGGCAACCTGCGAATGCTGGTGTCTATTACCAGGTAGTTAGGACCCATCCCAAGGCCGGCATTACAAGCGGCGCCTGTAATGGAAGGTTAGCCGAGCAGAAGTCGCAGCACAATCACTTCAATCGCACCTGCCTCGTAAAAGTCATTCCTTCCTCAGCAGTGAAGACAAAATGTAGTCACGATGGACTTCCTCCAGGTTTCATCTGGAGATGACTTCTCCATCACTCCCACCCGGAAGGGCTCCACAGAGTTCGACTTTGGCTCAGATTCAGACGACATGGCGACCATCAGAGAACCAGAAAGCAAGATCGACAAGGACAAACTACATCCCGAAGTACTCAAGAACATTGAACTCCACCAGGGTTTCATGCGTCGCGCAATCAACGTCGCCGAGGAGGCGTTGGCTGGAGGCGAGACTCCTGTCGCCTGCGTCCTGGTCCACAATGGAGAGGTTGTCGCTCGCGGGATGAACGACACCAATCGATCTCTCAACGGTACTCGACACGCCGAATTTCTCGCCATCTCGGAGTTCCTGTCCAAGTTTCCTGCCGAAAAGCTCAAGGAGACCGATCTCTACGTGACCGTCGAACCTTGCATCATGTGTGCTTCGGCCCTGAGACAGTATGGAATCAGATGTGTCTACTTTGGATGTGGAAATGATCGTTTTGGTGGAAATGGCAGTGTTCTGGCAGTCAACTCTGACAAGGGGCTGGAGGAAGGATATCCAAGCTACGGGGGTATCTTCAGGAAAGAAGCCATTATGTTGCTCCGCAGGTTCTACATCCAAGAGAATGAGAACGCACCAAATCCTCGAGCAAAGGGGAATCGGGAACTGAAGCCGGTAGTCTAAGAATGGTAACAGCCAGCGCCGCACTCGAGATGAGAGGAAATGTGGTACAGTCGGCGCAAGAACAAAATATTGCAGGGATAGCATTGCGAAACTTGGCGCCAGAAGAACACGGGCTTGAATGGCAGATTCATCTACTTCTTGACACCGATAGCTCCTTCCATTTGCCGAATTCTTACCCGAACCTGCCTCAGGAGTGGTTATGAGCAAGGATACCCAGTTTCTTTTTCAATGACAATCCATTTCGATTTCAACCCAGGCTTCACCGTCGAGTGTCTACCCCAGCCATCATTCGTTATCCAGCAATCTATGTGTTTATGTTGTTTATGTTACGACTTTGCAACCAATCTCGATCATTTTTAGAAACACAATGACCCTTATTACCAGGCGGCGGCCTGCCGTCATGGCTAGCGACGAGATTAATCCGGAGAGAGCCATTTCTCTGCGTGTCTGCGAAATTTGCCTCGAGGAGAAACCTAGACGCGGCGATTTCCCGCTGTTTACGTGCTGCCAACACCCACCAGTCTCATGCAAGTCATGCATTTTGAAACACGTACGATGGCGCTTGAGACTCAGACCGAAATGGGAGACTATTACCTGCCCGTCTTGTGGGGTTCTTTTACCAGTGCCTGAGTTGAAGGCAGTGTTGGGGGAGACTGCTTCAGCACACATCCAAGGGTGGATCGAGTCACATGTCTTTCTTAGGAAAGGCTCATGGCGAGGCTGTCCCAAGCCGGGCTGCCTGTATGCAGGCTGGGTCCTTGAAGGAACTAAGACCAAGAGAAAATGTCCAGCTTGTGGCACAGAAGTCTGCACTCGACACCTGATAACGTGGCACCAAGACAGAACCTGCCAGCAGTATGATGCCATGATGCCACCGGAAGAGAAGGCACTGTGGCAGTTCCTCTGGCTGGAAACCAAAACGTGTCCCACGTGTGGGATGCGCACGTCGAGGCCGGAGCATTGTGATGCGGGCGAATGTAAGTGCAAATCTCAACAAGACTCGCGATTCTTGTTAACACGGAAAGGCATCGTCTGTGGCACGTGGTGGGCTTGGGAGAAGAGAACTATCGTGCAGCCCTTATTGATCGAGCCAGGAAAACTGAAGGAGCGACTGGCTTCCATCTGGGGCGAGTTACGGCCCAAAGGGCGTGGCAGATATAGAAAGAAAACAGATGTCGCATCACGCGGCTTGCTACCAGTGCCGTGGCGATTGCGAAGGTCGGACACAAGCCCTCCAACCAAAAGTCAGTCTGACCAAACGATAAATGGCGACGGAACAGCGGGGGGAGTGCCAGAGGATGTGCTCACGCTCTCTGGTCTGAGTGATCACGTCGATGAGGGCGCCCCATCGCAGCAGTCCCCCAGGCGGGGATTCCTTGTGGACGGCTTTGTGCGCTGGATTGAATACTACAAGGACGTATGCTGGCCGAGGTTCCTGACTTGGAGGATGGAGTACCTCCAGGCCGAAGGGATCTATTTTCGAGAAAGAGAAATGTCCAACTACCGACGAAGGCCGGTGCAGCTTACCCGTCGTGGCATTGAAGCAGTCCAACTTTGCTGCGACGACGGCTTCTCCACGACCGGGTCAAGGGTTGCAGACTGGCTGGAGCAGGTACACGCACCCTGCGGCGATCTCAATCCAGAGCCAGGACGCGGGACTTTGTGGAAGCGGGTTCAAGTGCCATGTCGCCAAGTCGATCACAATGGAAACCTGATTATGCATTTTCAACCGGAGTCGCTTCCTATGGAAGAGGAACCACTCTCTCCCCAACTGGGAACTCCAGCAGTTGCGGCCTGAAGTACCAGTGGCCCTTGAGGTACCAAGTATAGGTAGTCGTTGCAGTCTGAGAGCAGTCTGAGGCGGTGGGATATACGACGTAGATTGGGTTGAATAGCTAGTTTGGCAATGAATAGACAAGTCACTACTATTGTGCAGTAGGAGTCTTCAATCAGACAATGCAACGAGGCCGCGGTGAAAAGGGGCTGCTTAGTCAGTGTTTAGTCATCCGGAATGTCGGCGCGGCAGAGTCACTCCATTCACAGTTTCACTGCGCAACTGCTTCGTCCTTGACCTGTGCGTTGGTTCCTTGGGCGCTACGAATTATTTGGCGCGCTCTCGAGTCCACATCTCATCCATCACCCATCACAACACGAGCCCAGTGCTTCCTTTCCTCCAGGCTACAGTACTTCTCCTCTTCAACTTCTTCTCATCCTCACTGCCTGGTTTTCACTTTGTATTTAGCCCAGGTGTCACCGCTGATTCGAAAAAAACCGCGTCACCTGTGAGACAGATTCAAACGGTTCCACGCGCCGCACCTTTCGACCCTCTGATACCCATCAGAATACTCCGCAACCTTAGGACGTTCCTCGAGTTCTCCTCCAGCTATATATCTGTCTACAATGGCAGCGACTCGTCCTAGAAAGGCCGCGGCGGTAGAGGCGACCAAGAAAACAACAAAAACCACCGCCACTTCGAAAACCGCCAAAGCTACCACCACAACTACCACCACTACAGCTGCCAAAGCTACCAAAGCTACTACCGCCACCAAGGCCGCCAACATCAAGGCCCGAAATGACAATGCTGGTGTCGCCACCGTTGCTCCTCACCCGAAAAAGGTGGTCGGCAAGCGCAAGGCTGACGACGAGGAAGAGGATGATGCCAAAGCCAAGGGTGTCAAGCGCGTGAAATCAGAGGCGGCGAAGCCTGCGCCAGACTCAAAACCTGCGGAACAAAGGGCGGCCGCGCCCAAGACTGCGACGGCCCGGAAAGTCAAGCCTAAGGCAGAGATCAATCACGCTCCCACTGAAAAGCTGAATGTCTATGTTTTTGGCGAAGGTTCTTCTGGAGAACTGGGACTTGGAAGCGCCAAAGGGCAGACGGAAGTCAAGAGACCACGATACAATCCCAACCTGAGCCCCGACACGGTCGGAGTGGTTGCTCTGTCAGTCGGAGGGATGCATACTGCGGCTCTTACACATGGCAATCGGATCTTGACCTGGGGTGTCAATGACCAAGGTGCTCTGGGCCGCGACACTAACTGGGAAGGCGGTCTTCGAGACATCGACGAAGACGCAGGCAGCGATGACGACGATTCTGACAGCGGCTCCGAAACCGCCGTCAACCCGAAGGAGTCAACTCCGGGCGAGGTGGACATGTCTGGCGTTCCCGAAGGAGTGGTCTTTACTCAACTTGCCTGCACCGACAGCGCCACGTTTGCCTTGACTAGCGAGGGTGAAGTCTATGGATGGGGTACATTCCGATCGAATGAAGGCATCTTCGGCTTTGACCCTACGACGTTGATCCAACTACGACCAAAATTGATCAAAGGTCTCAAGAACATCATCAAGCTCGCTGCCGGAGCCAACCATGTCCTCGCCCTCCAGAGCAATGGGATCGTGCTTGGCTGGGGATCGGGCCAGCAGAATCAACTTGGACGACGGATTCTGGAACGACGAGCCGCCAACAGTCTGGTGCCGATGCCGATCGGTCTACCCAAAAAGATTGTCCACATTGGAGCTGGTGCATACAACTCGTTTGCTGTTCGTGAGAATGGAGATGTGCTGTCATGGGGTCTGAACAACTTTGGTCAAACCGGTATTCCCAAGGAGTTTGATGAGACCGGTGCAAGCAAGAGTGCCGACGTTCACCATCCCATTGTCATTGAGACTCTTCACGGCAGAGGCCAGGTCATCTGCATTCAAGGTGGAGCTCATCATACCGTTGCTGTCACGGACAAGGGCGAGCTTCTGGTATGGGGTCGACTTGATGGCAATCAGTTGGGTATCAAGGTGTCCGACCTGCCGCAGGAACATATCGTGCGAGATTCTGCAGGTCATCCTAGGATTCTTACGGTTCCAGCGCAGATCCCCAACATTGACGCTGTTCACGCTGCCGCTGGGTCCGACCATTGCATTGCCATTGACAGAAAGGGAAAGGCATATGCCTGGGGTTTCAGCACAACATACCAGACTGGACTGGGGACTGACGATGATGTCGAGGTGGCCACAATGATTGACAACACAGCTGTGCGAGACAAGAAATTGGTTTGGGCCGGTGCCGGTGGGCAGTTTAGCGTTCTTGCAGGGCTTCCCACTCCGGTGGTGAATGGGGTCGACGGCGGCGCCAATGGACACGCGTGAGCGATAGCAAGAAGCGGACTGCAGGGATTCTTGCGAGAAGGGCGATTCAAGTCAGGTGTGCAGTTCACCTGCGAGATGAGGCACTCGAGAGCATTGGAGGTGCACAACCAACGTTTCTGGAAAAGTTCTTCTTTTTGTTTCTTGCGATTCGCGATGCTTCTCAACAGCTTGTGTTAGATAATGGATTTTGTGCTTGTGTAACAATAATTTTTTCGAGGGTGATGGTATAGGTCTGGTCGGGTCAGGCAAAGCAGCGAGGCAGGCATATGCTATGGGGTCCCTTCGCATACATCAGGATGATCATCAGCATGAGAAAGGACGATAGTATAGCAACAGCAATAAAGCTCACCATCAGCACGCCAGTCTCAGCTGCCAGTACCTTGCGAGCCTCTTGGGATTGTAATAACACAGAGTTTTCGCGAAATGGCCTCAAAACAATAAATGCATTGGTTGGGTATATTGTATCGATTGTACTACACCATAGTTGCGACATCATGCTGGGGTCGGTGTTGGTGATGGTGTTGATGCTATGTACTCATATCAATATATCATATTTGTGTTGTGTTGTCGTGTGTAGTACGAGTGATGTATACCTAGGTCCAGTGCTTACTGTAGGTATTGCCTACTACCGCATCGAACGGGCTTGTTTTTTTTTGTCCTGTTCTGTCCTGATCAAGATATGCCATGCTTATGGATTACCCAGATAGCAAGGACTCACGCCATAATCATAACCTGGAAGCAAGTAGGTACACACAGGACTGAATCGGACTAAATAGAGGTAGAGAAGGGCCATGCTAGTAGTAGGTAGTTGGTCATCGATAATGCTTCCCCGGATTCCACTTTCCACTTCCACCTCCACTTCCACTTCCGTCGGAGTCGAGTTCGCTTCGCGACAAAAGGGTCCGATCCGATGATAAACACCCCACAGACAACGCCCCTCCTTTCCACACGTTCCAAAATACCTAGGTACATACTCCTCTCGGGTCTCCAATTCGGGAGGGAAGATAGATTCGTATATATATCTGTGTGCTCTACTGCCGTGGCATAGAACCAAGAAGTGTCCGAGAGTATACGAAAATTCTACGTTGTGGTTATCGGATCAGGGCCAACAAGAACAAGAACAACGACTGCTAATACACCGGCAGTACTACGTACAATTACTACCGGAGAGGCGGGATAGCTTTGTTCGGTATCGAATATAAAACAAATTGAATTGAAAGCAGCATCATTATCGCCTACACTACAGTTCCACTCTTGTCAAGGGGAGCACCACCACCAATATCACCACATCGGGTATCAAGAAGACCACCGTCAACACCACTACTATCAACCCGACTCTACAACCACTATCACCACTATTATCAAGCCCACCACCATCAGCACACTGTATTCAACACCGTCATCAACACCACCACCATCCCTAGACTTCCAACCATGTCTTCTTCTTCCTCTTCCGCACCACCCATCCCATTCTCCTCCCTCCCCCTCCACAAATCCCCCACCTCCGCCCGCCTGAACGCATGGGGCCTCTACGGCGATTCCGACGAACTCGGCTTCCTCAACCGCCAAACACCCGACCTCATCGCCGCCGCCGCATCCAGCGAAATCCGCACCGGAACACGCATCCCGCTCGACGCTCCACTAGACTTTCAAGGCGATTTACCCCTTTTTGGCCGCCAAATCTTCCATAAACACGTCTACCAGAAGAAACCGCGCATCGTGCACGACGACACATGGAGCTTCAACACGCAGAGCAGCAGCCAATGGGACGGGTTGAGGCATTTCGGGTATCAGAAAGCCGAGAGGTTTTATAATGATACGACGGTGGAGGATATTGCGGGAAGTGGACCAAAGGGGACAAAGAATCCGAATGTACTGGGGATTCAGAATGTTGTTGAGCAAGGGGGGATTATGGGGAGGGGGATTTTGGTTGATTTTCGGCGGTGGATTGAGGAGGGGCCGGGGAGGGAGGTCGTTGCCGGAGCCGGGAACCACAATGGCGACGGTAGCAATGGTAAGACTGGTTTCAAGTTCAGCAGCTTCGAGTCTACACCCATCAAATTCGAATGGTTGCTCGAAACGCTCAAATGGCAAGACAACACTGTCCCAAAATACGGCGACATCTTGATCGTTCGATCGGGTTTCTTCAAAAGCTACTATAATGCCACCAAAGAACAGCTACAAATGTTGGCCGAGCAGCATCCGCCCAGTCTGGGCGGCGTCGAACAGTCGGATGAAGTGTTGAAATGGATTTGGGACAATTTTTCCGCCGTGGCGAGTGATCATCCGAGTTTTGAGCGGTGGCCGTCGCCGCTGGATTGGAGTATGCATGAGGTCCTGTTGGCTGGGTGGGGGTGTCATATTGGTGAGTTGTTGGATTTGGAGGCTCTGAGTAGAGAGTGTAAGAGGTTGGGCAGGTGGTCGTTTTTCGTGGCGAGTGTGCCGTGTTATGTGCCGGGTGGGGTTGCTAGTCCGGTGAATGGGGTTGCTATTTTTTGAAGGGGGAATGGACAGAGGATGAAGGAGGGGGCAATCGAATGACATGAACGAGTGAATGAAAGGAGTTGACGTAGACCTAGTTACTAGTCGTCTTGAAGGGGAGCATATGAATGGGAGTCAACTGTACATAGCGTGAAGATGAGAGTTGTACAAAGCATGAGGATGGAGTTGGTACGGGAGAGCAAGTTGTACTGGAGTCCGAGATGGAGTGAGAAGCGAATGTCAAGACCAGATTTTGCAGCTGGCCGGAGGAGAAGAGATGAGATGAGATATGCTGTGCTTGGACCGGAGTGGTTTGCGAGTATTGTGTCTTTCTGGTTGAGCAGATCGCAATGCGGCTGACGCGGACGAGATGTGTGCCATGAATGATAAGCTGAGGACACTGGAGGAACAAGTGTACTCAGTTCGGAGCCTGTTCCATTTAACCCTGGAAGTCGACAGTCAACTGGGGGCACGATCAGTACAACCAAGTATCCTCTACTACACTATACCGTTGTGTCGTCCAAGCACAGCAATCTTTTAAGTAGAGAGATCATGGAACTTCATTTCATGTGCCATAGTACAAAGACGTCTCTGCATTCGATATTACCTAGGTGCCATAGCTATCTGTTCCTCCCGGATGATTCCGTTCCGTCCAGCCCAAAAATATCATTTCACATAATGTTACAGGTCAAGACCGGCCAGCGGACTAAGTACCTTCGTTAAGGCACGAAACAATACATTCTGGTGTCAAGTCAATTCGACCATGATAAGTCCGCTATGCTGGAGCAAGACGATAAAAAGTGCCAAACGATGCTGCCTCGTGGGTAAAAGTAACCAATAAGAAAAAGTGCTCAACGAGAGTTGAGTCAAGAAATGAACATGTGGTGTGCATAGCTGGTAGATCGTGTGTGTTGATAAATGTCATATGCATGCCATGATGATGACTTAGATGTCTGCGTCTCTCAAACCACTGCAGTTAGCCTGAGCGACAAGACAAGCCAGTAAGAGAAAGTGACATGATCCGAAGCCTGGTACTGTAAATGGCAGTGAGCAAAAACCTGATTCTCCCTGTTGCACGCCGTGCATACAATTAGGAGAGCCGAGTGATTGTGGGGGTTTTTTGCCAGTGCTGGTTTTTGTTTAGAGGCTTCGGCTCCGCTTTGGTTTTCGTTGCTCGTTGTTCAATTTGTTCAAAAGGATAGACAGACTCCTGCTGATCCAGCTGCTTAAGCCGATTTCCGTTCGCTCCATAGCCCAGTCCGGGTGCTGGTTTCAACTCCAGGCGCCGAAACAGTAAAATGATGGCCAAGCAACAAGCAACGAAATCAGGGTGTGATGGATGGTTGTTTTTTGGTTGTTAAGACGAAACCGGTTCGAATCGGCCGGTTCTAATTTCGCCTGTCAATCCAATCCATCGTCATCCTGTGTTTCTGGTCTTCCAAGCTGTAGGGGCATGCATGAGGTTTTGCCGCCCTCAAGAAATGAGGATGAGGAGTCGAGTGATGATCAAAGGTCATGCCGAAATTGGCTTCGCATTGACCTTTGTATAGATCTGCCGCAGGCGTTGTGGCCCGTTGGATCGGATCACCGCCTGGAGCAAGCATTGTCCGGCCTGAGGCGTCGACCGCCGTTGGCGAGTGGAAGCGGGAGTGAGGATTTGCTATGCGCTGGCGAAGTGCTTCTGCCCAGCTATGATGAGTTGGGGTGCGCGTCCGAGACTCGGACTGCGAATGTGATGGGGATTGTCCCTTGGGAGTCCCCTCGTCATCGACTGTTTGTGTCGAATGAGACACCATTGTATGGGACGATATCTCTTCTGGTGCAGGCTGAGCCGTGCCTAGTGAAGGCTGTTGACTTGTAGACTCGCTTGCTACAGAGCCGAAGGAATATTCGCCCGAGTTTTCCACTTCGATGGTGTGTTGTAAAGATGGCGTACTGACCAAGATTGGGATTTCAACCATTGACTTTGACAAGTTATGTGCCAACAATGTGTGCACTTTGATTGTTTGTATGTCAAGTAAGTAGTGGTAGTGATAGCTTTTGGTATAGATGTGACAAAAGTCGGTCAATCTGGGGAAGGGGGAGCTAAATAACTGCCATTATGGTGGTGTATTATTTATACCGTGATGTACGGACCCCCGGACCTACCACTATGCAGGGGAGGCAGTGCATATGAGTGGATATCCATGCTTCCTGATCCTCGGCGAGCATTCCGCCATCCAAGGGAACGGGAGGGACAGTGCTGGAATGACTCGACCGAGACACATCCAGGCAGAGAGGGAAGAGAATCACGCACGCGACCAACGTCCAATCCAGAAACTTTTATGTAACACGCACCTCCGCGGCATATTGGACCACAGCAGGTTGTTTGGGGGAACTTCCTCATGTTGACGCATCATCAGTTTGTGAGTTTCACCGCGGCACGATGAACAGTAGGTCGTAAGAACATAAAGTCAAGTGTCGCCGAACGCAGCCGGGTGCATGTGGCATCGGGTACCGGAGGGACCACTGATAGGATGGCCCGGTAAAAGCCACTTCTCTCCATCGTGGCTAGTAACTGGAACCGTCAGATGATGGTGAAAAGAAGCGAGCACGAATGGGCCTCGACCAAAAGTGGAACAACAGAGACGCGACCATCATGTCCAGGTAAAGAAATCTGGGGTAACCAGGACCAGGGTTCCTCGTCTTTCCCACAGTACAAAGGTCCTCATCTGAACTGACAGGACATGGACACGGGAAAATGGCGCAGGGATAGATGCACAGCATGATGAAAGTGTCTGATCAGCAGTGATCGAGGAAACTCGGATCATGAAGATTGGACTGGAATCAGTTGAAGTTGGAACGTGGTGGTTCGACTGGCTGTGACAATACGATACCAGACGTTGGAAGAGACGTGCGGAACAAATACCTCAATCCCTCCCACAAAAGTCCCTCAATACCCACGAATCCTGCCGTCTGACCGTCACCAGACGCAATATCGACGGGCAGTTGGCCACCTCAGCATCGCAGCGACCGTACAATGTTGTCCTGGCTCTGGCTGGTGTGACCGGGTAGTTCGGTAAAGTACCTTATCATGCCACATTTCAGTGGCACCTGCGACAATTCTCGACGCAACCAACAGACCCTGAAGCCAGACACGGCACCCACCATCCAGACTCACCTCACTGGTGCTGTTGTTGCATGCATGATCTGTGCCCTGACTGATACAACACAGCAAAAATGAGCGCAGCATGATTTTCACGAAAACTCGGCTGGCCATGACGAGGCCTGCCAATGCGTGTCGTGATGGACGTACACGACATAAAAGGCCTTGACAAAATACTCACCTCGCTGGTGGGTGGAATCCAGCACTGGTCAAACACCCAGACATAACACTACAACATCAACACAAATTAGTGCCAGTACAATAGTACCATAACACCACACAACCTCAAAGTCACAAGCATTAAAAAAATGATCTCTCAAACAGCACCCACCGAACACACCACAGGACGAGAGAATCCCTCACCCAAGGATTATGCCGGTGTAGCATTCTACAGCGACTACGATCTCACCGAACTCCTATACAAAACCCCCGTGCTCGACTCAGGGTTCCTACCACTTGAACCCGAGGACGATGCACAAACACACTCCCACACCCACACCACCACAACCACCACCACACCAAAGGCCCAGGTCCAATCTTCAAACACATCCAAATCCGATGGCACGACGACGCCTCCTCCTGCCACAGCTGCAGCAGCCGCCAAGACAAAGTCGGCCATGAAATCCACGTCACCATCCAGCAACAACAAACAATCGTCAGAACGGAGACCTAGCTTCATTGCGGTCTCGACGCCAACAGTACACCATCATGAGCATGAGCACGCTTCGGCGCACAACGTCGGCCACCACGGCCGCAGACGACATTCGTCCCACTCGCATGTGCCCATGAGCTGGTGGCCAGAGAGCGATTTGATTGCCCAGCATCATTGGGTCGAGCGAGATTGCGGCTCGGCCGACGAGGAGGAGGAGATCCTGGAAGAGGAAATGTGGGCTGATTGCTTTTACGATTGAATGATGAAAATGAACCGACGAAAAGGTCAAACCCTCCTTCGAGGCATTAGTTTGGAGCGATTCCATGATTTGGCGTTTCTCCTACCAATTTTTCAACCACAGTCACAGGCGCATTGGATCTAATGAGGGAAAGGTGTTAATGGAAGTTATCCACGCCACAGCATTACTTCACAAAGCTGAAGGCTGTGTTATTAATTAATCCCCCGAATAGCCCATCTGCGGCATATTCTTGATAGTCAAAGGGCCGGGAGGGCCTATTGGATAATGAAGAAATAAAACGCTCATGAAAATCTCGTGGCCTCAAAAGAGTAACGTTTCAAAAAAAGAAAACAACAGTCTTTAATGGTAAGACTACGACCGGCATGGTGCTGGTTATAGTTCATCACTTACCTTCCCTATTGGCATTGGGATCTCGTACCATCACGGCTGCCTGGGGGAGTGATCGAATGCTACGGCTTCAGCAAGAGTATAATTGATTCGAGTCATGAACTGCAGTGTTTGATGAACATATTTGATGAGAATCAATAGGCTAGCAGCATCGAAAGATTCCTGCAAAAGGAAAAGAGTTCTCCGAGGCCGAAACATAAAGGCTCTCTCAACAGGCCTCCTGACCGGATCGCGTGCATTTCGGCAATAACCGACCCACAACCCACGTGTCCAGCTCGTACACAGATGGAAGAGCACTAGCTCTCTCAACGCCCATGGTATCTCCTATAACAAACTAGTCCCGTCCGCTAAGATATGTAAAACAATCGCCATGACGTTCGGGCGCCTAAGCGTCTTCAGTATGGATCGGAACATGCACAGGCTCAGCATGATCGTGCTCCAGTTTGGGCACGACAATCCTCAATAGGCCCGCATCGAGTTTGGCATGAGTATTATCCCGATCCACGTCGACGGGGAAATTGAACGCGCGCATCAAATCGCCAATCTGTCTCTCGTGAACGGTGAGGTGAGGTTCTTTCTTGGTCGTAGGGGCTGCCGTCTTAGCCTGCTCTGCTGGAGGTTGCTGTTGCTGCTCCTGTTGGTCACCAGCGACGGGCGGCGAACCATCTTTGTTTTCGGTGGGCGGTAGTTCCGGTTTGGTGGTTGCGTCTGACCCCGGAGCAGGAGCAGAACCAATGATGGGAACATCAAAGAGCTCCGACTCCGGGATCTCCGGTCGGCTAACCTTGCTGGTGACCAACAAGGTGCGCATCGAGGTCCAGCGCAGATGGAGCTGTGACTTGTCCGAGATGCCCGGCAGCTCGACTTCAATGTAGAAGTTGGACATGGTCTCTCTCACGTCGGCCTTGGGGATGTGCACCTCCTGGTCCTTGTCGTGGAACAGTCGGTGGACCTTGTGCCCGAGGAAGGGTAGAGGTAGGTGGTGCAAGTGGCTCCCCTTCTCGGGGTATGTGTGCGAGACATAGGTCGTTGGATATGGTTCGACCTCGGGGTATGAGTATAGGAATGCCATTGTTGACTTGTGTTTGTGATTGTTTCAATGATAGGTGTACCTAGCCTTGACCAGGATTGGAGTTGTCTGTGTTTGTTGATGTTTGTGCTTGATTTACCTTTGTTCATCTTACCTTTCGAGGGCGTCGGGTTGTATTTGTCTCCATTTCGTTGCCCTCCCCCAGGTGGCTTGCAGAGGTGACCCCTCGCCAGAGTATTAGAGTGGCCGAGGCATTGTTGCCAAAGGTAGACTGTCGCGTGGCCTCCTTTTCGTGTTTGTTGACGCCAGAAGCGGCGCGGCGTTTCTCACTCACCTTTGGTCATGGAGACGAGCTGGTCGTCGCGACATCATGAGATACCAAGACTCACGATGGAGGGGTAGTGGCGTACAGCGACGGTGATGGTGCAGAAGATGGGCCTCCCACGTCGATCGTGGAGTGATGTTGATACCCGAGTTTCAATACCACGGATCTTGGCCGGCAGCGCTAGTCTGAGTTCAGTAATGTTTGGGACGATGGGCTGCTATAGCATATTTACCTCGCTCCTAAATTTTGCGCGGTAGGAACTTTCCGGGCGCCCAGAGAAGGCTCCCGGCCACAGGAAGCTTTGCACTAGCAATTATAGCCTCTCTAACTTTGTTATTGGGCCGTATCATTGCGTCTTATTGGGATCTAGACGCAGCTAGCCAACTGCTAGTCGTCTAGCCGAGCCATAATCACGGGCCTCCCGAGCCTTGCCAGTGCTCATGCCCGGAAGGGGGCTGTTGCAATCTGTTTCTTAGGGGCTCGACCACCCGATGGGCCCCTAGCAATTGTCGCTCACCGGGTCCAAGGGCGCCGTCATCCCACTAGCATCTGGGCTTAGGAAGCCAGACAGGTGGCAGGAGCAGGAGCAGTAGCAGCCCAGCAGCCCTGGTGGAGGTCTGACTCTGACGCGCCGGGCGCAGCACACGCAAAGGTCAGGCAGGGTTACGGGTAGCTTGCTTTTCTTCGTTTGCTCGGGCAGTGACCATATAAAAGCTCCAGTGCATACATCCTCGATTGGCTACCACTTCTTTCCTTCCTCCAAGCAAAACAAAGACATAACTCCCACACCGAAGAGTTCAAGAAACTCGTCAGCTCAATCGCTACCCTACACATTCGCTACAACCCACTACATTTTGTGGTACACCCCCAGAAACACCGCAAAAATGATGCGAACAACCATCCCAAGAGCCTGTATGACCAGGATCCGGACACCGGCATTTTGTCAATCATTTGTGACCTCACACCCTATGTGGAGTGAAGGTGACACAGGCGCCATCCGACCTGGCGGTGTTGCTTCCAGGTAAGAAACCATAGCTCCCCGCAAGAGACCAAGATGCAGGTAACTGACAAGACCGACAGTGACACATTCAACCGCCGAGAACAAGCTTTGGAAAACATGTACTTTAAGCAGCACGAGCTTGAAAAGTAAGCAGTTACCAACCGTTGCAATCCGCAGCGTTCCGCAGCTGCCTGTGATAACAAGACTAATGCTAACTCGTGTGCTACTTCAGTATCAAGAAGATGAGAGAAAAGCTCCTCGCTCAACGGAAACAGCTCGACGAGGTCGAGAGCCACTTGAACGAGATGGAACAGGCTGCAACCCAAAGAGCTGCCGAGGCCGAGAAACAATCGAAATGACTCGCGCAAAGCAAGCTCTAATGACTTGATGAACAACACCTTTTGTGAGAACAAGGGCTGGCATGCCCCTGCGGTCTCGTGGAACAAATCTAGATGTGGACATACAACAACAAACAAACATCCCTAATATGGGAGGAAAGTCACATACCACCAAATTATCATGATGGGCCTCCCGGTCGTTATTACGACCTTGGTAGAAGGATCCCGCTGGAAACGCTGCATATCTGAACTGAACAGATAGCGGGACAGGCGTGTTCAAAATGGACACAGTACAAATGAGAACTTTGTTCAAACACAAGCTCGTATTGTTTTTTGATTGCCAACACTGCTAGATGCCTGCCGGTCTACCACTCGGATCGACGGTGAAACATGGTGTCGTTTCGCCTGAAGAACCTACGTAGATGCTGCTGAAAAGCGTTGATCTCCAAAACAGTGCCAGATCCCTCATCTTCCTTGAGCTCTGCCGGCAATCTCGTTGTACCAAATATCCGGCCAACTGTGCCCTTCCTGGCATTGCTAGAGAACAAAACTGCGGCGATGAGAAAATCCGGGGAAGCAGAGCTGCAAGATCCACTGATGAATCAGCGTTGAGCAGGACGCAGGACATCCCGAGCCTGATGCTACCCTGGTCAGGTCCCTGGCCCCTGTTGCGCGGCTCATCATCAGATGGCATCGCTTATGTAACCGTCACGCCATGTTGGTGAAAAGACGAAGGTACGTTGTACAGATACGAGGTTGAGGGACATGGCGGATCCTGCAGTCCAGGTGGAAAAGCCATCATGTCCTCAAATGTACAATCTGTAATACCATACCGTCAAGGCAACTATAACCAGTGACAGACTAGCAGCCCGGTCACGTTCATGGGAAGCTGGAAGTCTAGAAACCGTGTCATTTGACCCCTCGAGTTCATCCAATATCACGAAGCTTCTCAACCTCCGCGAAATCGCGCATCCAATGATGAGCCATTTTGCCCAGCGCTCGCAGTTTCCTCGACTCAACTTCCATCTCGCCGAGCGAGCAAGCATGAGATGAACCACTGGCGCCCTCCCCAGTCCGTCTAATCCGGGCGAAACCAGTGTCTGTCCTCTTCCCTCCCCTTCCTTCCGTGGTCTGGCCGGACCGGAGGCATGCTCGGGTTGAAGCCCCCACCCCATCATGCCACAAGCTAGGTACTAGTAAGTGTAGCCTGTGTCCGGGCGAGTCTGTGCAAACACGATGGAAGATCCAGTGAGACCCAGAAGCTGTTGATGTCGTAATGCTGCCTTGTGTGGAGATCTCGGCTCCTGTCCCAACAAGCTACTGTACAACCTCATAAGAAGCAGGCCGTGCCCTGTTCTCACTTTATAGTCCAGGCACATTCACACAAGTCGATCAAACAAAGCCAAACAACAAACCAAATCAAATCAACAACACTCAATCATCTGAGTGATCCTTTCTCAGTCAAGTCACAAACACAAAACACAAAACACAAATGGCACTTAGCGGCAACGGCGCGCCCGAAGGCGAGAACCTCTACCATGTGGTCTTCACGACCTCACACCTCCCCAAAGACGTCAATGCACAGATAGAAAAGGTGCGCGTGTGCGGCTCGTACACGACGCTACCTGCAGCCAAGGCGGCGGCGCACAGAACCCTCTTCGAAGCCGGCTACGAGCGAGAATGGTTCGACGACTACGAGACCAACGAGCAAGACTTCATTGCGCACAAAGTCAAGAGACGAACTGGTCTCTGCGTGCTGGCCAAAGCCCCCGACGGCACCACTTTCCGCGTCAGCGTCGCCACCACCCCGAACACTCTGGGTCTAAAAGGCGGCGATGACCACAAGGTCCACCAGGACTTGTACCACGTCGTCCAGACTAATATCTTGTACGCCGAGGACGACACCGGCGAGGAGAGAGAGCACAACGTCGAAGGCACTTTCACTTCCTACGAAGAGGCTCGGAAATTCGCCTCCCAAGTCCTCCTGGCACCGGAGGATGGCATCACCAAGGAATCCTTTGAGACGTACGATGAGGCTGGTCCAGATGAGAAGGACTGTGGATTCGGCGAGAATGTGGTCGTCCATGCTGTCGGCAAGAATGGCGAGAATTATCTCGTCAGTGTACTGAAGGGTCAAGAAATGGAGTCGGTCAGGTTGGCAGAGGCGGCTATGAGGATCCGGTCTGCATGATTGAAAAAGCAACTTAGGCCTGAATTTGTTGTAAAAAAGCCTCCTCTCAGTTGATTCGGCTGTGGCCAGGCTCTCTTTATAATGTCTGTTACGAATGTTCTAGCTCTGAATGTGAGAATTTGAGTCCAACTCAGTGAATGATGAGAGATCCTTTCACGTCTATGATTTCAAATTCGCAGTAGGCCTGGATATGACCAGAGCTATAGCGCTACGATTATATTTTGCAGTTGGCCTCTGCTGTAAGGGAGTATGTTGATCAGTAGCAATCTGATAAACGGTCCCTGTTGTACGTTGTAGATGCCTCGGCAAGTACTAGGCACCATCGGAACGGCGAAACAATATTCCGCGAATCCACCATACTGCATCTTCCCGCCCGGCAAATCCCGGCGCTGCCACCGGATATCGAATTCCTGACTCTCAGTTTGTCCCAACTTTCAGAAAAGAACGCTCTCAGTTCTTTTCACTTCTCCCTTATGCATCCATCACACCACTCTTTCCGCCCGACGGAGCCTGCCATTATACCTAGGTAATGGTGCCCACAGTTATCCGGTCACCGACATTAGAAGTGTGCTGCACATGTCAGTCATCTGGCCACGACATGGCGACCATTCCATTAGCCGAATATCCATTGCATCTTCAATCACTGCATAGGCACCCACTTCCTCAGTTGGCGATCCAGTACCGCGACCGCATACAACTACTACTCCTGTACCGAATTTACCGACTTTACTTTGTCCCAATAGTAACGTCCGGTCTCGCTTCCATGGTCATCCGTCGCCAGGCTGGCAATGGAAGTCACATGGCACATCCAGACTTTTTGTTCTTGATGCCCAGAGCCAAGAAGCATGATACTGGACCGGTCGACCACTGTCATGCCAGGCGAGAAAGACGTTGCTAATCCGGGGCGTTCCCAACTCCTAACCGGCGGCGTACTGTCCGCAGCAGCATTTCACTTTGTTCTGGAGCATGGGCCTCTCTGTGAGTTTTCGGATACCCGAGACTCGCTTCGCTTGTGACCTGTGCAGCTAGCTGCGCTCGATCACGCTGGAATTGATTGAAAAGAGGTAAAGACAAACCTAAACCGTTGGTTGTATATCTCGATCAGCCCCCGGGCCTATTCGCAGATGAAGTGTGGCCTTGCTTACAGTTACTTCCAAACAACAATCCAAAAGTGGATGAAGACCTTGTTCGATAATATCAATGACTTGATATTCCACCCACTCTTCATACAACAAACCCTATCATTCACCAAATAACCTCCAATCACATCTTCCATTATGACTTTATATTCTATCTGAACATATCTTATTTCGAACATGTATATTCCAAGAACACAAATCTCCATTGACCACCAGCCATCTCCATTTCTCCTACCGTCCGCGTCAACGCCGTCTCGGTTCGGCGAAGACTTGCTGTCTCTGTGCAATACAGATGCAATTATCTCACAGCATCACAATCTGGCACGGGCCGGCGTATCAGAAGAAGGCAGCACAAACAGCACAAGCGAGTCAACGGCGGTCATTGCGTCCGCGACATTTATCTCTGTGGCAGTGTCATGTCTCGGCATATTCGCCCTGATATTCGGGTAGGTACTGCTAAAACCAACATCAACGCCCGCGCATATCCATCTTACCATTCCATCTTCTCCCTACAGCCCCTCTGCTCCCCATGAACCAACCGCGGGCCGGTACCTTGGGTTTTCAAGGACATGAATGCTGACTAAAATCCTAGATTCGCCATCTACAAAAAATGCCTATCCCCAACACGCCGAAACGGAGCATCTGACGACGGCTCCTCCGACTCATCATCAACATCCACAACATCCGGTGATGGTGCATGGCAAATCGACTCCACCTACATCACCACTGGTGAAATCCTGACCGACAGAGAACTAATCGCCAAACGACACCGCAAGAGATTGAAAATCCTAGACAAAGTGGCCCCCATCCAATCCCTGCACGACTGGCGTGCGGACAAGACGACGAAACACGAACAGACGTTTGCAACTCTGGCGACGAAGCTGATTTGCGCCATTTGTTTGGATCTGATTGATGAAAAAGAACAGATTCGCGAATTACATTGCGGCCATGTCTATCATGCCCCGTGCCTGAATTTGTGGGTTGAACGGGGACATCATGATTGTCCGCTTTGCAAATTCGATATTTTGGGGTTGAATAGGAGGGCTGTCAAGGAATTGGGGACGCAGACGCAGACGCAGACGCAGACACAGCAGATACAAGAAGGAGGAGGAGGAGGAGGCAGAGGGGAAAATACTGCCACCGCCACTGGCAACGCTGCCACCGCTGCCACCCCTGCTGCAGCTGGTGGTCTTGTCGTGGACTCGGACGGTGATGCAGTCGTCTCGACGGAGCAGTCTCAGAGTCATTCTGAGCGAGGCGAGCGCTAGGGCGAGACCCAAGTCGGCCAAAATTTCCCGGCAAGGGACCCCATCACAAACTTGGACACTGGAAATAACGCAGTTCTGCCGTAGCAGGATCAAGTTGGAGCCGGTGGAAGAAATGGTGGCGACGGTCGAGCGACCGCGACAACAGACACAGGCACCAATGCTGTCGCTGTTGCTGTCGCCGTCGCCGTCGTCGATCCGGTACTCTCGAGTCATTCATGAATGACACGGCCAATGTCACGACAACAGTACTAGTACCATCGACAGGAGATCCAGCATGAACCAAGACCAACACCAACGTGGTATAAACAGTTTTATCAGCACCGACACCAACACCACTGGCAGCACAAACACCAGCCAGCAACCCCAACATGACCCCGCTATACCTGCATCCACTTCCCACCATCTCGGAAGCACAACCACAACCTCAACTTCGGGACCCTAGCTAGCTATAGCTAGGTACCGCTCCGGGTCACTGCATGTTTGATGCTACCGCCTCTCATACGTGGGCCAGACCAGACCCATCTATCTACTCTATCCTTACCTACCTACCTACCGACCTACCTACCGACCTACCTACCGACCTACCTACCGACCCCACCGATCTTCACGACCAATGATTGAATGAATGAATGGAATCAGTCCATCCAAAAAATGGATTGATATCCAGAATGACATTAACGCTCAGAGAAAAGAGAACTCTCAAGTGGATTGATTTGGAGGAATAATCATCCATTAAACTCTACCTAGGTAGCTTCTCCCTACCTACTGGTGATCTGCCACGGCATGTACTACTAGTAACTACAGTGTATTGCTAGCGGTAATATATTCTTGGGCTGGGCTAGCTGGGCCAACATGTCTGTCTTGGTACTGTACATACTGTACATACTCCTCCTGCTACAGTCAGTACCTACGTTGTACAAGGAACCTACCCTACAGTACCTAATCCGCACTGGCAGGGTTGAAATAAAATGGCTGTCATGCATACATGACTACTGTGTACCGTAGCTGTCGTTCGTTTCACCTGGTCGAGAAGACAAGAATTGGAACCGGTAGGCCGGACAAAACATCCTGAAGGGTCTGTAGATATAGGACTTTTCGCCTTGTGATGATCAGATCCGTCTCAAAGGTCTTTCAACTTCAAGTTTTCGTTGCTTTTCAAGGCCAAGCTCGGCTTTTAAACCACTATATACCACGTCATCTTATTCAGCAGAAGACTCAATGGCCTCGTCCACCATTTTTCGGAATACCCTCTGTCGTTCACATTGCTCCAAAAAGACCTTATACTTGGCATCCAAAAGAGCCTTGACCGACTTTGTCTTGGTAGGCCGGACGATCTTACCAGGCTTGCTCATGCGGTCCATGATGCTCCAGAGATCCTCCGTCTTGCCCGAGGGGTCGGCGCTGGCGGCTTTGGCGCCCAACATGGCAGCACCGTGACAGACGGCGGCGTGAACATATCGCGGGATCAGGACGGGCATGTCGCAGGCCGTGGCGATCAGAGACATGAGAATCTCGTTCTGGCACTGCGACCCGGACATGAAGATGGAAGAGATCTTATGTCCGGCCTTGTTCATGGTCGAAATGATCTGCAGCGTCTGCAGCGCGATGAACTCCATAGTACCATAATAGTAGATGGCCATGCCGTCGAGCGATTTATCCGATGTCAGTCCCACCACGGAGCCAGTCATGGTCGGGTCGGCAATGGGCGACCGGTTGCCGAAGAGGTCGCCATAGAAGAAGAAATGTCGGCCGAGATGGCTGATGCTAGGGGCATTCTCCCTCTCTTTCATATCCTCCAAATGTTGGTTCAAAAAGTCATAGATGTTGCTGGAAGTCGACTCCGCCATCGACAGCGCTTGGTTGTACGCCGGGTGAGTCTCCAGAATGTGTTTCAACAGCTCGCCAGTGGCGGACTGACCGCCTTCGGCCATCCAGAAATTAGGGATGATACTGTCCCGGTAAGGGCCCCAAACTCCCGGCACGAAGATCGGGTCTTTGGACATAACTAGATGACATGTCGATGTGCCTGCGACGGCCGCCAGACGGGTAAATGCTTGTGACTGGTCGTTGGGAGCCATCGATGTGTCGAGTTGATCGGCAGTCAGGTTGACCTTGGCCCCGACAGTACCAATCCAACCAGCATAGGCATCAATGACACCGCTACCGACGGCGATACCTGCTGGAAGCCCCAGCTCGGCCGCTGCACGCTCGCAAAGGTGGCCTGCAAGTTCACCAGCGGAGAGATATTCGCCGTTCTACGATTAGACGCAAAAAATGTTAGTCAATGTCAAAGCAATCTGGGAAACAGGCTCACCACCCCGTTGACGCCGCCAAGGCGCTTGAAGTTGTCCTCCACAAGATCCTCGAGGCCGATCTCCTTGAGGAAGTCTTCCTGCCAGCCCTTGACGCTACCATCTACGCCCACAGGCACGTAGCCCTGCTTGCACACCACCGAGCAGAAACTCCTCTTTTCGTTGCCTGTGGCAAGATGCTCCAGGGCATCCGTCAGGTCATAAAATTTGCATCGATCAAAGAGCTCTTTCGGCATGTTGTTCTTGAGCCAGAGCACCTTGGGGATTTCCATCTCAATGCTCATGGTCCCACCAACATAACGGAGCAGGTTATGGTTGGTGGCATTGATCTTCTTGGTTTCTTCGACCGGGCGGTGGTCCAGCCACAAAACCACGTTGTGGTCATTCCCAGATTTATCAAAGCTCGGTCCAGTTACGGACACGGGTTCGTCGGTGTCATGGGTAAAGACTGCTAGCGAGCAGGTGGCATCGAAACCGATTCCGCGGATGGAATGAGGGTCGATATTGTTCTGGGTCAGGGCACGCTGAACCGAGAGGCAAATACAACGCCAGATGTCGTTTGTCGATTGTTCCTAGGGAGACCAATTGTCAGTCAGAGGGAGTGGGTGAATGTAGGTGCTTGTGCAAGTAGACGTACATAGTATCCCGTTTGAGGCTGCCACAACCCTATGTTCTCCGAGGCAAGGCCAACAATGTCGCCCGCCTCATTGATGATACATGCTCTGGCACTGCCGGTCCCTACATCAATGCCAATGTAATGGTCCATCTGCACATGGACCTCATTACGCGAGTCCACCGAGTTTTGGCGGACGGGAGTGCGCACCCCGCTCCCGGGCGCGGGACGAAAGGGCATTGTTGCCATGTTGAGAGGTGAGGCCTATGTACAGGATCGGGGTGAAGAGAAGAACAGAAACCCTGTACAGAGGAGACGGGGCGGGAAGGACAGATAGGAGATGAGAGAAGCTAAAAAATCGACAAGTTCATCTACATGGGATCGTCGAAATACCCTCTCTAGGGAAGCAAGAGTCCCAAGAGTCCTCACAGGAACACCAACCAGTATGGTCGCCAGAGCGGCCGTAGATCTGCCACAGGACGTGGAGCATGAAGCCAGCACAGGGCTGCTGTAACTGTGCATCATTGGGCGTATGGCAAAGCTGGGTGGATGAAATATGGAACTGCGGTTCTGGAGGAAGCCAAATACAACGCCGCAGGTGCCAAAATGGTGGGGGAGCCTGAAGAAAAGGCGCAGGCGGAGGTTTATTAGACGCAGATGGAGGGGCAGCAGGCGATTACTCCACGGCGCAGTGTTGTAACCTCGGAGTGAGCGCCCTCCTGTTCTGCATCCTACGCGGCGCAGTCCACCACTACTGCATCAGATACCTACAACATTGTACAGTACCTAGGTGGTTTCACCTTCAAAAGATCGACCAGAAACAACTAGCTGCCTTGCACACTGCAAGTCGTGTTGCTGCGAGCTTCGTAGCTTCAACTGGTGCTCATTCCACATTGTAATGCTACTGCAAGTTCAGGTTCGACATAACACCCGATCATGACCATCTGGAGCATCCCAGTGTACTCAAGCACAATCCTGACGTTGTGAAACACGGTCATGCAGTGAGCTCGCCGTTGCAGCTCAAACTAATAATATTTACACATAGAAACCCATGGACAGTCGTGGTGACACTACGCAAGACCACATGTCCCCTCGAAACCCAGGATTCCTCTTCAGCCTTTTGGTCAACCCATTGAGATTACCGAGCCTTCCATCCTATAACGCCAACCTTGCCATTCGAGAATCCCGACCATTTATGCGTCTGTGTTCCGCCCACTGAAGTCATCTTGTCATCATTGCATGTCCAAACCCTTGCGAAGAGACCAAAAGTAATGTGTATGTGTTCTGAGAAAGAACCACACCTGTCACGCCGGATGTCGTGCAATTGTTCCAGGGCAGAGTCCACTGCCCCGTGCCAGTTCTCTTCATTTGCCCTGTAGTTGCGCGAGTTGGGCCAATACATTAGAAACTGCAGAAGGGACGCCACTCGTGGTACCCCCTTGGGGTACGGTGGCCCCCAATGGAGCTGGGCGCGGTGAAGCAGGCTCGCTCTGGACCGGTATTGCCAGAGGGGGCTGATATTCTGGTTCTGAATCTCTCCCCGAGTTATCGTCGGCAACACTGTCCGCCAACCCAGCAGGAGCCGATTCGTGTCCAACGGTGTTTTGGTCGGGTTGCCGGTCCTTCACTGTACTTTCGGAGCCAATCGGCGAAGAATGACTCTGCTCTCGTTCTTTCGCCCGGTCTCCATCGCTGCCAGCAAAGCCGACCTGATATTGATGTTTTTCAACAGACGGCGTAGACGCAGCACGTCGGCTCATATAGTCCCCTAAACTCAGTTTCTTCCTCGCTGGAGATGGCGTCAGAGCAGACGGGGTTGTAGGTAACGGGAAGGGGCTCGACAACACAGTCAAAGGCGCAGGCGATTGCGCGATGTTCGACGTACCCGGACCTGGGGTGGTCGCGGTTCCCAAGGAAGCTGCGGAAGGGAAAGCCGGCACAGGGGGCAGCGTTGACAAATGCAGACGAGGAGCAACTGGCGGGGAGAAGGTCTTGTGAGTGTGTGCGGCCTGTGAAGGCAAGGGATACGTCGTGGTGCCAACATTCAGGGACGTGTCGCTGTTGAGGGCTTCACGCAGGGGAGAAGATGCTGGGGGGTTGTCAGCCTTCACCAGGCTTGCGTCTTTCATTTCGACATCCTCGGCCGGCGTACTCGAGTTAGAGACCGCATCATGGCGGTCTGCGGTTGGAGATTGTTGCGCCTGGCGCTCTTGTTCATGCCTTGCCCGATTTTCCAACAACCTTCTCAGCAGCCGCTGAGTGGGCGTACAAAACTTCCGCCTTTTGGCTGGGGGCATGGGCGATTCCGACTCTTCAGGATCCGTCTGAACCGAAACATTGACATACACAGGCCGTACACTAGTCGACTCGGCCTTGTGCGGCACATCAGTGGATTTAGCCCGACTCAAGGGTCCTCGAGGAGGCGGAGGTGAGCCCATGGACGGATCGGCCGACTTGGTCTGGCGGGCACTCGGTGTGGTGGGTAGAGAATTGGGGGGATGTCCCAACTGCTTGGACGCATTCAAGTTGGGAGTGTTGAGGGTCGAACCCCCGCTGTTACGTTTCTTCTTTCTCTGGTGTCCCGAGTCTTTGTGATCCTTTTTCTCCTGCTCCCTCTGTGCAAAGGCTCTCTCGGCCATTTGAATCTTGCGCAGTTCCCGGGCGGTAAGCCCGGCACCCAACACAGGATCAGCGTCCAGAGCGGCGACATTGACGGGAGTCATGTCCCGACTTTGTCCACCGCTGCGAGAGGACTCCGAGGTCGATCGTCGGTCAAAGTGATCGTCGTCATCAAGCAACAACTTCGGTTCGCTTCCTGCTCGACTGTTGGTGGCGTGTCCTGTGCTCAAGGGCGAGATGGCAGGTTTGATCTTACTTTTCTTCTTGCGCCCTCCTTTCTCTTTCGGCACACCCTCAATCGGTTTGGGCGAGAACCTTCGGTCGAAGCCTGCGAGCAGACAGGATGAGCCATCGCAGGCACAGTCACCGAAGTTGGCGAGAACTCGGCTGACCCAGTCCAAGCGCCTGGTTTGCGCTTGTTCTGAATCATCTCGATCCGCAAACATGCCCGAATCCAGGAACCAGGTGGTGGTAAGTTCCGTTCCGGCCGGGATGTCTTTGCTGGCAACAAAGCAATGATGCGTTTCATCGTCGTCTGATACAAACGTCTTCAGAGTCACGTTCGGCCGGCAAGATCGGCGCAAGTAACGAAACCGCGTGCCCGACTTCCTGCTATCAATGTAGATATCCATGTGTGGGTGGAAGAAGACAAAAGGGTCCGGATGTCTCAACTCTTGCCATCTGTTCGATGATGACTTTTGCTGGCAGTACTCTTCCAAAGTGCCTACCTGACCTCGAACTTCACCCACAATCTCGTCCTTTTTCACCGATGACCGCAGCCGCAGGAACCGCCATGTGGGATTTTTACCTTCATACTCGACGTCGGTCCTTGTCACTGTCTCCACAGAGACCTCCGGCCAAGTGTTCGGATTGAGGGGCTGATTCGAGCGTACAAAGGGTGATTTGGCGGTGGGTTGTTGGCCAGAACCATTGACCACAAGAGATGGGTCAGTCCGCCACGCAGACAAAGCGTTGGCAGCCTGAATAGTCTGTTCATTGTCTCTGGCGTTGATATTCCCCTGGTCCCGATCGTACAATTCGAGGAAGTCGGTCGTGTAGGTAGGAATGGCCGGAAAGCGAAAAAGTTCTTGTGGGGATTTCGAAGGACTGGGGTATGACTGCACGGTGGAAGCGGCTCGTTTCCTGGACTCTCCATTCATCGACACAATGGATGCCGATGCGCGATGGTTGGTTTTGGGCTTCTTTGCAGGAGGACCATCTCTTGCGCTTGTAACGGACTCGTGCCGGTCCAAGGAATGCCAGCCATTCACCTGCTCCACAGTCGCGATACTCTCTTTGTGCTTCTTCTTTTGACTCTTTGAGCTCGGTCGTTTGACCTTCCGGTCACCGCCATCGAGAGCCTCCCGATGCCGTCTCTGCCGCTCGGTAGCTTTCTTCGCATCAAGGTCTCGAGGGAAACAGTCTGCGCAAAAATGCTCTTCGGGCACTTTTTTGCCGTGGTAGTAACATTCAATGTGCTGCCACGTGTCGCACTTGGGACAGTAGACGGTGTTGCCATCATCATCTGTATAGATACATATGCATTTGATGGTATATTCCTCCTCGTCTTGAAGATTCGTGTCGGAAAGGGAGCCGTTCGGCAGAGGGGATGCAAGAGACGGAGCCGCGGTGACCGGATAGTGATTCGGCAAGGAATGCGTGGTGAGAAGGGAGGACTCTGTCATAATCTGACAGAGCACCTCCTCATCTGTCGGGTTTAATGGCGATGTTGTGTGGTATACTCATAAAGCTGTCGGTCGCATATCGCGCATCGCCAGAGCAACACAGTTTTTTCACCCTGCGAAGGCGCCTAAAGACGCGTATCGGAATCGCGTATCACTTGCAACGATATACTGGGCTTTGAAGACCACTGTAGAGTATGTTTCTTCGCTCTCGAGCCAAGAAAGCTGGGTTCCAGTAGGAGATCCGCTTAGTCGATGGAGATACCACTCACGCGCAGAGCCGATAGAGGTGTCGCAAGAACGGGACGGAGGTTTGAACAGATTGGAAAGACGATGAACGCCTCCTGGTGCCAATTCCAGACGTATTCGGGACAGGAAAAAGGTGCTCTCAACTCGAAGATGTGTGACTGATGGGGTGTCGAAGGAGGCGAGGGTACAGGATCGATGGAGGGTTATTCGAGGACCGGCGACAAAGTAGGACAAAAGTAAAGAAAGCAAGAGGCCGGACAGATCCGCCAGGCAAAAGGTGTGTGATGAGTTTTGTCAAGAGTGTACGGCTTGAAAAGAGTAAGGTAGCGTCGAAGAGAAGAAGATGCAAAAGGGCGAGGGAAGATGGACGGAGGGACAAAGTGGACAAGAGGAACAGAGCAGACAGCCTTCGACTCGCAAAGTGGTGGCAGAGCGTAGCCAGTCAGTGCCAGTTGAGTGCAGTGCAGACTGCGCCCAAGCACCCTCCAGGCCAGACACCGACCGCCGCCATAAGCAGCAAGATGCGGCAACTCAACTCAACTGAAGGGGAACTGCGCTGCACTGCATTGCGCTGCACAGTGCCAGTGCAGCAGCCAACACGCCTGCTGAAGCAGCCCGCGAAGACAGCCAGTGCAATGCCACTGGCGGACGCTGACCAAGATAGGGAACAGAAGCACGGACAAAGAGCCAATAAAGACCCGGCTAGGAGGCTCCAGGAGGCGAATTAGTTGCGTACTAGTCAATTAGGCTGGGAAAAAGAGCATTTTAGGCATGGATGATGGGCACTGGCAGAACAACGGGCACTGCGACTGCGCTGCAGCCAGCGCCCTCGCCCTCGAAGCCAAAAATCCGACTCGGAGTGATGACTGCGTGCGGCTCGTTCAGAGGGCAGGAAGGGCAGGTCGTGGAGACTAGGCTGGGAACAGAATGGCGCCTTGAACCAGGAGGAGCCTCTGAGTGAATCAACAGTCACAGGAGCCAGTCACCGGTCGCCAGCCGGGATCGCGGAAGAAAAAAAGTGGTACTGCCAGTAGTGGCCTCCCACTGACTGGCAGTCACTCTGATGAGTCGAAGAACGGAGGCCCCCAATTGCCAGTACCAGTGCGAGTGCCAGGATGTCCGACGGAAAATGTCGCCAGGCGTCTGAGCGCATTTCCTTCTGCACCACCACCACCAACTGGCGCCTAAAGGCACTGACACCGTGTTGCACCCGCCCGGCTTCTTGATCCTTTATTCCCTCGTATCATTATCCGCGCTGTCTGTGGACCCCTGCAGCCTGAGTCCCTGGGTTCGTCTCTACCAGGGCATGCCTGTAACACGCCCCTAGGACATTTGTTATCATGAACAAATAACGCCTACAAACTAGCCTAGAACGGCGTTGGCTTGCCCGTCCGCCCCAGGCGACGCGCAGCTACTGGTCCAACTGTGCGGCCGGTGCAGTGCCGGTGGGTAGCAATAATAAGTGGGTAGGTAGCCTTTGCTGCCTGGCAATCACTTCAGTTCGAGTTTGGCCCTCCGAGTCCCTGCCAGTGTGTGCACAGACCCATCGCCCTCCCGTCCTCCCTTCATTTCTCCTGGCCGTCTCCCAGCTCCCTCTTCTTCTCAATCCATTTTACTGCTCGTGCCTTGCCTGATCTATCAACTCACAGATGCCGTGCTCTTTCACAAGACATGAACTGTGCGGTCTGCTGTTTGGCGAAGGGAGCGACTCCTGACGACACAGCTCTGCCTTTGTGCAGAGTTCGCCTCTTTCCAGCACGCTCATCACGCTGAACCGACACTGCAATTTCGAGAACACGATGAAATGAGATTAATAAGGTGCTGTCGCACTGCCGTCTATTGTTGAGCGGGGTTGCGCCCTGGGGACAGTCTCGACAGCAATTCGCTCTTTTATGTTTCGTCAGCCCGCCTCTTCGTCACTCTTTACGCTTCCTTTTCGCTTCCATTTCATGAAGCAAGCAACTCGAGTGTCCATCACGATACGAAATACGCGCCTCGGTGGTCTTTATGGAGACTTCCGTCGCTGCCTGAACTGGAACATCCTCAACCGTTTCAAGTCCCCTCTTATGTTGGCTGCCGATGCAGTGTCATTCTGTCTCTTCTGTCATGCAGTTGCATTTCATACTAACCATCTCGGCGCACTTGTTGACTGTCTTCAAGCTTGCCTTCTGACACTCTTTAGGAAAGGTTCTCGAACTCCGTCCCTCCTTCCTAGCCTCCGCAGTTGCAGTCGTTGCTTGTCCGCTCCTTGAATGCCGTCGTCACGCCTCCAAAGTGTTTCCCTGTCCGTATACACTTTGAGCTTTCGCGATCTCTCGAGAACGAGCTCAGCTCCATGCCGTTCACTACCGAAAGCCTCCACAACGTCTGCCTACCTTTGTCAGTGTTTATAGCTGTCGTTCCATAACGGGACGCTCGTGACCATCCGGAGATGGCCTCGAAAAGTGGCTTTGCTCCACAAGAGGATGTTCTGTGCAAGATGCTCTTGATGTTCCCCGATGATCATTCCTCACTGCCGAGGAGAAGATAAAACCGCTCCGGGCTCATCTCGGACCCTGCCCAATTTCTGCAGCCGTGGAGTTCTGCTTCCAGAAGAGTTAATATAATGCCATGGGAAATCCACTCACCAGATTCCGCTCTTGCGCCGCCGTCCTGCCCCGGCTTGCTTTTTGTGACTATCGAAGATCCTAGGTCCGCTTCGGCGAGAAATAAATGGGCTCCTAGTTTCATGACTTTTGAGTGAACAACAGCCGAGCAAACTTTGGGATGTGGCAGGGACCACGTCGAAGCCAATGATCAGTGGCAGGTTGCAGGTGACCCAACCACCACGACACGGTCATTGGACACACCAGTCGATACACCACTTGCTGGATCGGTCGAGGGCATTGACAGAACGAGATTAACGATAGGTCAGAGGACCATGTTCGAACAACGCTACGGATCACCGATATATCAGCCCTCTTCATGGACCTGATTGTCGGATTGTGACGGCGAAGAAAAGCACGGTATCATCATATTCCTGAATCCGCCAGCTCACGACCAAACTTCGGGATCGCATGATCGGCCAACAGTGCCGGGGGCTCAACACAGCTTAACGCAAACTGCTGAAAGTGCTCCTTGGTCTCCTCGGTATACGGCGCTAACAAAGGGCCTTGCTAACTTAACATTTCTATTGCCGAGCGGATTGGTTACCACCCACCTTGCTGCAGATGAGACGGTGTGAGTACTTCCCTGTTGAAGAGCATCCGGTCTTCCCAGGCTGTATTGTAAGTACAATATCTAGCAAGGTACGCAGCGCCAGCGGGTGCGAAATACACAGCAAAATACACATTCTGTAGATACAGCAGTTTGGCCGGCTCCTACTGTACAGTAGAAAAGTGGACTTCACAAAGAGTGTTTGATCTACTCAGCTATTAGTAACCAGAAAATTGATCCTCTTATTGATTGCAGTGGCCTTTCATCGTGTTCTCTATTGGGCGTTACTACTATCATCACCCAAGGTATGCAGTACCAAGCCCAGACCACATGTTCGTCACGAAGTATTCGGACGCTGGTATAGGTAGGTGTAGGTGGGTGGTAGGTACTGGAGGGTATAGAAAAAATCTTTCCAACTCCGCTTTCCTCATTCCCTAGTCTCTGACTTTCTTTGCCTACCTTAGTATGCTTATGGTATTCAACAAGCATTGTCCACTAATGCTCTCTCTATAGGTACCTGTCTATATGAGCGAAGCCAGTCAGACCATACAGGGCAAGGAGAGGCGAGGCGAGGCGAGACAAGACAGGGCGCCAGCGGCATTCTGTATAGAACCCCCACCCGCTGCCCAGCAAGCAAGCAGTAGGCCGTCTTTGTCCGTTGATTCAAATCAAACCAATCTTGCTCCCTCCTTTCTGCCTGGTTGTCTTCAGAAAGACCAGACCAAATCGTGTCTGACTCTGACCCTTCAATTCATAGTAGTTGGAACTCACTTCTCCAAATACTCGACATTGCCACCATTGTTGTTGTTGGTAGCTGCTGCCTTGTCGTCCTCACCGGCCACGTGCACCTCGATCTGTCTCTCGCCAACGCCAGGCCCAAGTTTCTCCTCATTCACACGTCTGGCGAACTCCTGGTCCATCTCGGCCCAGACCTCGGGCCGCTGGAGCTGCGTGGCGAACTTGTCACGATGGACAAAGATGTTGCGGTGCTCTTCAAAGTAGCGGTCGATATCCTCGAGGGTCCGGTTAGCCGTCTCCGGGTAGAAGAAGTAGGTGATTGGCACAAAGGATGCACATATCACGGCCCAGATGATCCAGAACCGGTACCCGAGGTTCGAGATGCCGGGCGGTGTCACCTGTGCCACCATGTAGTTCATGATCCAGTTGGTGGCCATGGCCAGACTGGCTCCCTTGCCTCGAAACGAGATGTGGTTGATTTCCGTCGGATATAGCCACTGTGAGAGAAGAGTAAAGCCGTAAGCAACTGTTTTGTACAATAACAACAGCTGAATGAAAGGGATTTGACCCGATTGCCTTGCCACCTGACATCGCCTTTCGAGCTCATTGCGGTAACACTCTCTCGGGGACCATCTTGATGGTTCTAGTGTATTGAAAGATGCATTGAAGTGAACGGTGCAGCGAAGTAAGTGGTGGAGTGGACAAGGCTGAAGTTATAGTGGGTCCAACATCCACAAGCATCAGAGAACATAGGTAGAGCCACTTCGAACGCCAAAAGAGCACGACAACATATACGAGAAATCACCATCAAGACTTACCGGGACACCGAGGACGCCGAGCCCGAAGCTAGCAAAGAAAACAAAAAAGAAGGTCGTAGCAAGAGCACCCATCTTGTAGTCGTTGGCCTTGCCAGTTTCAGAAAGACCGAGAGCAATACTGATGACGGTCCAGCAGGTAGAACACGCAGCGGCCGAACAAATCATCACTCGTCGCCGACCATATCGCTCAATCACGAAATATGCGAGGAAACTGAAGATGAGGTAGTCCACCGACCCGGCGGCAGCGAGGATGCGAGCTCTATCAGCTCAAGTCAGTTCATCCAGCCAACATAATCATGGGACGACCTTAATCGATGGTTCCCAGAGTCAAAACGCTTTCTTTCACCACTTACATAAGTTCGCTCAAATTGATGGCATGAATGAAGATATAACTGAGGCCATGTGAGTCTTCTCGGGTCATTCCATCATCAAGGTAAAAAGTGCTCACGTTTGGAAATATGAGGTCACATTGATCCCACTGATCTGGTTCATTGCTTGCATCCAAGCACCCAGTATCATTCTTCGAAGAACACCAGATGGTCCACGACCGGTCAGAAGCTGCCACCAAGAGTACGTGTTCGCATGTTCGCGGTCAAGAACGTCTTTGATGATGTTGAACTGGGTCCGAACAGACGGGGAGTCCGGGGTCGCGCCATTTCCCTCCAGGGCTGCCAAAACTTCAAGAGCCTCTTCATATCTACCTTTTCGGATGAGGAGACGGGGCGAGTCAGGTAAGAACGGGCACATCATCCAGACGAGTGCGGTGAAGACTATTCAGCGGAGTCAGCGCTGTAAACGATCCAACTATCGATGCAGCACAAGGGCGCGTGAAGGAAATGGTTTCATGGAGGACGACAACTCACAGGCTTGGAATGCCAACGGGAACCGCCAGGCCACACTTCCTGGTGCAAAGGAGAATCCCAATGTCAGCCAATTCGAAATGCAGAAGCCTGTGATGCAGTTGGCCATCTGAATGATGACCAGTTTCCCACGGCTTCGCATTTTACTGGTCTCAGACTGCCAGACACCCGCCGTGGCTGTATTCATGCCAGTTCCCAGGCCAGCAACGACTCGGCCTGCCATCATCTGGCCCATGGACCAGCACGCCGTCTGGATGACGGCGCCAATTGCAATCACGGAGGACCCCAGTAACAACGTGCGTGGGCGACCAAGTTTGTCTCCGGTGTAAAGGGTGGACATCGCGCCGGCAAAGCACCCCAGATTATAAACGCTAGTCATTGTTCCTTGGTCTTTCGCGGAGGGATTCCCCATCTGATCTAGAAAGTTCTTGCCGACCAGGACATTTCCAAAAACACCCTATTGAAGAATAGGTATATTAGCTATTCATTGTTCATTTGGTGGCCGCCCCATCCATGGGATAGGTGGACGGACCTGGTCATAACCGTAAAAGACCAACACCGTCGATGCTGCCAGAGAGATCCAGACAGTCAAGGCACTGCCTGAGCCTCCGAGATACTTCCGTGCCATGTTGATAGAATGGCCTGAAGGGAGTTTGTCGTAGGACAATGCCGCAAACCGGTGGAGAGAGAGACAGGTGCAAAGATGTCTGCGGCACTCCTTTAAGACAGAGAGTCCGTCTTATATAGTCACCAGCTCTGATCTTTTATAGAATGACGGAGAACAGGATGGCGCACTATTTCACACCTGTCTGCTGGCGCGAGCTGATCCACCGAGAGGCCGGTCGCATTTGGTGCGTCGGACAAGCAACCGGCGACGAAGCCGTACGCATGGGAGGCGGGTAAACAGTCTCTAACAACCACAACTAATCAGATGCTGCAGGAGGACGATGGCTTCCTTCGGGATACTGAAATGGGCAGAGTATAACCGCGTATGGTGGATCCTGTCGAGATCTCCACTGGACTCCTCCAAAGTCCACTCCCCACGGGGGTTGAGCCACGGGGGTGAGGGCTTCCAAGGGCTTCGTGTGGGGCATCTAAGTTGACGCAGAATGCTTGGTAAAGGCCAATAGCCGGGCATGGCAATGCTCTGTCAAGCGTTGGCTTGTGGATGGATGGTGATGCCACCTGTTTACCTCGATTCGAGTTGTGTTGAGTAGAGCTATCGAGGGAGACTCTGGGGAAGTGTGAGTTTTACTGCTGTTAGTGCACCAGGAAACCAACAGATTGTTGTCTTTGTTCTCCGTGGAGCCGAACTTCTCATGGCATTCTGACGGTCTTCAAACATACTGCCTCTTGAGATTTGGAACGGGAACATTTTGAGGACCGCATTTCTGCGGAAGCACCAGCCTTACACGCCCTGGAACTCACACCCGACGTCTGCTAGTGACTGAAAATCGACAGGCTTTGCTGATAACTGCAGCCAGCAAAGCACAAGGGGCTCCTTTCCACAACACCACTCGTTTTCGCCGTGTTGGGATTCTTAGTACGCAACGTGACAGAGCCGTCGGGAACGTCATCGCGAGAAACCATCACTTTGGCTTTGCTCGTCAGGAAGTCCCAAAGGAGCAGTTCCGGCGGAGAAATTGGCCTTGTAGTGGGTAATTACCGTTGACCGTGTACCACAAAATATTGACCGGCTTGTATAGTGGGTGCCGGCTTGGACTTGGAGTAACCAGGATTGGCTACATCAGAGCACGTCAGATAACAATCCGGAGGATCTTCATGACCAAGACTCTCCATGGTTGGGGCGATGGACTCGCAACGCTGAATACCCCAACATTGTGGGACGCGGAGGCGGAGAAGGAGAAGAGAAAAGGAGGAGACCGCCTTCAGCAAGGTCCCATTGCCGCCGGCTCAAAGGATACGGGCCCATAACCGAGGATGTCCTTTTGAAGGTGGATTCATTTTCTTTATCTGGGGAGCGGAAATGGATCCGGTACTCGGAGTTCTGAGTTACCCTTCTAGTATGGGGCTGGTAGTTGCAATCCGAAGGTGAGACGTGGTGGTAGAGTATATAAAATAAAGAGACTTTGTCTCACCTCGAGTTTGAGCTGGCGTCAAAAGAACGTTCTGGTCTCGGCAATTCCTTCCCAGCTTATGGCACTGCCTGTTAGCCACCTACGTACCTCACCAGGCAGCCTGAGGTATCTAGGTAGGTGTGTAGCATACTGAATTACTGGAACTGCCTGGTACGTAGGTAGTGGTATTATCCCGCGGCTGCAACAGAGCCCGTGACCAGGTCTCTATCGGAAATCATGTTACCCGGTGAGTTTATTGTTGAATTACTTCGAGTGAACGACAGAGAACATCCTGTGTGCGTGTATAAGTTACAGAAGACAGGCAAATCTACCGCTACCACAGCTTTTGATCTTTGCTCCAGCCCTTGATCTTCATGGTGCCATTCTCGGCCAGGTTCTTGTGCATGTCGAAGGCCTGGAACAACAGATGAGGCTCGTGGCCCATGCCCTTCTTCAAGCACTCGTACTCGGCGATGTCGAAGTACTCCTGGAGGATGGGTCTGTACTCCGGATGGGCGCACTTTTTGATGATTTCTCGAGCCCTCTCGCGGGGGCACATGCCTCGAACATCAGCCAGACCCTGTGAATTGTCAGTCCATGTCCGCGTTCGTTCCTAGCTAAGCCAGCGACTAAAGGGCCAAGGGCTACGGGGAAAAGCACTTACATTCTCAGTCACCACCACGTCCAGATCGTGCTCGGTCTGGTCGATGTGGGTACACATGGGCACAATGCAGCTCACACCCGTCGGGTCGGTCTTGGTCGGCCGCGTGCTGGGGGTGTGCATAATCGAGTATTTGGCAGAACGGAGGAAATCCGCCGATCCTCCCAAGCCGTTTAGCATGCGTGAGCCCATGACACAGGTGCTGTTGGCGTGGGCGTATATGTCGACTTCAACTGGCGTGTTCATACCAATCACACCGAGACGGCGGATGATTTCGGGCGAGTTCGACACTTGTTGAGATCGCAGCAGCAGCTTGGAGTGGTAGTTCTCCCACTGAAAAAGAGACAAGGAGTCAGCATGGAACGGCCAAAACGTGTCTCAGGAGCAGTGAAACTTACGCCGTCGTAAAACCGCTGGAACCCACCGGGCGAGAACCTGATGGACGTGGCCGTGGCAAAGTCCAAGTTGCCGCTGTCGAACAGGTCCAAGAAGGAGTCTTGCAGCACTTCGGTCCACACCTTCAGGTTCTTGAAGTCGGCTCCGCCTTTCTGTTTTACACGGTCAGTCAAACCAGATCTTTCTGAAGGCTGCTGGAGTACTCACAGCCAGACCACCGATCACAGCATTAGCAATGTTTCCGATGCCGGATTGGATGGGCAGAAGGTTCTTGGGCAGACGGTTGTGTTTGACCTCGTGTTGCAGGAACTCGATCAGGTTCTCAGCAATGGCTTGCGAGGTCGCGTCCTCGGGAGCATTCTCGGTCGTCTGGTCAGGATAGTCGGACTCGACCAGGGCCACAACACGCTCCGGGTCGACGGGGATATGCGGCGTTCCAATGCGGTCTTCGGGTGCCATGATCAAGTAGGGCTGTTGAATCGAGAGTCAGCAACTGGTCCTGATAGTGTCTACGGTGCAAGGATGGCTGGTCAAAATCACCCAGATAACTCACTTTTCGTCGAGGTGGTAGTTCCGTCATGGTGATATCGTGTAGACCTTCGAAGCTGGGAGTGGCGGTGTTAAGCTCGATAATGATCTAAAGAGACAAAGAAACACAACATCAGTCCCGTTGTTGCTGAATCAATTCCGGTTTAGACAGACCTTGTCAGCCATCTGGATGATTTCCGGCGATGCTCCCACACTAGCACCAGGGATGATGCCGCCGTCCTCGGTGATGGCGGAGGCTTCGACGATGGCCACGTCGAGGCGGTTGTTGGCCTTGTTCTTGGTGTACCAGCCGTACATCAGGTCGACGGGGAACATGCTGAGATGTTTGTCGAAAAACTTGATGTTGCCGTTGTTGATGCCCTTGGCAATCTCCTTGCCGACCTGATGCGGCGCCCGGCGCTCGATCATGTTCAGCCGAGCCCATCGGTTCTCTGTTTCGGCCCCCGACGACGCTCCCACGAACAGATTGTACTTGAGCTTCCCTTGCAGCCCGTTCCGCTCAACATGGTCGGCCAGGGCAGTTGGGACTTTCCTGGGGGTGATTGATTAGTCAACGTTCAACGAACGCCCCGATTTTGTTCGTTCCGGCCAGCCAGCCATCTGGCATTGATAAGAGCACAGCAGCGGAAGGCAGAGACAGTCGAAGGAAGCATTTATTGCACTGCTAGTACTTACTTGGGATATCCTACACCCGTGAAACCCGACCAGCCGATGTATGAGCCGTTAGGGAAGAGGTCGATGAGGTCCTCTGCCTTGGCCAGCTTGTTGAGGTAGCTGGGCCGTCGGCACCGGCTCTTGAGCAACGCTGAAGCGGCCATTATGAATTGAGTGTTGTCGAAGCTCAAGACTCAGTCAAGAGGAGACGAGGCGGGCAGCGGAAGGCTGGCTATCGAATATCAGGCTCAGGTAACTAGCTAGCTACCTTAAGCTGTCGAAAAAGCGACACTCAAGGCACTGCAGCAGCCCGGAGCTCAAGAAACGTCGTATCAAAAGAGACAGAAAACCGGGATCCAGAATCCACCATGTGAAGATGGTGAAGGGTGATCCACTCTGGATTGTTTTGTCCCCTTATTTATTTATTTGTAATAAAGCCGATTAAACGGATGGCGAGGACTGCAGTAGTTGGTTGAGGTCTCTCCTTTCGAATTGATTGATTGATTGACGACACACACGCAAAACACGCCCACACCCAAGACCACGAAACATGATGTTGCGCCGCGTCCTTCCAGACTCCGGGAAGCTCTGACCGACCCTAGAAACCCACGCATGGGTTGTGAGCTGTCGTTATTGGCTGCGAAACGCCTCCCAGGCCCCTCACCGGACAAGTCGGGAGGAGACAAGCTACAGCTCCAGAACCCTCGAATCAACGCCTCAAAGCATAATCAGCGCCCGGAGTGGGATCTCGATGTCGCTTAGAAGTGCAACAAGGGAGCGGCGTTTAGTGAGTAGTTCAGGTCGAGCTGACCAGTGATCGTCCTGCTACACCCCCTTGGTCTCGACGCCGTACCCCCTGGGGACCCGTTAGCAGCAACTGGAGATACTACTAGTACCGTATCAAAGTCTGGCTCCAGCCCTGCAGACCTGGGAGCCCCGAGTCATCTCCGGACCCCCGGCCAGTTTTACACAGTGAAATAATATCACGTTGCCCAATTTGAATTCGAATTTACGGAGGTGGATGTTTCTTGTCGCCTTGGAAAATTTCGCCTCAACAAGGCTCCACGCCCCGGCGTTTTCTCGACGTTTTCTTCCATACGGAGACCCCGGCCTGTCGTTGATCGAATCGACTCGCCTGAATCCGGAGCAGATCCCGCAAACGTGATCACCGATGCGGGCGTACAAGCAGTCCATCATCTGATGAAAGTATGGTTTGTCGGATGCTCACAGGAAGATTGTGCCAGTAGTATAGCCAATTATGCGCAAACCTGACACCAAGCTGTGCAAACCATTGAGCTGTGCATGCTTGCGGTCGAAAAATGAAGCACGCCTTCAACCTCGAACTGTCGCGGACGACCAGTCAATGCAGCCCGGCTTTGGTGAGATTAGGCCACGGCCATTGGAGGTCGGCCACGGTCGAGGGTCGTGTCTTGTTAACAAAGGTTATGGTTAAGGAGCCACCAATTCTCTGTTCACAACTGGCGTATCCGCCTATGTTACGATAGGGTGGCATGGAGCTCCTCCGTTGCCAGAACTTGGAGAGAAGTGTTGTGGTAGCTGATTTCGCGTCTCAGCATCTCCGCCGAGCGGCCAAAGAGCCCTTGTTACCGCAACCGGTGCTTGTATGCAGTGTGTAGCGTGTATTCGTCGTACACTCGGAGGCGTGAGAATTCTTCGATTAACTATCCCACCCGACTCCAGGATCAGTACTGACGTTAACATCGTACCGATTGCCTTCAAAACGCCTGCGTGTCTCGAGGAGATGGATGGATTCCCTAGGAACCTTGACTCTGCGCCACAATGACACTCGGGGATTGACTGTCTGCCGGACTTCCGGTGATTGCACACTGTTCGCAACCGCGTCCCAGAAGTATACGATCCGTGCGTGTAACAGTCTCGCGAGACCGGCGCACAAGTTGTAGTGATGCGAGAGAGTTTGCACGCTCATAGCTTGGACTCGGCCGGCCAACCAATGGCTTGCGAAATAGCCCATTTGGCAAGGACCCCAGAAACAGGTTCTAGAGAAGGAGCCTCAAGAGGATCATGCAACAGATGCACTTCAATCCAAGGACAAAGGTGCGGTCTTCCACTTCTCGGCCTCGGCCTCTGCGAAGTTAACCAGACTTCCATAAGCAAGCAGGAGAAAGCCCAGATCCTCCCTGTCGACATCGAAAACCTCCCACCAATTTTGCTCGACGAGCTTGACACCTGTTTCCCTTGCGGCCAAGTAAATGGCGCCCACAGCAAGAGCATTGGGTTGATGAGTGAGGTACAGCAACTGTGGAGAGAGCAGACCCGCATTGAGATGTTCAAAAACCCTCCTCGCCAACTTCGTCGATGACACGCCCAGCGCTTGTATATACGTCAGGGCCAGACTGTAAGGCAAAGCCACACGGGTGTCGAACCCCACGCCCACAAGTATCACACTTTCGCAAACAAACAATCTCTGCCGTTCTCTTTCATATGTTCCTTCCGTAACGAAGTAGTCCATCGGATCGGCTTCAGTAGGCGCATCACCATGTGGATTGATGAACAGCAGAGGCGACGCTTTCGACGAGGTCAAGTAGGCGTATACATTGACCACGGAGCGCGGGGAGACCGGCGTGGCCGAGAGCTTTGCGGCAAGATAGATCGCTGCCGCCGAGAAGGTCTTGGGACTGAACCCTTCGCGGTCGTCCGGTCGGCTTGATACCCAGAACCGCTGGAGAAGGACTATGGCTTGCGCAATAATTTCCTGCGACAACCGCAAAAGGATGCCAGCGGCCGATGTCAGTGCCGCTTGGGCAAAGCGGATGGATTGGCCATGTTCGTCTTCGGCGTGCTTCAGGTTGACGAGTTGGCTCGAGGTAGCCAGCGGGTTCGTGATGTGCTCGATGGCAGTACTAGTAACTGGCGCCATCCTCCCAGTAGAAAACTAGGCCAGCCTACATATCCCCAGACTGATTGAGGTCTACTGTATTAGACTCAATACCTGGATTGGCGTTCCCGAGCGTGGACATCTCGCGACCTATCAACTACGGTGGAGCATGGCGACCCGAATGCAGAAAATGGAGACCACGACGACACATTCTGCAACGATGTCGAGACACGGCATCAGAGATCGATGAGACAGGAAACAAATGCCCAAACAGGTACAAGCATTAATGAAAAAATAGGCCTGCGATTTCAAGAGCCGTGTGGGCACAGGAAAATCCAGGTCGAAAGGCTGCGCTCTTCGTTAGGCTAGGTTTACAGCCAACGAGGCTGAACAGAGGGAAACAACCAGCCATATCGGGTGCTGTACATTTTCCCCCAATATCATTGAGACACGCCGGCAGGGATGGCACACGCCAACCTGGCGCATCGGCGCACACACAACCTCCTCCTGATCTCGAAGTTGTTGAATCAGAGGGACCATGCGTCGCCGCTGACTCTTGTACTGGACACATTGGAGCAGCCGGCAAGCCCACTGACACGAGAGTATCTGCGCCGCGCCCGGATCTCGCGATCTACCACCATCTATCTGTCCTTCGAGACGTTTGCGAAGCCGCGGAATGTCGACTTTTTCATTGAATGCTTTGGCGAGACACAGTCGCCGGAAAGGATAGCGAGGAAGGCAGCCGATGCCGTAGGGAAAAGCGGAAACAAGCGTACGTCGTAATCGAAAAAGTAACGGTCAATTTACTAATTCTCGAGCTCAGGATGTCTGATTCTGATAGATTCTTTGGCGACTCTGGTCGCAATGGCAACGGCCTCGTCTTCCAAACTGAATTTGACGGCATTTCTCTCATCTCTCCTACAGCCGCCACAGAATGCAGAGCAGCGAGGACAGCAGCCACCCCAGATCTCGGTGGTTGCAGTCTATCATGCGGACATCCCGCTACCTGCTCCCTCAACGATCTCCGCCTCTACAAATTCATACTCTCCGTCACCCTTTTCGCTGCTTTCCTACCTCGCAACCACCATCATCACAGTCCACTCCCTGTCCATCCTGCATGCAGAGAAGCTGGCACAGGCAAAGTCACATGTGGCGCCTGTGTTTGGTCTCGCCGAAGAGGTCGAGGGGGTGGTCATCGGACTCAAGCCGAAAAGTGTGCATTTGAGGGACCAGGAGCGTGGCATAGTTCTGGAATTGGAGCATCGGAGGAAAAGTGGGAGAGGTGTTCTGGAATGGTTTTTCCTGCCCACTGCCACGACGGCAAAGCAGCAGGGTGGTCCTCAAGCGGCCCGGGAAACGGTCACTTTACTGGATGACCATCCCCTGTTCCGCAAGCCAAAGGAGGACGAGACCCCTGAGCAAGTCCTGTCCGGGATGACTTTTGAACTGGGTCTGACAGATCGACAAAGACTAGAGCGGGAAGGTGTAGTGTTGCCGTATTTTGATGCCCAGAAAGCCGGCGGCGGGGAAGGCGGCAGGATCTTGTATGATATGGGCGCGGAGGATGACTTCGATGAAGAGGAAGATGAAATCTGAGCACTCCTTCTCAATCAATTCATGCCAATCTCCCATAACCGAGTCTCGCTCTGCAAGACTACATTGACCTCTGAAAGTCGGTCTGTTGGCCAAACCCAAGCGTAGTAATCCAGGTTTCTCGCTCGTCCGCAATCATACTGTTGTCACATCTTTGAACTTGCCGTAATCTACCCTTCAGAAAAAGCGCCACCACAAAAAGATGATCATAATGAGCCCAAGCCCTGCAAAGGGTCCGTACTGTTTAGACAATGTCAGTGTTGTAAATGGTCCGGAAATTGTAGCTATACGTACCTGCTTCAGCATCAATTCCCAGTTGATCCGTACGGCTGCTTTCCTGTACTTCTTGCTGTCCTCTCTTAGGCGTCCACTCATCTCGCCCATGCGTTCCAGGCTGTCTCCACGGTACAGAAGATCCTCAATATTCTTGGTCATGACTTTCGTGACATCTTTCAACTCGTCGTTTAGCTTGTCCAGATTCGCACTCGCCCGACTGTCCTGATAGGTCTTCTTTGTCCGTTGAATAAACGTGTCAAACTCGACAAAAGCGTAAGGCCGTAGCGTAGCAGACAGGTATTGCTGGGAGGGATACACAGTCGTGAACTCTTGAGCCAGGTCCGAGAGGTAGGTAAACGCCAATTTCCGAGGATAGGACCGGTCACATATGCAGAGAAAGCATATCGAGTCTTTGATGATGTAGCTGTAAGCTTTCGAGTTAGAGATCCACGTAAAGCAATATTCCAAGGAGCGTAGAGAAACCCCCTTACTGTAAGGTGTATTGGCCGGATTCAATGCTCGCTTGCTGCTCCGAGTTGCGATTCAACCGCCTGAAGATCATTTTCGCCTGGGATTTGACCTCGGCGAGCTCTGTTTCAACCTATGGCAAAGCCATCTATCAGCCCCGACTCCTTCAAGTAGAACTACCCTCGAGCCCTAAAGGAACCCGCTGCATACCTGTTCATCGTCCACTGAGGCCGCAAGCATCAGGCCTGTGAATTCCCACCTATTAGCGACCCTGTTTCCATCGTTTATGGTGCCATTTGTGCTCTCCCATACCGTCCAGCCTGGCGATTTGTGTGGATTTCACCATCTTTGTCGTTTCTATGGGGGAGCGTGTCTCACCGAGGTGTTAAATCGCACTTCATGTCCCTCCGCCTGTCAGCGAAAGTCGCACTTGGTGTCTCTGCGGCTGTCAGCGCTGTCCCAAACGGGATTAGTTCCCGGAATTATTTCTGACTGGCTATTTAGCCGCCTAGCCGCCACAAGCGCTTTCTCCTTCCTTTCTACTCTGCACCGCCACAGTCTCCAACTTCCGACACTGCCACTTCCTGCCTCTTGTTCCTGCACATTTGTCACCAGCCACACAGTCTACTCCAGTCAAACAACACAACTGCAATCAAAATGGTTAAGTAAGTCTTGCTTATGTCATCACATGTTTGTTTTGCTTTGTCATCAACACACATCCACTGCACATCAACCCCATGCTTTGATATGTTGTTGTCACCTTCACCTCACATCAAGATTATATCTTTATATGTTCTTGGGGCATGTGCTGTCTACAATGTCACACCCTTTTGATGTTGTTCACTCATGGACTCCCCCTTTGATATATATAAAACACTCTTCACTTACATTGTCAAGACCCATCAATGATCTTCAAGCATACTTCATATCAGATGGCATCATCATCCACTGATAGTGCTTTGATGTTTATGATCCTCAACCATTAACCACATGTTGCTGTCTTTACTATGTTCTCCCTTGACATCACTCACTTGTTACATGATGGTCCATACCCCTTCCTGTCCTACAATGCTGGGTGCCTCTTTGTTGTGCCTGACACCACACTCCATCCCATCTCACTGTTGCTTTGATGTGTGCGGAGGGCGACAAGACCCTATGCATGACTGTCCCTTACCGCTTTCACTTCATGTCAACATTGCCCCCATCACGTGCCCATTTGTTTATTTTGACCTTGGCGCATCCTTATGATTTGTTTCAACCGATCTATCCTTGCCCTTGGAACAATCTTCTTTTGCAACCTCTACCACCTTGCCTCCTCTCCAGCATTGTCACTACTGTGGCCTGGATTATCACCCTGGGGAAGTGATATTCAATCCTTTCTACAAATTGCAAACCTCTGAGCATCACCCCAACCTCACAATTGTTCAACATCTGTTTTCGGCTCTTATACCCAATCTATCACTTGTCACAGTTGTTTGTCACCTTCACTGGCTTATTGGATCCGACGCTAACCATGTCTATAAATTTAGCAATTCTATCCACAAGTTTTACCCATTGGTCAGGGGCAGACACTCGCAGTTGGATCGGGGGGACGAGCTGCGGTACGACCTGGCGGGTGGCCCCTGGCGGGTCCGGATCGCGTACGGCGCGTCCGGGCCAATCGCCGGGGCGCAGAGAGAATCGTTCCGGTGGGAGTACTGGGACAGGACGACGCTGGCATGGAGGTTCCTGGTTGAGGCCACGGGCCCCTCGCAAGTCGAGGCGGCTTTGTGGACTCTCCACGACCCCCAAGCCCAGTTGCCGACCCAGCGCTCCTCCTGGGACCGATTCGAGCACCTGCAAGGCGGCCGCGTGCAAGCCGCCATTCCGCTCAATGCGGTGCGTGACCGGTATGTGGCCGCCCGCGCTGGTCCCCCTGCTGCCGCTGCCGCTGTTGCTGCCCCTGTTCCTCCGCCTGCCGCTGCCGCCCCTCCTGCTGCTCCTCCGGCCCAACAACAGCAGCCACCACCACAACAACCTGCCGACCCGACTTCTTCTGCGCCTTCGGGCGACGACAATGCTGAAGACGAATCCTGAACTTCTTGCTCGGCTCTTTTCTGTTCTGGGGTGGTTTTCTCTCTCTCTGCTGGTGGTGTGGTGGTCTTCTCTCATGGTGGTTTCTTGTGGCTGGATCTTGCTTCTTGGTCGTCGGGTTGGGTTGAGGCTTTTTTCCATCTCACCTTCTCTTCGGCTGGCTTTCGGTGTGTTTTCTGTCATCGGGTTGTGGTGGACATTCTTCAAATTGGGTGGAACGGCTAGAGTCTTCTCTCGTTGGGTTGACTGCCATGGATTTTTTCGGGGTGTTTTCAAACTTTCGGCTGGCTGGATTGTTTTCTCTCTACTCTCTCCAGGAGCTTGGCCATGCATGGGTTGTGGTCTTTCTTGAACTTTCGGCTTTTGCCATTCTGCGCTTGCCTGAACTCTCTACTCTCGGGCTTCTAGGTTTACTCATTGCCTAGCTTCAGCGCTTTTTTATTCTAGATGATCGTCTGTGATGGATGGAGAATGATAGCACGGTGGTGCTGAGAATACAGATGATCATCATAACAAACACACAGCTGTTTCTTTTTCTCTCCTTTGTTTCTTTGCGGCTTGCCTTCTGATTCAACTTTCCAAGGAGTCTACTGCTAACAAGGACGAGATACAGTACAGCGGCCATTGATGGACTGACGAACTAACAAGCGATATAGGTACACAAGTATACACAAGACCAAGCCGCCAATATCAAAGCTCGTTGGGCAACATTGGCGAGACTAGAAGACGAGATATACAATACCCAACTTGAAGCAAGCAAATCAGGCACTGCAGGCAGACTCGGGATACAGCGGAAAGATCGAGGAACAATTCGAACCCCATGATGAAATTGAACCGGCGAGACAAGAGTCGCATTTCATTTCGTTCTGGATGGTCCTAACTTGACAGGACTGTATGTCTAGAGCAGTGGACGTACCTACCTGTAGGTACATACTGTGGCGTTTCACGCACTGCATCCGATGGCACTGGCACGCAGCGGACGGGATGGAATGAGCTCTGCTATGGTGTTTTGCAGTGCCAGTGGTACGACATTACATTGTACATCCCCTACGACCAACAACCCGTGAGGATGACCTCCAGGTGAAGAAAGGCTACTATGGTAAGGTATGTAACACTGCATCCTTCCTACTGTAGGTGCCAGTCGTTGGGCCTAAGGCTAGGACTCGTATCTTCCTATGCAGCTAGAGCCTAGCTGGCCGGGGAGCTCTACATCGAGTCGCTGGCACCATACATTTGAAATACCCCCTGTTCAAGATTTACCAGAGCTGTCAACCCTGCCAGTGCAGTGTCCAGTGTGACCTGTCACATTTTTTCAGGAAAAAAAGAAACAAGACAAAAACCACCCTCGACAGTGGAGTCTGATTCGATATGACCCGGTTCCCTCTATCGTTTCTAGATCAACGGATGGAAACAAACAACCCTCCACCACGGTCAATCCCCGGACCCTGGTACAGCTTGAACACTTACTATTTGATGTTCATCTGCCTTGCATAGTAAGTAAGGTTGCAATGTCTGATGAGCTTCAGGTTGGAAAACGCCATGCGCGCACTGCACCGCACCGCACCGCCCTTTTGACAAGTTCAAGTTCAAGTTCAACTTGAACCCTTGACGTTTTCAATGCGCATAAAGGACTAAGGTTGTAGCTAGGGTGCATTATGCATATGCATATGCAACGGGATATGCGGCTTATAGCACTACTGTCTGTAGTACCAGGTATGCGGTGTAACGACATGGCATGGCATGGCGTTTTGGCAAAGTTGACCTGTCACTTTTTGTCTCTCTGTCTGCCTGTCTCTCTGTCTGTCCGTCCCTCCCACCCAGGTCAAGACTCGAGACTCGAGACTCGGGACCGCGACTCGCGACTGCTCATCCAGGGTTGTCATGGCAAGCTATCTACCTTATCGATTCTATCGATCGTACACTGGCAGACTCGGAGAAGAAGGACAGGAACTCGCACAGGGAAGTGAGACGAGGCGCGAGGTCAATCAATCCCCTTCACGGTCGGGTCAGTCAGTCACCGGCAGACTGGCAGTGGCAGCCACGGCTACCTATGGATGAACAAACGCCGCGTCTTCGGTGTTCCTTCAACTTAGACGGCTTGTCTGATCAGTGGTAAGCCATCCAACTCCAGTCCAATTCGATACCGTATGCATGTGGTCAGACTCGACTGAGCCGTGGACAATAATGCAAATCAGAGCAATGGAGAAAGGGACCAGGAGGCTGATGTCCTCGAGGGAACAAGATGCGGTGAAAAAACAACCCACAACCCCATCAACCCTGATCATTCCAGACTTAACTTCAACGAAGGGTAATGTGATAGCGATACCTACTTACTGTCCATTGGCGCCTACCTTAGGGCCTTGCCTCCCCTGGCTCGCTGGTAAAGAGACACTGTATCATGGTCACCCACTGCGCTGGCACTGGCACTGGCACTTCTCCGTCCATGATGCATGCAGTGACCGAGGAGATGGATAGATAACAAAAGCGTGCTGCGCTGGGTCGAAGTGCCGAGAGTCCAAAGACGCAAGCCATGCCCCATTGCCAATGGGACGATAAAGCTATGCCTGTGCCGCATTTACCACTGGCCTTGCAAATACCGGGTAGATAGGAGATACCTCTCAGAGGCACACCTCACCTGGCCAGCTACCTACCTGCATGTACATACCTAGCTATGTGACTTGTGTGCATATGCATGGTCCTTTTGGCACGCTGCTACCGTTTCCTTGATTTGGTGTTACCACCCTGCAGTGGTCCGTGGATGAAGCCAGGGTGTAAGTCAAGGGTGTAACTGTTGGAATCTTGAGACTACGCCGCGACAGGTCTTGCAATCCATGCTGCTGGGACAGAGTCTGCGTCCACGGCTGATAGTCGGGAGACCTTTCAAAGCACGCATTGTATGATTGCACCATCGAAATAGATCTACTACAACATTCATGGTTCAATTCTACATTTGCAGTTATCGTACGGGAGGGACCGTGGGGCAGAGATCAAGACTTCGGACATAGAATATTCATTCGCTTAGACATGGACCACCCACCCACTGGGCTGGGATTAGATCTTGCTCCGCATACAAAAACAGGTCATTCATTATATTGTCCTCTCTTGACAAAATGCGAAAACATTTGTTATCCTCTTGGAAACCTTCCAAAAACCCAACCAAAGAAATCTTTCATCGCTCATATAAGGAAAAACACGCCCATTTCATGTCCCACTATTCGGCCATCTCGACCAGCGTGGCTCAAACCAAGCCTACCACTTGATGACCTTTTGTGGGAAGTACTCGTCGATCAGCTCCATGTAGTAAGGCTGTGATAAGAGTTAGCATCGGTTTGAAGAGACTCAATTGGGGAAATAATGCATACCTTGAGCTTTTCGACGACCGGCTTCTCGTCGCTCTTGCTGTACAAGTCGTAAGGGTTGAACTTCTTGACAGCCTTGAGCATCTTCTCATCCTTCTCGTTCATGAACTCCCGGTAAGCACCCTGTTGGTGCCACGGGTAGAAGCTGTGGTATCGGATCATGGCCAGAGCTTCATCCGGGAGAGTGCTCTGGTCCTTGACAACGTGGTACAGGTACTCGTCATGGCCCCAGGATAGCATGACGTTCTCCAACCCGCAGCCTGGAGAGTAGATCCCGTACTTGGTGCTGTAGATGGGGTCGTTGTAGTCGGGGTTGGCAGCAAAGGACTTGTTGCCGTAGATGATGCGGTCATCAAAGGCACAGCCAACGGGGAAAGTATCACCCACGACATCCCACTGGCCCTGGGCGTCGAAGAAGAATAGAAGCTTGCCAAGGTCGTGGATGAGTCCGGTCAGCTGCATCCAGCGAGGGCGGCCGTCACGGCGCATGGCCTCAGCAGACTGCAAAAGATGCTCGATTTGGCTCAGCTCGGTGTCGGGGTCGGACTCGTCGATGAGGGTGTTCAGACGCTCAATGGCTTCCCATACCGTCATCTCAGCACGAGTCTTGGACTTGAAGTCGTTGCGAGCCTTCAAGTTGTATGCGACAGTTTGCTTGGTGTGCTGTTCGAGGTAGAAGTTCTTGACGCGGTCGCTGGCCGTCTCGTATTGACGGAATTGGGTCTTGTCCTTTTCGGCGTCGAACTTGGATGGCCCGTCATCTTCCTCATCTGCTGCCCGCTGTTGCTTCTTCTTGACGGCCTGGTCGGCAAGAATGTCGACGTGTTCGATTTCATCGCAAAGCTCTTCGAACGCCAGCCCATCGCGATCGGTGCGGAAGGCAGTGGGGTGGGAGGGTTGCTCAAGCAGAATGCCGACCATTTTGTCTGATGATTTTCGAAAGAACGAGTGAGGAGGAAAGTCTTTTTTCAAAGGGGAGAGAAGTTAGGACACGTGCAGCCAGGAACTTATATAAAAGTAAACCGGTGATATTTAAAATATATCACGGACAGATAGTAGAGCTGCGAAATGTCTTGGGAGAATAACAACAGTGAAGGAGATTCTGTATCACAGCAGACAGGGGGTTAATATACGGCCAGATGTGCCAGCATTCATTGTTCTGCCGGATGTTGGATGGAAATGTTTGTCACTGCGAATAGCCTGCTTGCTGTTCACCTCTTACCAGGCAATTCTCCTAGACCCACAGCTTTCGAACAAATGGATCTCGAAACATGGGACACCCCACAGTCCCTGGACCCTACATGACTTGACATCCTCCCATCGTGGCACGGTTCCATGAATAGAGGGCAGCCCCGGGGAGCCGAAGATGCGAAAGTTACTGGATTGGGACGATTCGTATCGGGGGACAGAAATCTCGCTGGAGCCATGCTGGGGCGCTAAGCTGATCTTCGACACCGGGCCGCATCAGCGGCATCGTTCTGTCTGTGCGTCCAGGACTGGGTCGTGGCTATTGTTCCATTGTGTCTCCATAATTGTAGCCTCCAACCTCGTCGTTGTCCGGTCACACTGCTGGCATGGTCACGTCGACTGCCAGGCGTCGAGCAAACAGGGAAATTATGCGCCGTAGTTTGGAGGGATGGATGGTCAGCAAAGTCGGTGAGAGAAAAAGATCCTAGATGATGTCTCATTGCTACCACTTTATCTGTGGAACTCATGTTACACAGCCGTCATGCATTACGATCAGGTCGGCCCCCAGGCTTGTGACAACCCCGGGGGATGGTAATACTGCAGTAGTTCTTGACGTTGTGTAACCCGACGAGCATTTGTTTGCCATAGTTCGGAAAAACAAGGGTCTTTTCGACGGGACTGCATGGCGGGTAGCTAGACAGGGTCGGCACTGGTGTCTTTGTCTTTCCGGTCTGCGGATCATGTGCGTGGCTCAGGTCGCCTACAGTGGTTTTCGAGAAGGGGAGCATTTCGTGCGTAGAACGTTGGATCAGGGACCAGAACTCGAGATGGAGACGTCGTGCTCATACGGCAATGGAGATTCGAGTGGCGCCGGTGGGAGTTGCCATATTAGGCCAGGATGGAAGGGCTCTGGAGGAAAACTGGAGATCAAAGCGTCCAGAGCAGCGAGAGAAGGAAAAAAGAAAAGTCGAACCGGGGCGCAGGTGGAGGAGGAAGATGGAGCCAGATGGAGCCAAATTTGGTGCACGGGAGAACGATGACAGGAAAACCGTGCCACTGTGGCTGACACGCTCACAACGTTTGTGTGGCCGTCTTGCTGTCTCCTTCCACTCGCACATTTGTCGGATCCAGTAGAAACTCGCCGAATTACTTACGAAATAGAACTACAGGCATTGTTGTCAGTAATGGTAGTATACTGACCGATAGACACGCGTCTTGGATGTGTTACACGGACACAATGCAATGTACTTGCGTCTCGGAAAACTCTACTATATTTGATGAAACGCAAGTAACAAGCGATGCCAACGCGCTCAACGGTATGCTCCCCGCGAATTCTGGGCGCGTTCGGGCGTTGTTGACCCGGTAAACCACCCCGAGCACTGGCAGCCTCCTCAGTACCTAGGTAGGTATGCTTGGGCTTCGGGCGCGGGCTAAGGGGCCGCCGTTGGCAGGGGTTAGGCACGAATAACAGGCGTGGCGGGCTTCTTCAGGCTTCTCTGACACCTAAGCTCGTTCGATTGCCCCTACAACGTATGGAATAACCGGCGGCGCCCTCCCCACACTGGCCATTAATTGGTGCTCTGACCTCATGCCCCCCATACCCCTCAGCAGGTTGATTGCCATTCCTTTACAGACGCCTATGGAACTTTTTTTCTGTTCTCATTTTCTTCTGCGAAGTTCGTTATCAAGCTCCCAGTTGAGACACATACAGAAGGTTGCAAACGCTCATCGCTTCCACCAGAAAACCGTACTACACTTCTCGCTTGGACAATGACGGATATTCGCTTCAAGCTTAACACCGGTGCTACCATCCCCGCCTTGGGTTTGGGTAAGTCTCACAAGCCCCTCCAGCTGCGTGCTTTACTGACTGCTTCCTAGGAACCTGGCAGAGTCCAGAAGGCCAAGTCCGCGACGCCGTTGCACATGCCATCAAGTCGGGCTACCGGCACATCGACTGTGCCTATGTCTATGGAAACGAGAAAGAAGTTGGGGAGGGCATCAAGAAAGGCCTGGAGGAGACGGGCATTTCCCGAAGCGAGCTCTTCATCACCACCAAACTGTGGTGCACCTACCATACCCGCGTCGAACAGGCCCTCGACACAAGCTTAAACCTCCTGGGCCTCGACTACGTCGACCTGTATCTTATGCACTGGCCAGTGGCTATGAACCCGAACGGCAACCATGAAAAGTTCCCCAAGCTGCCTGACGGTTCCAGAGATTTGTTACGCGACAGATCTCACATTGACACCTACAAGGACATGCAGAAGCTGCTGGCCACAGGCAAGACAAAGGCCATTGGCGTGTGCAATTACTCCAAGAAGTTCCTCGAGGAGTTGTTGCCCCATGTCGACGTGGTCCCTGCCGTGAACCAAATCGAGAACCATCCACTGCTTCCCCAGCAGGAGATTGTCGACTTGTGCCATGAGAAGGGTATCCACGTTACCGCATACAGTCCGCTCGGCAGCACAGGGTCTCCTCTGATGCAAGATCCTCATGTTGTCAAGCTGGCCGAACAGAAAGGAGTCAGTCCCGGAAGCATCCTGCTGAGCTACCACATCGCAAGAGGGAACTCGGTGCTCGCAAAATCTGTCACTCCTTCTCGCATTGATGAGAACAAGGAAATTGTGTCTCTAGACGACAAAGACTTGGCTTCCCTCGCCGAGATCTCCCAGAAGGGCGTTAAGCGGTTTGTCTATCCGGAATTCGGATTCGACTTTGGTTTCCCGGACAAATCTTGATGCATCTTGCCTCGTTGAGGTGCCATAACTCGCTGTGCCTATGCTAGTCATTTAGATGGTAGATGGGAAGGCTTTGGAGCATTTTGTGGTCACGATGCATACGAAGCAAGCGTTAAACTTGGGAATCAGAAAAGTTCTAGACGATTGATAGGTTCGGATAGACAGCAGCCCAGGAGCCGTGAATCCAGGAGCATCATAAGACATTTTCTTTGCTCTAGTCTGGCAAGACATTTTCAGTCATAACCGTAACGATCAAAGATTTGTAAAACAGCGAGTAGTAGTCGAGTGTCACGAATGTTTAACTGACCTCAGGCTGTCCTGGCTGGGAGAGAGTATCCAGTTCCAATATCACCGACATGTGATCGACTACCTTGCCTTCTGTGATTCCGGAGCTGCGGCGGCAGTGGCTGTTGTATCGTCTGTTGAACATCCGCTGTAAACTTTCCTCTTGTAGACACGGTTTCGACCTGCATAGGCGAAGACCAGCGCCAGAACCACACACTCTGTGGGGACAGCTTCATGATCCAGACTCAACCACAGATCACTGCACCATGAATTCCTGTCTACACAATTGGCCGTGCCCGGCCCTGCTGATGATTATTTTATTACCTCGAATGCTCAACACGAGCAGTTGATCGGCGGACTCTGGGGCCCCGGCCCCGTCACAGCCTCCGCCTGTCACTCAGTACTGCATAAATCTTAAGCCGTCGGATATCCTGAGCAAAAAGGAAAACCATCCGACTTCTGGAGAAACAGCTGCACAGACACACACACAAGACGCTTGCGCGGAGCTACATGCTAGATCGCCATATCCCAAAGTTGCAGGCACAGCAATCAGTGGACATGCTGTACAACCCCCATTCACCATGTAGGGCCATCCTTGAGCAACAAATGCCAATCGTATCTCAGGAACTTGCACGGTGATGGGGGTTCTGGAATGAGAAGCGTATCCGCGTGTCGGCTCCTCCCAGACTGGCATAGACGAAGGTTGCAATCATATATATAGTAGTCTGAGGACCTGCTGTTCGATGTGAACACTTGCGGGACGGACAGCTCTTATCACCACTTTCCAGCGCGATATACCCAAGAACCCCTTCGCTCGAGCATTGGCAGGCACCTTGATTCTACTACACCTTTGCTGCTTAAATACACTTCCAGCGTACTTATCGATCGTCTAGCGGAGGAAGTCGTTGGCGCGAGCTAGATCTCTCACAATGGGTGATGCTCGAGGTAGAAATGGTGCGGGAGATGGCAAAGTGCTTAATATAGCCGTCGCTGGGTTAGGGCGCATGGTCAGTGTCATCGCTCCGACTGGATCGCAGACATCACATCACCTCACCCGGGATCGGTTGTTTTGGGGTGCAATAGTATCCGACAGCATGGCGTGCTGTCGTCTTCAGGATGATTAAAATTCTCTTGAAGAACAGAGCTGACTTCTGCATGTTCACAGGGCAAACGCCATGCATTTGTGTTGTTGAATCGTGTGTTACGGGCCAACGTAGTGGCAGTATGTAGCACTGCGAAGCACGAGACGGAGTGGGCGCGCAAGAATCCCGACTTCACCGACTTCAACGTATCAGTCTATGATAGCTATGAGGAGATGTTGAACCATCCTGGCCTGCAGGCGGTCTGGATCTCCACCAGCACAGACGTCCACGCGGACCAAACCATCAAGGCCGTCAAGAAAGGCTTGCACGTTCTGTGTGAGAAGCCGTTGAGCACCAACCTTGACGAGGTGAGTAACATGGGTCATATTCATGAAAGCAGCTAACCAACGTTCGCACAATAGGTCACTGCAGCAATCGAAGCAGCCAAATCTCGCCCGGACCTGAAAGTGATGGCCGGCTTCTCCCGGCGCTTTGACGCTTCATACCGTGATGCCTTCCAAAAAGTCAAGTCCGAATCCATCGGCGAACCCTTCTTGGTCCGCAGCAACACCTGCGATTTGCTCGACGACACCGGGTTCTTCGTCCAGTATGCAAAGCGCAATGGTGGCATCTTCGTCGACTGCACCATCCATGACATCGACCTGGCGCTGTGGTTCTTGGGTAACCCCACGCCCAAGTCGGCCTATGCCGTTGGCACGTTGAAGCACCACCCCGAGCTTGCCGAGTCCCAGGATGTGGACAACGGCGTGGGCATTGTTGAATTCCATGGCGGCAAAATCGCTTATTTCTACGCCAGCCGCACTCAATCACACGGCCATGATGTCTGCACCGAGGTCACTGGTACCCATGGCAAGGTCATGGTCAACGTTATCCCCAAGGCCAACAATGTTGTGCTGGCCGACAAGTCTGGCATGCGCCACGAGGTCCAGCCCGAGTACTGGCAGCGGTTTGAAGAAGCCTTCGTCACGGAAGCCACCGAGTTCGTCGATAGTGTGCTCCATGACAAGCCGGTCCCATTGCCGCTGGAGTCTGGATACGCTGTCATGAAGATCGGCCGGGCCTTGCAGGAGAGTCTGATCACGGGACGCTTGGTTAGATTCGACGAGCAGGGAAATCGGATCAATGAATAAGCAGTTAGATAGAATGAGAGGCGGCGAATATTTTGACCTACTAGCACCAGTGCCAATTTGCATAGACAAAGAAAGGGCATAAAGTAAAACAAGGAGTAAAGAAAGAGCTATTACGACGTGGTCATCACCTGTCATTTTCTATCACAAAGCTCAATGTCTGTGATCATGGCAAGAATACCACGCCAGTCATTTCAAGTCCCAGACGGACCTTATCAAAATGTTGTCAACAGCCCAAGACCGAGCCCTGCACTGGGTCACCTGGAATCCACATCCAACTTGAGCCATTCTTCAAGTTGCCATCGGTGAAACCAACCTCAACTTGAACGACTTCAATTTCACGTCGAACTTGAAAGTGAACCAGAGACCATCTGCACCCAATCAAAGCAAGCAAAGCACCAACCTGAATGACACGTGATAGCAATTCAACAAGCCCCTCTGATCACGTGGGCCAAGACCGCATCCTGCCCCCTGACACTGCCTGATCATTTCCAGACCCGAGTTGTCCACAAAGAAGAGTCTTGTTTCCCTGCTTATCTCGTTCATTTCTGTCGGCCGCTCCGCCTTACTGCTGGTTCTCCCTCTCCCTCTCCTTGCGGAGAGCGGCACGGATAGCCGGAGTGGTGCGATACACGTCGTCGAAGTATCGGGAGTCGGTGGATTTGATGCCCCTACTCATGCGACGCTGTGCCTGGATCTGCTTTCTGTCCGTGCCTCGGTAGACCGGATCGATGCCTTGGTTCCAGTAATAGGAGCGCAACTCGATGTTGGCAGTGACATGGTCAACTTCCGGATGCAGATCTCGGACATGTTTCCTCGCCGTGTTCTGTAAGACAAACATTTGGTAGCAGATGGGACAGCACCATGGGTCGTCAACGTCGATGAGTCGGGTCGGCTTCTTTGGTCCCTTTCTCTCTGTACCAGTCCCGCCATTGTTGGTGTTGGAGGCCACGGAAGATCGAGTTGGGGTTGGAGCTGCTGGTGAGCTAGCTGAGATGGTGGCTGTACTGGCGGGGCTGGCAGGGCTCGCAGTCAGGCTCGGAGGGAAGCTGTCTGGGGTGCCGGTGGTGCCATTGGGAACTTGAACAGGAGCATATCCGTTGACTGGCGGTGCAGCAGCTTGAGCAGGATATCCGTTGACTGGGCGTGCAGCTGCGTATCCAACAGGAACAGGATTTCCATTGTCTGGGTGTGCAGGTGCATAGCCAACAGGATCAGCATTTCCATTGACTGGGCGTGCAGAAGTGGCTGTGACAGCTTGGATGGTAGGAAGGTTGCTCGGGGTGCTGCCATTGCGAACTTGAACACGATTTCCCTTGACTGCCGGTGCAGCTGCATAGCCAACAGGAACAGCATCTCCATTGACTGGTCGTGCAGCTGCATAGCCAACAGGAACAGCATCTCCATTGACTGGTCGTGCA